ATTTATGATTTATTGTAAATATGAATATTTACAATAAATTTATTATGTTATTATATATAATTGATAATAATAATAATAATAATAAGTAATTATTTTCAGAATTTAAAAAATTTCGAGAACAGTTCTTTTTTACTCATTTTAAATTATTATTGACAATTTTCTCTTGTTTTTCTACTTTTTATTAATAAATGAGAATCGAGAGGAAAAAAAATGTGTGGAAGGAATAAGTAAAAAAAAATTAAGGTTTAATTTTTGAGTTTAATTTTTTTTTTTCTGCTTTGCAAAAAACAAAATTTTTAAAATGAAATTTCTAAAAGTTTGAGTGAATGAATTATTTTATTAACATTAATCAACATTAATTATTATTAATTACTAACATTAATTATTATCTAACATTTAATTATCGAACAATTTAAATAAAATATGATTGCACTACAACAAAATGAAACAATTTTATAAAAAATCTTGTATCGCTTTATAAAAATAGTAGGCAAAAAGTATATACTATTGAATTTTAAAATTTCAACAATTAAATTTTAATTTAAAACCATAATTTTCTTTTTGTTATTTCTAATTTCAGTTTTTACTAATTATAATTTCCATTTGAATTCCTCATTCTTAGCTCAACTTTTTTAATTATACCAACTTTTTTTATATCAACTTTAATTATACCAACTTTTTGCTTCTATTTTTTGTTCTTTAATTATTATAAATTTTTATAGTTTAACTTTATAGACTCATTAATAACTTTGAAAAAAAAAATTATAAACTCACTTTAATTATGATTTTCCACTGTATATGGTTTACATATAGGATTATATTTTCGAATACGGTAATTATATTAAATATATTATTATAATTATTAATAAAAATATAAATTAAAATATATTATATCAAATTTAATTATATGATAATACCATTGGTTAATAAAGCAAGAAACTGACGAAAAAAAAAGTCAAAAAAGGTGCTAAATTTTAATAATAACAATTAATTCAAATTAAATTTACAATTTAATTAAAATTTAATGCATTCGAAGTGTGAAAAAAGAAAAAGACAAAAAAGTTATACCAAAAACTATTAAAAGTGTGAAAAAAAATTAAATTACAATGATAAATTTAAAAAATAAAGTTTTTTTTGTTGTAAAAAACAAAGAGAATAATTAAGAAAAAATGAAAGAAGAAGAAAATAAAATAAAATTGGTATTAGTTTTATTTTATTTTATTTTTTTTTTTTTTGTTACTATACTTAAATAAATTAATTAATTATCAATCTGTTTCAGGAAAAAAGAATGCAAATAAAATAGAAAGAAAATTTGATTGAATTTAGTTGAATGATGATTAGAACAAATAAATGACCATCTATTCATATCTCTTTTCTCTTTCTTCTTTTCATTTCTCTTTTATATTGTTTACAATTCACTGATAAATTTAATATCAATTATAAAAAAAAAGAAAGAAAAAAAAGAAGAAAGCGATAAAATTTTAAATAAAATTAGTGTAACAGTTTAAAAAAAAAGAAAAAAAAAATTTAATTAACAAAAAAATGTCAAAAAAATTACTGTCACTTTAAATAAATAAATATATGTAATACAATGATAGAAAGTGTATTTTAAACAAAAATGAAATTTAAACTATGAAAAGAATGAGCAAAGAAGAGAGAGAGAGAGAGAGAGAGAGGAAGGGAGGGAGGGAAAAGAAGAGAAGAAAGAGAAAAGGGAATGATAAGAAGGAAGAAAAGAAATGAATAATGAAATTTTAATGATTGAAAAACTGGTTTTACCTTTTCAATTTATCTTTTTCCAAAATTAAATCATAATACATCTTAATCTTCAATATATTTAGTTCATTTTAAAATTGATAAGAATTTATCTTTTATGAAATTAAAATTTTTCTAAGAAATATAAGGTGCGCTAATATGCTTTATGCCTTTTCTAGAGTATAGTAAATTAAATTTATTTTTAAATTGATATGAATTTTTTGTTTCTTTTTTTTGATTTATTTAATAATACTTACTATTATTATACTTAAAAAGTTATACTTAACAAATGAAAGAAGAGGAACTATCCATTTAAGAATTTAGAAAGTCAAAAAAAAAAAAAAAAAAAATTAGTGAAAATTGACAGTTATTAATTAGTAGAAATTACAGCAAATTAATAATTAAGTAAAAATTTATGAAATTTATTACACAGTTTTTTTTTCCTTCCAATGAAATTAATTACATTAATTGAAATTAATCAGCAAATAAAGAGGACAAAATTTATTTTTTTTTTTTTTTTTGTAAATACACTATTTTCTCTCTTTAAGAAATAAAAAATATTTAAAGATGAAATTGCTTTCATTAAAGAGAGAGAAAAGAAAGAGAAAAAAAGAAAATGTAAAAGTTATTTTTTAATATTTTTATTAAAAAAAAAAAATTTTACAATTAAATTTCATTTTATTTGATCTAATAATTGAGGAAAAAAGAAAGAAAAGAACGAAATTAAATTGTAGTATTTTTATAAATTGTAAATAATTACTTTTACTTTTATTTATTATTATTATTATTAGCCTAAATTATGAATAATACATTCATTTATGAAATACAAATTTCTTAGAAATTTTGCAAAATGTTTTGAATCAACAATAAATGGTCGAAATTTTATTCTTAAAATTTGAAATAAAATCAAATTATTAGAAATGATGATGGATACAACTATTTTTAATGCATAAATGTTAAGCTATTATTAAATTAAATTAAGTACACAGAAAAAAAATGATAAAAAAAGATGAAAAAGATCGTAATTAATAGGTTTGGCCAGAATTAATGAATCAATAAATAATTGACATAATTAAAAAATAAGATTAAATTTTTTAAGTAATTAAATAAGAATAAATTCTTAGCTAACTGATAAAAACTTATTAATGACAATAAATAATAGGAAAAAAAAATTAGACTAAGGAAAAGAAAATTAAAGGTTATTCCGTAATAAAAATAAATGAAATGATAAAAAAATAAATAAATATTATTTATCAAGAATAGAAAGTAAAAGAAAGATTAGTCAGAAATAAACAAAATTAATTATTTTTATACAAATATTTTCTTTTTTTTTTTTTTTTTTTATAGAAATTTGATTTTATTTTCATTTTTAATTAAATTTGATTGATAACATTTTTTTTCTCTTTTTTTTGTGAAAAAAGGATGAAATTTCTTTTTTTTATTCAATGATAGGTAATATTGTATTTCACTTAATTTATTTCATTTCAACCAGTTAAATAAAATTTTAAACTGTTTATATATTAAATTAATTAATATATATTCATCCACCATTAATTTCATTTTGCATTTGCTATCATTACCTTACCTCTTCCGTTCTTATTAATTAAATATTGTTTATTACAAACTTACTTGCAGAATAATAATAATAATACATGTAATGAAGAAAGTTTCAGTTTAGGTACTTAGGTATTAATTTAGGTAAAGAAATTAATTATGTATTATCATACATTTATTTTACTATTGGCAAATTTAACTTATTAAATTCATTTTTAAAACTTTTTCTTTTCCATATTTTTTCTTATCCAGTTGATGAAGAAAAAAAGTTCACTTATGTAAACATTATATTTTATTGAAGTTAATTTATTTTATAATTTATTAATGATATTAATTATGATCAAAAAATGAAAAATAAATTACCAATGGGTGAAATATTCATTTTACTCTGCATCAATTTTTAAATCAGTAGTTTATAAACAATGTTTGGAAATAAGCACTGCTTGCATTTTCAAAAATGCTATCACTTAATCCCTTCTGATAATTGAACGTTTCTTTCAATACGACATTTCCTATGAGATTATAAAAGAGAAAGAATATTGTGAGAGATGTGCTGAAATATTTTTAAAACCGATAAAATGATTATTTGAATCGGAATAATAAAAAAAAGTCTGAAGGAAACTATTATTTCCATCACTAATGATATCCTGAAATTGAATTTTGATAAGAAAGAGAAAACTACTTATTATATATAATTCATATTCCATGTTACTGCAATAATAATATTGAAACTTTAATTATTAGTAAAACAGAACAACTCATAGCATGAATATAACCTCTTATTAAAATTACATATTATAATGCAGGCATGCTTCGCACCGCAAAACAAACAGAATGTAACTGAGCACAACAATAAGAATAAGATATAACCATTTCACGAAATCTCCTTATTATTTGAACAAATAAAAATCTGCTATACGAATAAATGAAAACTCCTTACTCTCTAAGAAATACTATCTCCGTTATCAGAACAAACAATAAAACCATCACGACAAGACAATGATGATTTCAGAAATAATTCATCTAGTACTGTTACAACAAATCAATTAATTTTTTATTAAAATAAACCTTGACATTTTCAAAACAAGTGGATTTGACGCTGTTTCCTACTTCAGAATAAACACAAAACCGTCAAAAATACGAACTATAATGTTAAAAACTCAAAGAAAAGATCATCAGCGATCATGTATGCAGCTTATTCAAATTTTTCGGACGAATCATAAGGTCACTGTAAAACGGATCAATGAATTACTGGAAAAAAAAGTTAGCAATTTACTGATTGCTTTCAACAAATTCTAATTCTCAGAAGATATTCTGAAAATGTACTGAAAGAGAACCTAGATAACCAAATCAGTAATAATTAATTCATCAACATAATGAAGTAGCGTCAAATTATAGCACCCAAAAAAAACTTCGAAATCTTAGAAATCATTAAAGGAAATTCAATGTATACTGTAATTCTGTGTACGATAATCATATATGACTTTAGTGTAGAAAGATTAATATAATTTATGGGAAAAGCTTAAATCTCTAAATCATGCATCAAAAATAAGCCTTAGTGTCAACAAAACTAGACTTTAAAAATTATATAGAAATCGCACTTTGATAAACAAAAATATTAGAATAAATTCCTATACAAAGAAGTATTCAAATTATGAATACATTATCTATAGCGTTCCCACTACTCCAACCTAACAAAACTTCCATCTATTGCCGCATTCGCGACAAAAAACGAACGTCGTCATAGGTTCATCTGCACTACGTGTCTGCACTTGTGTATAGGTGCAATTTTTCTTCCCACATTTCCCACATTTAAACATATCAGAAGGAGTTCCCTCCTGAACTGCCATCTGATATTCTTCAATTGCCTGAAAATTTTATCAATAAATATTTAGCATTTTAATTTCTTGACAAAATTTTCGCGATTTATGGAATAAATTCATTTGCAGCAGTAATGTTGTTTGCAAGTAATGAAATTCATTAGAAACTATGTGACGTAGTAATGTAATATTTGTATTGCTGCACTAAATTACATTACATAGAAGAGAAAATTCCAGGTTTGCCGATTGGCTACTGCTACACATAACAAATTAACCAATAACGTTCTTTCTTTTTTTCTCATCATGCTTTAGACAATATTCAATTGTTGTCATACCATATCAGTCACATAAATCATGACGAAACACTCCGTATCACAATATTCGAGAGAGATAGAGAGAAAAAAAAAAGAAAAAAACCTCAAAAACTACTTCAACTATTCAAACCTGTTTGGTAAATTTCTCTCGTTGTGCTTTCATTTCATCCGATGCCATTTCATCAGCTGTCATTACTGCGAATCTACAATAAAAAAAAAAAAAAAAAAACTCATAAAATGCAGAAAGCTAATTACTATTAATCTGTATGAAAAGTGTGATAAATAATACATTGTTTTACGGCAAAAACTCAGTTTTAAAAATATCTCCTCTAACATTCTCAAACAAGATATAAAACAGGTATGAATGTAACAGGTTTTAGAGAAAGTACAAAATTAAAGAGACTACGTGTAAAGAAGACATGCTGATAAATAAACAACTCATATCCTTATGTGTACCAGTTATTGCATTTGATAGAAAAAAGTCTTTTCAAATCACATAAAACCCAAATTTGTATGACTGTTTATCTTCTCACTAATATCCATCCGAAATACAGCCGCTTTCTACGTTCTTCACAGGAACTGATAATGAGAAGTGCAAAAAAGAAAAAAAAAAAAAGATGAGAAGTGTAAACACAACTTTTAAACTTTCTTTTTGCTAAGAATAATGATAATTACAAAATCGGTTGCAACTATTCCTAGCAAAGAAGAATTTTTTCAGCTTGTATTTCCAATCTATAAACTGAAGTAAGGATAAAAAGCCACTAATAATATAGATAATATAGTTGGAAAAATCTTTTGGAAACAAAATTCCTACAAAATATCAAATTATTGAAATAACCAGTCTGTTGATTTCAAAATAAATTTTTATTGTAACTACAAGGATTTCTTCATCAGTCATGTCACTGACAATAATTTCACAATAATTTGTTCTTCCGTAACAAGTCATGTCATTTTACAGCTGATAATTTCATAAATGTTATTTTTTTGTCAAAAATGTTATTTTAAAAATGCTATTGCCGCACATATCAATTTTCGACAACTGATCTAGCTTAAAATTCTGTTAGATACTCTTCATACACAATCTATTCCCTCCACTCCTCTCCTTTTCTTACTGCCTTTCCTGCTCCAGTTCATTAGCAACAGCAGAACAGAGACCAAACTGTCGGTGTTATTTTCCTGGTGACGGATTCAGTATGCTTAACAAATTATTACGAATAGATGCTTAAAAGCATCTGCCTAAATACTGCAATAATTTGATCGAAGTTGTAATATAAAAATCCTAATTCATTACCATCAACACCTTTATCCCAGAAATTTTTAATGGAGTCGCCAAGCTATGTTTACCCAAAAAACAAAACATACAATTTTTTCTCATAAACATTGTTAATGGTGATTAATAATAAACTAAAACTCCGCCGGACATTAAGAACTGAAGCAGAAATAAATTCATAAATCTTATAAAAAAGTACCAAAAATTTGTTTGGGAAAAAAATCTTCAATTTACCAATACGAAACATTATTTTACATTAGCTGTAGTTAATTAGGGTAAAGTTAGGCAAAAAGACTTATGTGATATATTAAAAGAAATATGAGCTTAGCTTTCAGTTCACTCAATGGTTAAGCTTGTCATTATTTTTGTATAAAAAGTAATTATGCAAAAAATAACAAGTACTTTTCAGGAGTTACAGCACCAATCAACACATTTTCACGCAGAACCAAATTCTTTTTATCACGCAAGTTGAACACCCGACTTCGTAAGGCTGCTCTGTACTTCTCCGAAGTACCACGATGAACCTAAACATAGAACACAATTATTTCTCATCTCAAATTTATCTCTAATGTTTGGCTAACTTATCAGAGTTTACACACTTTAAAAAACTGTCAAAAATTTACAAACTCACTTGATCTTACTACAGTAATAGTTTGAATAAAATATTATTTTTGTAAAAGCTTGCTGTAAAAGCTCATAATTACACTTTACCTTCTTCAAATGAAACAAAAGACAAAAGCTTAATCTCATCTCTTCACTCCCGACATAATTATTTGCGTGTGTGACTTCAATGTCACTAACTATGATTTGATTAAAATCTCATTTTTGATGAACTAAACTTCACTTTACATTTTAATAAAACACAATTCATACTAAAACCATTTTAATAAAACATGATGCATATTGAATATCACTGGAAAGCTTCTTTTTTTCCCATTGTAGAAATAAAAACTAGGTGACTCCAGACTAATACAAGAAATACAAAAAGAGTCGAAAAATTTCCTACCTCGAACAATTTCCTCTCAGTTCTAATTGCCAATTCTTCGGGATCAAGAGTTCCATCCGGTAGTTCCTTTGAAAGCAGAGCATCGAGAATCATCGTAGCACACTTATTCCGGACCTGCAAAATAACATTAAAAATTAGTCAAAGCCGGAAAAAACCATAAAATCCGACCTTAACGCTTTATCAAAATCAAAATACTGAAGCAATATTTGAAGAATAACGAATCATACACCAAAAAGACGTACTATCACGTCGGCCCAATGATTATAACGTCATGCTTTCAAAATTTTATAGACTCTCCGGGTCATTAGACGCATACCTCATCAGGAAGAAGCTGTTTCCTGGTTGCCATTGAAGGCGTTGAAGAATTAGCTGTATTTTTTTGTGGTGCAGAAGATTGTGACAAATGTTTGGAGCTTTCACTAAATGTTGAAGAAAGTGATGCTGATGAATTACTCTTTGTTACAGCATCTTTCGCATCGCCCTTACTACTACTCGTTTTATTGGCCAACAAAACCTTCCATTCCTGAGAATTAATCACGATAGATATCACAAAATTCAAAAAAAAGAAAAAAAAAATGAAAGCAAAATAGAGATAACAAGATGAGAAAATTGTTAAAAACAACAGCAAGTCAAGGCAGCAAAAATATACAAAGTCACTTAAAGATAATTTTATAATATAATCGAGATGAACAAACAACTATCTAACATGTTAAATAAAAAACAGTGTGCGATAAACAAAAGACCAAGACATTTCTAAACAATGAAAAAATAACAAAATATTACAATGGCCAATTTACTATGCTATATATCACTCTGTGTCATTTGTCATTTGATTTTTTAGTATATCAGATTAATCGTTTATCGAGCAATAAGTCTTTTATTTCAAAACATAATACCTCTATAAATACCTCCAATTTTGGAACTTCTTCAAAAGCAAAACATTTCTTAAACAAAAAGAATCAGTACTATTTAATCATATATTATTGCACTAAGCTAAATCTTACCCATGACTCAAAAAACCAAAATAGGATGGGTAAAAAAAAAGGAAGACTTTGTGCCAAGTTAAAGTAATGAAGACCCAGTGCTGCACTGTTACTTTTTCTTAATTTACAACCTTTTACAAGTGATAATAAATAGCACGTCAAAAAACATGAACCGCGATAAAGTGATAACCACTGCTCCATATTCACATGATTTTGTATCACTATTGAACAACGGCAAAAACAACTTCTAACAAATGCAAAATTCGAATAAGCTGATCCAAAAAAATCGAAGACTGAAGTTAACCGAACAATAGATACCTTAATCAAAACTTTAGCTCTCTTAGCAATCTGTTCATCGCTGGTTTTCTTGCGTAAATCATTGATTGTCATACCAATACGAGTTTTCTAAAATTATTTTTACTACCAGTATCAACATTAATTATACATTTATCACTACATTCCATCCTCTTCACTTTCCTCATTATTATATGGAAAAAACTGACAACTAAGAAGCAAGATGATAGACTTACAGTAAGGATATTGATGTCGATAGGTAATGCCGCTAATGCATCCAATAATTCCATCGCATCATTCATCTAGAAATAAGATAATGCAGTACATGCTTCCTACCTACCTAATGGATGCATATTGGACATATTGGAAAAGTATTATTCTCGTAATAAAAAATATGCTCTCTCCAGTGTAATATATCCCCTATTAAATAATTGTATATATACTTCTTAAGTTTTCACTAAATTGAAATCTACCTGTCCCATTTATAATCCAAAATATTCTGTCCACTCATATAGGATGTCAGTGTAGTGCCAAATAAAACTGACATATTAAAGTCTAATCTGTTATATCATCAATTAGATGTAGCTTACACTACCAAATCAGAAAAACAAACTAAGCCAAAATTTTATGGAAAAAAAAATCACTTAAGAACAAACGACCATAAAACACCGAATAGCAGTAAAAATTCCCGCATCAAACAAGTTATATCAACTTAAGCCTGAAAAAATTTATTACTTTCATTTTGCTCGAAACAAAATACAATAAAATGACTAACCGTCTTAGTTCCTTGTATCATTCGTTCAAATTTTCGGCCAATTCGCAACACTTCCTCTTCACAGGACACCATCTTCAAATAACGCAAAATTACGTCTTCACCAAAACCCAACCAAAAAGTAGACTTACGTGACGAATAACACAGCCCAAGCCTCTACGCAGAATAAGTCACTATGCAATAGCAATCATCCCGCTCGGGAAACCCTAACTAGCCCAAACTTACTAATTCTGGGTTTTTCGAGTATTTCGAATCTACTATTAGTTCAGCAATTAACTGTAGATATAAAGTGGAAAAAGAAGGAGTTTCAGCAACACTTCAACCCATATATATACTCCATGAAAATGAAAATGTTTAAGGCTACTTGGGTTATGCATAATTGTAGTATTAATCATTGTTGATTGGTGTTACTCTTAATGATGAAAAAACACACTAACAACACTAATTAGAGTTTGATTTTCAATATATCAGACGAAGAAAAAAATTTTGATTAATTTAACTGGAGTAGAATATAAAACCATTCACCGAAAATTAGATGTCCTGTAGTATGACAGAGCACGCAATGACAAGACAAATTTTTCATTCCAATTACAATTATGCAAAAATTATATACAATTTGAATACAAAGTGATTACATGCGATGTTAGAAAGATTTAAAACTGTACCATTCCTCTATTTCAGTATAAATGCAAAAAGTTATAGCAAAGTAACGGTTCTTTAATTGAAATTCTTAAGTAATTGAAACAATAATGGAATTTTTTAATGGAAATAATGGAAATTCTTAAGCCTAAAGTTACTGCTTGTAATTATAATTCACTGCTTTGTTTGGAGAGGATTTTGTGGTGAAATGCGAAGTGATCATCAATAAATGATGCAATAAAGAAGTAAGAGTGATCATAACCTTCCTGATATCTCATTTCGATTTGAACCTGAAAAAAAAAACAAAAACATAGTATATTAAAATAAAGTACAGAGTTTAACATTACTCTAAACTACCATACTTTCTACCATACATTTTCGACTTGGTATTATAGGTAATTTAATTCTTACTATATTTCTCTTTAAATAAAAACGAAATTAGATGTTCTTTTTTTAAACCTTAGAGGAATGTAATTAACTTCTTAAAATAAAGTGATTAGCTTCTTCAAAAATAAGAAGCAGTTATCTAAAAAGTGTGGTACTGATGAATTAACGAATACTTTAACATTGTTGACGTTTTCCAATTTTTGTGGTAATAATTGTTCCTGCGCCAAAAAATTATCCGCTGTGCCTTGATCGATTAAGATTTTTCTTGGTTCTCCATTATAAGCTTTGACTACTTCCACAGCATCGTAAGCTTTCCAATTTTCTTCTAACGGACCGAGATATCCAAAGAATGCCTATAAAATTATCACTGTCAGTTTATAATACCAAATACAAATGAACTGAACTATTGTCATTATTCATCATTTTCCATTTATAATTAGTAGTGAATTAAAGATATCTCATGGAAATTCCGAACAGAAATACTGGGAAAGTCTTCGGCAATATGAAAGATTTAGGAAAGAAGGAAACAAAAAACTCTATTGTCATTACATCCAAAAGAACTTTACTGATATTATGTATGATTAGTAAAATACAGTAAAAAAATTTTAAATAATTTTCAGATCTTTTTTTCCAATTTTTGCTAAATTTTTAGGAGCTTGATAACTCAGCAGAAGTGTCTAGATTTTTAAGATTTCTTTGTTCTTTTCATGGTAAGAAAACATATTTCATTACATTGTTTGCATGTTTGCGTATGATTGACAATATCTTGTAAGCAAAATATTATTCATATTAATAACAAACCTTTCTTCCCCAATTGCAATTCATTGGATTACAAATAGGAGCAAATGCTGAGATACTTAAGAATTTTTCCGGATTTCTGAGACCAATTACTATTGCACCATGTCCGCCCATACTATGTCCAATTATTCCCCATCGATGCGGGTCACATTCGGTAAAATTTGATCGCACTACATTAGGCAATTCATCTGTGATATATGTATACATTCGATAATGTTCACACCATTTTGGTTCCGTCGCATCAACGTAAAAGCCAGCACCTATAAAAATTCAGAGCTTATATAGTATTGTGATTCGAAAGTTAGAAAAATATAGGCTAATTTGGTGCTTTAAATTTAAAGGCAATTCTGACTTCGTCAGTCACTCGACTTCAAAAAATCATGAAATTAGAAAGGAAACTGAATATGATTGCAAATTTTTTTGAAGATTATCCGTTATTTACTACTGGTTGTTACTGCAACTGAATCAATGATGAAAAACCTTTGCCAAAATCCCAAGAATCGGAATCACCCGGAATGTCGACGCTTCTCGGACTGGTATCTGCATTTACAACTATCATTTTATGCACGGCTGCGGCACGCTGAAAGCCACTTTTCTCGATAAAATTTGCTTCAGTACATGTAAGACCTGAATGACTTTACATCCTGTGAAATAAACTGATGGGACGTTAAAAAGCTGGTGCAAAACTATTTATCAGGAAGAGGAACATTTTTTTTCTTTTTTATTTATAAAAAAAAATAAAATAAATAAAGCTTCGATCTCTAACTTTAAGAGTCTTTTTTCACTTACACTTACCTGATAAGATTTTGATTTTTTTTTCTAATCCCATCTAAAATGACTAAACATCTCTTATTTAACTTAAACCTCATCCAAATAGAATTTTCTAACTTAAAATTAACTCCAAGTTAGCATATCTCTAGAACTAATGATATATTGTAAACTTACAAAGCTAACTATTATATATACATATGTGTACCTTGCATATTACTAAAATGGCTTACCTGAAAGGTACATCAGAACCGGTACTTTTTCACAAAGCTTTATATCTGGTATGTAAATACCGAATTTCATCGTACATTTTAGCGTGCTACTGCAAAAACTGAATCAACAGTATCAACTAAGCGAATATGTTTGATGAAGGTTCGAAAAAAGGAGGCTTATAATAAATTTGATCGTACACTTCTTTACTGAAACAAATAATTTCCGATGGCTTAATCTTTCCTACTGATTTTAAGCTTAGAAATAAAATACCTAAACAAAATATTATAAATAGGTAAGAAATCGTCCTTTAATTTTTAGGTATAAAATGCAAATTCCCAATGATTAATTGCAATTTGTACAGCTGATCAAAGGATCAATAAATTTAACTAAAGTAATTGTATTTCACAAAATTCACAAGGATCAATTGCGAATTTAGACCAAGTTCATGGTTAGGATTAATAAATAACTTTCAATATTTTACTTTCATTCACTTATCATCCTATTTTATCAATAACAAATAATAAACCTGTAATGTGAGAAAATTTGTTGATATCCACCAAAACAGCGTACTGATGATAATTGTGTCGGTTTGAAATTCATTCACTGCTACAATAAATTAATATTTTTGAATTATTGAATGATTACTACGATTGATATAATTAATTAATGAAAATAAACACATTTATATTTATAGAAATGATTAGATGGAGAAAAGAAACAAAAATTATATCTAATTAAAAGTGAAAAAAAGAAACAAAAATTATATCTAATTGAAAGTGAAAAAAAAGAGAAAGAGAGAGGGAAAAAAAAAAGAAGCACTTACTACTATAAATATTGTCAACAATTTCTTTCTGATTACGACAGAGACGGAGAGGAGCAACTCTGCTTCTCTGACTCATCGTGTCTCAAACTTGGATAAACTTCTTTTTTTTTTTTTAACAAAATGAATTTAGCAGTTAAAATTTCAAATAAGCAATTTTTTTTTCTTTTTTTTAAATGACAGTAAAATGTAGGAAAAGCATAAATTATGCACAAATATATCAATCAATTGACTCAATTAAAATACATTTGTATGAATGAATTTGGTGATGGATAGAACTGCATACAATATCGAGTGGATAGGAAACATTCATTCTCCCTTTAAGCGGAAGAGGTGCGGCGCTCATTGTAATTGTCTCATTTCATTTGGCGCAATAGTCGTCATTTATCTTCATCGTGCTTTTCTTGCCATAGCTATAATTGATTTGCTTGCTATCGGGGTGATATTATTGCTGCGAGCTCTTTTTGAAATTAATAATGAAACTTTTCCATTTGAATATTCATTTAATTAGTATGCGCCATAATGCGTTGAAATTTTTTAGATAACACTTTTTTTTTTTTTTATAATTTTTTATAAGTTAGACTGGAAGACTTTTTGCTAATTGATATTTGTTATTTTGTCATTTTGAATAATTGTGACATTTCAATTGTCATATTAATTGTCAACAACACTTCTTCAACTTCATTTAAACAGGTAGTGAGATCTATGCGTATTTTTTTTGCTTTTCATTTAAAAACTAAGAGTATGTGTATATGAAGTAAACAGAATATACTTTTCTTAATTTAAAATTCGTTGAATGAGCTTTCATTCATTTAATATAATTCTCTTATTGGTACAAGAAGCAAGGAGAAGAGTATAAAGTTTCGTGAATTTTTTCAAAAATTTTTTCATGTTTAATGTTAGCTTTTCCGAATTTCTAACATACAACAGTTTCTCATCTTTATCTACAATATTCTCAGTTTTTAATTTTATCATTGAGATTAAAATTTGCTGAAATAATTTGCTATTGGATATCAATTGAACGTACATCAATTGTTTCGTTCACACTTACTCTCAGGTAGGCTATTTATTTAATTTTCTTTTTTTCAAATTTCTAACAAAATTAAATTTTGGAAATGATTTAATCAAATTTTTGTTATTCTAATAATTTCTTTGTGGCTTTATTACATTCCTCAGTGTTTATGTTTACATACTATCCTTTTACTATTTGTAGTATATCAGAACACGGAATTATTTATTCCTTTCTATATTTTTTTTTTCCATTCCTATTCTTTTTAATTTTTTTTTTCCATTCCTATTCTTTTTAATTTCAAATTTTGCATTAATTAAAGTCTGCTTTGAACGCGTTCTTTTTATTCTAACATTCTTATAATTTCCGATGCGCATTTGTGCTTAATACTTTTACATTTCAGTTCACTTGCCGATCTTTTTTTGAAAAATCAGCTGCTCAAAGAAATCTCCGACTGATAGTCTACTATCTTCTTCAGAAGTATGTCTACCTACGACTGTAACTTAATACGTAGGATTTTGGAATCCGGTTTGAAAATTTTGGCATTTTTCCGGAAAAAAAACTCATCTGCTCTTAAGTCTTATAATTACTTATCGCGAACTGGATGGTAATATTTGAAAAGTTGGCTTGATATATCATATCTACGTAAAGCAGGAGCATTACAGGTTGGTTTAGTATAATTCCTTACAGCCATATTCCTTATCTTAGCGCAATTGTTCAGCGTAGAATTCATTAAGATGGAGGATAAAAAAGCCTCGTGGTTGCGTTACTTTATTATGTTCTTTAATTGTTTTCCGTCTTGTTAATTGTAAATTTTAAAATTGTTAGATTATTGATTTTATGAGGAAATATGGTATTCAAATTTTTCCTTTTTTTGGTTGAAGTTTTCATTTTGCTGATCACTTTCTCAACTTGAAATTGTTTTAACCATTTGAAATTCCTTTAAAATTCATTTCTTCATTTCGTTTTCTATTTTTTTTTTTTTTTTTTTTTTTTTTTTTTTTTTTTGTATTTTTCAATTATTTATTTGGCAGTGTTTTTAACTTTCTTTGGTGATTGTTGATAAAATAAAGTGAAAAAATGCGCCCCTCTACTACACAATTAAGCTATTGAAAACATACTGGAACAATTTCAGATTTTAAAGTAATCTTTGGAGATAATGTCGATAAGAACTTGCAAAAATAATGTTGAATTCATTTGTAATGTTTCATAAACAATGCTGAATTCAACAATTCATTATTGTTTGTATTTTGATCGGAATTAATAAGATTTAACTATTCAGTAGTCTATTTGGAAGTAAATTTATTATTTTTTTTTTTCTGAATTGAGCTTAGGGAAATTTCTCTGTTACATTTTGGTAGTTAATTGTGTTGACTTTTTGGGAATAGCAAAAGTAATAACCTAACAATGAGCAATTGTACATTTATTAGCTTTTGAAGCAAATAGATGTATGTTTGTAGTGAGTTTAAAAATAATTTTTAGTTTAAAAAATAATTTTTTTATAATTTATATTTTCTAAAGTTTTACTACTAAGAGTAATAAGTATAATGACTTTATTTAAGAATAATAACATTTCGAAGGTCTGGCAAGAAAAATCGGCGCACAAAATCTTCACTGATATAGTATCTAAAAAACATTTTCTTAAAAATTGAAAATAAAGAGAATGAATTAATTATAATGTTGAAGATGAAAAATTAATTATTTTTATACTTCGACACTGGAATCCTTTTGCTCTATTTTCCAAAAAAAATAAGTGGAAAAAGGAAGAACAAAGTTGGTAGAACGCACAAACATTACTTTTTGACCACTGATAATAATTGATTATTACTTTTTTTTAATTGTAAAAAAACTTGACAATAAAGTGGAAACTTTTTTTTTCCCTTGTTTTGTTTTTGTAAGAATTAAGAGAAAATCTTTGATTGAAACTAACACGATTCTTTTTTCCATGAATTTGTAAAAGTTATACTTTTTTAATTCAACAAGTTTTCATCCTTACGATATAGATTAGATTAGGGTACCATTTTGTATCTTGTTTAGTCATATGATCTATTTGAAATTGGATAGTAAATCGGAACATTGATTTGTTGTTCGGAAATTTCGAATATTTTTTATTCTTTTAATGTAATTCAAATTAATCTTTTATAATAGATTTGGTTAAGTGTTAATGTAAAGTGATCTGAGGCGCAAAATGAATTTTCAAACTTTAAATAAATATTGGAAATAACTTTACAAAACAAAAGTTTAATTTTTTTGTCCTTGTTGGCTTGACATGATATGCAAGAGCACTTTCAGTGTTATTTTTATATTTTCAATGTAATTTCTGCTAGTCAATGTCATACTAAGCTTACATTATCACTATAATGTGATATCATATTGATAATCAGATATTGAGTAACTGTTGACTGTAACAGTACTTTACAAAAATTTGCTAGATAATATTGACACAAAAAAATTGATTAACTTTAAACTCTTAATTTAAACTTTAATAATCAGAATTTTAATATTTATCATTGGTAAAAGTGAAAAAATATCACAGAAATTGATCTAATGATGTGCAATTTTAAGCAAGAAAGGGTATTCAAATTTCATCAGATGAAGTTATATTTTAGTACCGGATGATATTATTTTAATATTATTATCAATTCAGTTACTAATAACGATAATTAGCGAAGTTTGCAGTAATATTTTATTCTAATTTAACCAACCACTCATATTAAATAGTAGTAAGTTATATTTTAGTACCGGATGATATTATTTTAATATTATTATCAATTCAGTTACTAATAACGATAATTAGCGAAGTTTGCAGTAATATTTTATTCTAATTTAACCAACCACTCATATTAAATAGTAGAAAATTATTTCTTTGTGTAAGAGAAATGAAGAATGTCAAATTATTCCTTTCTTTAAAATGATCAATTTTAATTTATTGTCTACTAAATCACAACATTTATCAAACAATCCCAACAAAAATGATCTTTTATTAAAAAACCTTTTTTTTTTTTTTTGTGATCTTTTGATCGACCTTTTTTCAATTTTTAATCATTGAAATTCAAATGCCTTTTTAAACAAAACGAAAAAATTATAAATTAATAATTATGAACGAAACTCACTTTTTCTTTCTTTCATTCTCAACAGCATAAAGTGTAAGTTTGCACTATTTTCTATTGGAATTTATAAAGGTAAAAAATTATTGGTTGAATTTTTCTTTTAAGCAAAATATTTGAAATTAACAGTTAAACAAATGTTCAGAAATTTTTAATTATTCATCAAGCAAAAATTTGCCGAAGCAAAAAAAAAAAAAAGAAAAAATGAAATGAAATAAAAATGTAAGTTATTATTTTATGTTATTCAAGAAAGAAAGAAAAGAAATATATGTTTTATAAAAAGAAAAAAAATAATAATAAACGTTCGCTTTTTCATTACTTTTTTTCTTTATAAATTTAAAACTATGTGTTACATTTCTTTTTCTTTAAAATTTAATTTCATTAATTAATTTTAATAATTTCATTAATTAATGATAAAGTATTAAAATTTGACAGCAATTTTTTCCATCAGTGATTCTTCATCTATCTATATTTATAAATGGTATTAATAAAATAATTCTTTTCAATTTATCAAAGTAAAATTATTTAATAGTCAAATTTTTGTTAATAAAATACAAGACCATTTCATTCAGTTGTCAATTTTATAAACTAGTTTCAATTATAATTTTTTACCAATAATTAAAATATTATTTAATTTTATATACCATTCATAATATATCTTACAGAGTAATAGTAATTGCTGAAAAATAATTAATTTTTTAGTTCATTTAAATTGATAAGCTAATTGCAATAATATTAGGATAAAAAATAAACATTCATACAATGAAATGAAACTATAATTAATCCATTTTACCATTTGTGTAGAAATTTTTAGATACGACTAATTGCAAAATTAATGATTATTATATAATAATTATGAATCATATAATAAAATAAAGTATCATATAACAAAATAAATTTATAGTTCAATTTTAGTTTACAAAATTTAAAAAAAAAATTCATTTTTATTTTAGATCCAACTATTACGGTTCAACTATTATGAGGCCATTAGTATTTGTGGTATGCTTTGTACAACACTTATTTTCTGTCATCATAGCAAATAAGGTTAATTTAAATTTGTAATTTTAATATCAAATAATCGATATTCACTTGTCGTATGCATATTGTTTGATTCAATTAATTAAATTTATCATCTAATTGATTAATTAATTAAATAAGCATTTGGTATAAAGATTGCATGCATTATCATATCACAAGATGATAAAAATGAAATAATCATCGATCGATCTCATTTGTTAGATAAGTAAAAATTTCAATTTGCTAAAAGTGATTAGATAGCTGTTAGTAGATCGTTTAATGCAAATTGAATTAATTAAATTGAGTATTAGATGAAAATGGTATTGTTCAGATACTAAAAAGTGTTCATTTAATGTCTTAGAAATTCTATCATTCGCTCAGTACTATGATAAAAGAGATTTATCAAACTTTCTTTTGAAATCTTAAATCATTTTTCTATCAATCATTCTTGCTAATTCTATTAATTATTCTATTAATCAAGTATTTTATTAATTATTAATAAACCAAAAGACACATCAAAGCACCAAAAGATACATCAAAGCTTACTTCTATTATCTGACACTAATGTTTTACCTAAATATTGACCATTTCTCTTGGGCTATGATTTATTTTATCTTTTAATATCTCACTTCCGTGTAATATCAATAATAGTTTCACAGGTAATAATCTGAGTAATAAATATATTTTATTGTATTTACAGAGTAATTTAATTACAATATCTAACATTTCCAATTGTTGGATAAGAATAATAGCACTGCCAAATCCTTTTAAATTAAGTGCTAACTATTCGTTTTGTTTTTGTTTTGGTATTTCCTTCTGAATTAAATCCATTAACTGATGAGCAAATTCGTTTATTAAACTTAGATATAAATTACCAAAATTAGCATAAAATTAATTAATGATGTTATTCAATACGGAAAAATAAGAGATTTTATTTGTTTTTTGTTCTTTTTTCTTTTTCTTTTTTTTTCAGGATATTTCTGGAACCAAACATCTATCAAATGGTATTACATAAGTAAACTTTATTAAAATTCATCTATCTTTATTTATTTATTTATTTATGCAAAATCTTAAGAGCAATAAATTCTGATATTCTATGATAAAATTTACCTTTTATGCCACTTCACTAATTAAAACTTACAGCATTTTCTAGATTTTCTATGCAAAAACGCGAAATATTTTTGAAGCAATTTTCATCAAAAAAATTATTCCAAATAAATATTTTTTATTAATTTAATTGTGCTGACATTATGAAAAGTAATTTTATAAAATAAAGTAATATTAGTAATATAATAGAACAAATATATTGTATTATCATTCGTTGTTTTTTATTTTTGCTGAGAAAAATAAAAGTTATGTATTAATTTTTCCAAATAGCATAAAGATAAGTAAATTTTTAGAACTTTATCAAAATTATAAGTAAAAAAAAAAAAAAAAACAACTTATTTGTAAGTAAGTAAACAACAACTGATGAAATTTTAGGTTATTCTAAAATGGATATGTTTACAATTTCATTAAAAAGTTTGTATCCATATGCAGCGGAAATTCAGAATCAACAACGTATAACAGGAATTTATAATAAAGTACTCATTATTGGTATTTCACTTATAATTGGAATTTGTGATGCATAAAATTGGAATATAATTATCGAAATAATCATTTCAGTGGATAGATTAATACTGATGGAAAATTCTCGATAAATATAAATCAGAAAATTTCATTTGTTTAAACAGTTTTAATGCAATAAAAAAATACAAAATAGTTTAATGGAATTAATTCATTTTTTTTTTTTTAAAAAAGCTTTAATAAAAATTTATAATATAATTGTGTAACAATTTTTCAATTTCATTTTTTTTTAGATTGTACAAATTTTACGTAATCAATTACGTACGGATGAAAGTGTATTGGAATGTGGACAAATTTAGTAAGTTATTATATTTTTTTTTTTTTTTTTGAATAAAAGTATGAATAACAATAAATTAATAACTTAATAACAATAACAATAATTAGTAATAATAACAACAATAATAATTGTTACTATTATATTATTATTATAGTAGCATATAAGAGAAATATAAATAATATTTTTACATTTACAGTAATAGTTCGACTAGTTGAAACGTCAAAAACTAGTTAAAATATTAAAAAAAAAGTACAACGATAGTTGGTTAAATAAATTATCGAAAAAAAAAAAAAAAAAATCAAAATAATGATAAAAATTTTCGAAGTTAAAACAACAAATAGTTATTTAATCTGTAAAAGTATCATAATTAAATTAGCATAATTACCTACCTTTCCTTCATGAAAATAAAACATTTCTCACTTATTAGTTATATTTAGTAGAAGTGATTTAGAAAATTATATTAAATTTTATATTTTTTTTACGATCGATAACACATCTTAAATTTCTGTCAAATAAACTACAAATAAAAGTTAGAATAAAATGTGCAAAATTAAATGGAAATATTTTAATTGCAGTAATAATGACGGCTATTTGAGTATACGTTTCCGGATCAGATATGGACCGGATAAATGTTCAGATTTAAGAACGTTAGCTGCTACTGCTGTACGTTTATTAGATGAAGTAAGTTTATTTTTCTTTTTTTTTTTTGTTTTCTTATATAAAACATAAAATTGATACAAATATTATTTATGTTTACAACAAAAATATTAGTAATAAATCAAGAAAGAAAAAAAAATAAATGAACCAATTTTTTCTTAATTAATTTTTGTTGTTTTTTTTCTTTTTTTATGTTTGCTAATTTAGTAATAGATATTTTAATAATTTAAAATTACAAATTATTATACTTGTTTATTTCTTTCATTATTTTTTAACAAAGTAAATCTATATGATATAAAAGAGAAGAAATATCTTTGGTAATATGTTCTTAAAAAATTTTCAAAAATGCTTTCAAAAGTTTTTTTTTTTTTTTTTAAGTATTTTTTTTCAAATTTAAAAAAATTTTTCAGGTACAAATTATTGAAGTGACATGTGGAAATGATTCCATATCATTTTTTTAGTTAATAATTATTTGTCATATGCTTTTCATTCACTTCTACTGCACATAATATTTGATAATCTGTCTTCAACAGAAAATAAAATATAAATTTTCAGTTGAGTATCGATGCTGATTAATTATGATTTAAATTTCAATACCCAAACTTTGATAAAATTCACTGTAGATTTCAATCTTAGTTGATTAATTTCTAATCAATTTCGTATAAATCTATCTAATGCACACTGATCATGTCTAAATTATACTGAAGCAAAATGTTATTTAATTAATTATAATTTAAATCTCATTTTTCTTCACACGTGAATCATAATTAAATTCAAATTAAATGTTTTTTTTTTTTTTAATAAATATGTATTATTGCTACTATTAGTGTTAAATATTACAAACATATATTTTATTTCTTAAAAGTTTTTATTAATACACCGATAAAATTTAATTCTTATTCCTTCTTTTGATCATGAAAAGCTAGTCAATAATTAAGTATCAATGAAATTTACATGTAGAAATTAATTAATCTAGTGATTGCACAATTTTTTTTCAACTTTTTCAATGTTAATTTTTGATTAGCTTTGTATTAAATCCATTTAATTCACTTCGATTAAGCTTAAATTATATTGAAATAAAATGTAATTTATTAATTCTGATTTCTGATTTTATTCCATATGTATATATTATATCGAATAAAATGATTTTTACTTTATTATTCCTTTTCTGTTTTTTTAATTCCATTTATAAATTTTAAGAGAATATTCCACTATTTATACTAATGTCAATTGTTTTGTTATCTTTTTTATATTACTTACAGAGCAGTTCGTATTAAAATAATCTTCATTTATCTAATCAGAAATTTTTGCTATCATTTTGTCAAATTAAGAAGAAAAAGAAATTTAATAACTTTAATTAATAGGAAAATATTACAATGTTTGCAAAAATACTTACAAAATCATTGTAAACAAGAAATTACAGCATTATTTTATCGTAATGCTGCTCACAAAAAACCACATATATTAATTAATCAAATTAATTAATACTTATATTAGATTATCACTGATAATATTACTGTACAAATGATAAGCATTGATAAATGTTTTGATCATTAATTCAGCAATTATTATTGATTACAATTAAAAAGAAAAAAAAAACGGAAACATCTTTTGTTATTCTGAAATAGATCTATCCATTTCTCTTAAAAAATATCGTGAATTAAAGTTTGATTTAAGTAGTTTGTAAATTATTTAAATTAGGTTTGAGTCCAGTCTTTATTTTAATGAATTAAATTTTAATGAATTTATTTTTTTAATGAATTTATTTTCTTAATGAATTTTTTTAATGAATTTATTTTTTTAATGAATTAAACATTATCACTGATTGAAATTATTGTATAATATTAGAAAAAACTGAGGAATGCAATTATTTTCATCAACAAAATAATATCCTTATGTAGGCAAAAGTTTTTCTTTTTATCAGACTCTTTGATTTATTTCTATGAATGGATGATAATACTCAAACGATTAACACTTTTATCAAAATGATTGATTTATTGCCGTCTGGAAAATATTTCCAAGTAACATTAAAATGATTTTTCAATGTTTATAGTTTAATTCAATTATTTATGTTTCAATTTTTGCATTGCAAATCGAAAAAATGGAATTATAAGAATTATGAATCGTTCCAGTTTTACCGGAAAATTTCCATAATTTGTGGTTTGTTTATTGAAAAGAATAATGATAACACTTCTAAACTGAAAATAAAAATTTTAGATTGAACTAACTAATGAACTATCAATTTAAAATAAAATTTGAAATAAAAGGATTTAAAAAAGATCAAAAGTACATTTTTAAAATCTGATGTGAAAATAGTTTAAAGTGTGCATCCATTCAGAATAATATTATTTCTAATAGTTGATGATATGATATTATCATTACTGAGTAAGGCAATGAATTATTAAAATCTGAATAGCAAAAATTTGATTATTTAATTAAATTAAGTATTTAAATAGTATCTATAAAATTAAAATCTGATTATTTAATTAAATTAAGTATTAATAAAAATTGTATCGATAATGTTAAACATTGGAATATATTAATTATAAAATAAATTTAATTAAACTACCCAACAAAACCTTTAAAATGTTATATTAACAGAAATTTACAGGAAAACAGAAAAATTAACAGAAAAAAAAATTATTATTCCATTTATCAATACAATTAATTCAAATGATCAGAATTAATAAATGCACAAATTCAATGATAATATTACCTACTTTAAATTTTTAATCTAATGAAGAAAAAATTAGCCAAAACTTTGAAAAGGATTAAAGCTATGCTATGTTTGATAATTTCTTGTAACAATATGAAAGAAATAGCAAGGGTCAATTTCACTTTCTGACCTTTTGGAAGTTATTTTTTAATTTCTATTAATATATTAATTTTTAATTTCTATTAATCTTTTGGAAGTTATTTTAATTTTTTTTTTCTATTAATATATTCCGGTAGAAATTTTAGCAGATAATAATAATAAATTATTGTTGGTAAATAATTATAAATAATAATAAGTGTAAATATATTTCTTTAAATATCCATAAAATTTATTTGCTTTTTTCCAAAATAAATTAAGTAAAGTATTTATTTACCAATATTTAAGATGATTAACAAGATTTTAGAATTAAAATTTTCATCTGCTTTAAACTATATGGATGAAAAAAAAAATTAATATATACCAAAATTTGATATTCAATCTTTCATTTTCTGTTTGTTAATAATATCTTTTTGTTTATGCATATAATAAATTATCAAAAATAGTCATCAATTACTAAAAATTTTTAAATTGTAAATTATGGTAGAATTCTGGGAAATTTTGTAGTGACTATCTGATCATTAATTATTACGTAGTTAGTTAATTAATTAAAATGAAAGAATTTTCGAAAAAAATATAATAAGAATTTATTTATTTACTTATTTATTTTATTGGATATTAAAACAGACTTTTGTTGTTATTCATTTTGTCATTTGCTAATTAATATGTGAAATATTAATTTGTATTACCATAATGAGTGGCACCACCATTTTACTTATTAAAAAATATTCTCATTTAGAATATTGAAAAGTAAAAAAATTGTAATTATTATCATAAGAGAGACATCTTATCTGAAAAATTGAAATGTTCGCTAGAAAGTTAAACAAATGAGCAAATTATTTATCAGTGAAAAAAAAAAGAAAGAAGAAGAAAGTTCTGTTTTATCTGATAATTTTTCATTAGAATTTTTAGGAGAATTAAATAAACATAGCATTTATAATTCCTTGACAATATTTTAGAATTAATGTTTATTAAACAAAAAGTTTTATTAATTGTTATGTTGAAATCACAAAAGTATTATTTTTTTTTTAAATATAATATTCATATAAAATTTGTGCAATAATTTTTATTTATAATATTTTATTTCCTATTTAAACATTCTAAGAACCATACAATAATAATTATGTTTGTTAAGTATAACTAAAGATTAATTTTAAAATAATCTACCAAAAAAAAAAAAAAAAAAAAAAATATGAATGAAATTTGTTTTTTATTTTCATTTGATTAATGAAAACAATTTTGCATACATTAATTTTATGCACCAAATAGCATTCGATAAACTATTATGCATTTTGCTAATATCAGGAAAAAGTTAAATTATAAAAAAACAAAAATCATTTATTTCTTTGTTGAAAAATGTCAACGAAAAAATGAAAATTTGTATAAAAAAGAAAATTAGGAAATATTCTTATTAGCAAAAAAAAAAAAAAGAGAAATTAATATGTTTGTGAAGCGATATGAATTATTTATCATTGATATTAAATTATTTATTATTTTATAATCTTTTCTCCAAATAATAATTTTTCGAGAAAATTAAGTAGACATATTTGCTAATATTACTACTTACTGATAGCATTTAAATGATAATAAAGTGCTGGAAAATTAGTATTAGCTTTTGTTTATTGTTACGATGAAATATTCTCTTTCTATTCTCTCTGTTACCACATTTTTTTCCATTGCTGCTATTCCGGCAATTATTAAACCGGAAATACGGTATATTATATTTTCTTACTTCATTTCATTAGAAATGGAAATGAGATTAGAAATACAAAGAGACAAATTTTATCATTTGAATAAGCTGTAGATTTATTTGATTTGATATTTTTTTAAATTCATAAATGTCTCCGTCATAGATTTAAAACTAACTGTTAATTAATTATTAGTGCTAGTTAATTATCTCTTTTTTTTATATCTTCTCTTAGCACATAAATGAAATGTTAAATAATATTATTTCCTATTAATTAATTTCTCATGCATGAACAATAAATTAATTTATTTGTTTTTTTTTTTTTTAATATCTTCTTTTAGCACTGATGTTATAACCGATCAAAAAATTGAAATTGATCAAATTAAGAAACACGAAGCTTATGCACTATACAAGCAATATTTCAGTAAGTTTATAAAATTCTGCTAAAAAAAAAAAATTGAAATACAAATTACGTTTTTCAAAAAGTATCATTACGATTTGGCATATTTAATAGAAGACTATACAATTAATTTACTTAACAATGCTCAATATAAGTACAACTAATTAAAATTATTTAGGAAAGTGAAATGAAATATTTTTAACAGCAAAATCATTCACTAATTTAATGAAATTGATTGAAGTTAAGAATTTTTTAACTTTAAAATTTTATATTTTTTGCTCATAATAATCATGATAAAATAATAAGATTGTAATAAGTTTAAGATTACAAAATATTGTGATAAAACAATTTATTAATTATTATCATTGATTTATTCAAAAAAAAAAAAAAAAAAACAAAATTGATTTATAATTAATTTATTCTCTCATTATTATATCATATCGTTTTATAATTATAATAAAGTAATAAAATTGAAATAATTTTTTAATAATTATAATAAAGTAATAAAATTGAAATAATTTTAAGGTTACAAAAATATTGTGATAAAACAATTTATTAATCATTTTTTTGAAAGTTATTTGAAAGTTAGAAAAGTTATATTAATTATTATTATTTTTTTTTTTTTTGAAGATAAACCTAATAGTAAGTCAAACTTTGAATATCGTCGATATACAACATTTCTCCAAAATGTTGAAAAAATTCGCCAACATAACGAACGTTACGAACGTGGTGAAGAAACATACAAAATGGGAATCAATAAGTTCGCCGATATGGTTATCTGCTATAATTCTTTTTTAATTCTTAATTAATCTAATTTTATTCTTACTGTATGAAAAATCTTCCATTCACAAGTACTACTTAAATATGCAAAACGAAATACATCTAGAAAAAGCAAAAAAGAAAGAATTAATTAATATAATTTTAATCATAATAATACAATTTCAAGTACTGTTTGTAAAGTTTTCTTCAATTATAGACTTGCTATTTAATCTGATTATATGCAAAAAATCAACGCAAAAATCAGCAAAATCAATTGTTGAAGAAACTAATAATAATTCATTCTATTTTGTTAATGAGATCAAAAATAATTGAAAAAATTTATAATATTTCCATTTTTTTTTTTACTTTTTACTTTTTAACTTCTAACCATATTAATCAATTATTTTTCTATTTTATGTTCTACAATTTGTAAATTTATGCAATGCTTTTTTTTTTCTTCTTCTTCTTCTTTCAAGAATGAAATTCTGTGAGAAAATATTTTATAAATTAGTCAGCAAATAAATTTTAAGTTACCTGAAGAAACAAAAAAAGTGAACGGTTATCGATATGAGAAAAAACAATTATTATTTGGAAAAAAAAATGTGATGATAATGTCAGCTTATCATCGACTACCGGAAAAAGTTGATTGGCGTACTAAAGGTGCTGTAACACCAGTGAAAGATCAGGTTTTCCATCGAAATTCTTTGTTTGAAGAAATAATCTAGTTATTTTAAAAAAAAAACAAACAAACAAACAAACAAAAAATGTAATATTAAAGCATATTTTAGACGGATACGTCTTATGTTTCAAAGTATTTTAAAAGATTTATAGGGTGCATGTGGAAGTTGTTGGGCATTCAGCTCTACAGGAGCACTGGAAGGACAACATTATCGACGAACAGGTCGTTTGGTTTCACTTTCTGAGCAAAATTTATTGGATTGTAGCTATAATTACGGTAATGCCGGATGCAATGGAGGGCTTATGGATTATGTATGTACCTAATCTTTGATTGTTTTAATTTTTATGAATTGAATTTTGATAATTCAAAAAATTTAACTAATTGCTCAAAGAAAAAAAAAAACTAAATAATATGTGATAATAAATTAATTTAACTTTTTAGTTAGTGAACTAACAGTAGAAATAGTAGTGAAAATAATAATAATAATAATAACAAGCAATAGTAACAAGAATAATATATATTTAGAATTCAAATATTATAAAAATTTTAAGATCATGATTACTTGATTAATGTATGAGAATAAATAAAGCAAAGCAATATCAAAAATTAAAAGATACAACAAACACACAAAAAGAAAAATTCTAACTAATTGCTCATTTAATTAAGTGTCAACAAAATAATTCAAATTTATTAGAATTTATTGTAGGCATTTGATTATATAAAAGAAAATGGTGGAATCGATTCGGAATCATCATATCCATATGAAGCAAAAGAAGGTCCATGTCGTTACTCAAATCGAACTCGACTGTCAACTGATAGCGGTAAAGTTGACTTGCCGGAAGGTGACGAAATGCAGCTTCAAGAAGCAGTAGCAAATATTGGACCAATATCAGTTGCAATTAATGCGAGATATTTAAGCTTATATGACGAAGGTTAATTACAATCAAATTTACAATAAATTTTGCTACCATTTTTCGAGACATATTCCTTTCATATCAAAGTTTCATGTTACTCATAGCAAAGATCTTTTCATTAGATAGCAAAGAATTTAGGTATTTTCACACGTGCTAATTGCTCATCCGAAGAATTAGATCATGGTGTTCTAGTGGTAGGTTACGGAACTGAAGAAGTACGAGGAAAAAATCTCGATTATTGGATTGTTAAAAATAGGTATGAAATTAGTCCTTCATAAATGGAGTATTCTCAAATTCAATGCTTCTTAAAAATGAAGTTCGGATGATTACAATCCTCAATTGCTTCTATTTTAAAAAAAGTTGGAATAATTAAAGTTTGCAAGGGAAAATCTTAAATAAGTAGAAACTTTATGTAAGTAAAAAAGTAATCATTATTAAAGACTATATAAATCATTAATTACTAATTGCTAATTACGATTCATATTTTAGCTGGGGTAAAGATTGGGGTGAGAACGGTTATTTCCGGTTAGCAAGAAATAAAAAGAATATGTGCGGCATAGCAAGTGCAGCAAGTTATCCAATTGTACCGAAAGAAATAATAATGTCATTAATGGATTAATTAGAACGAAATATTCTGAAATATTTCTGTTCCTAAAAAAAAGAAAAATAATAACAATTTCCTAAAATATTCCACTAAAATTTGCCATTTTTATACTTTTTTGCATTATGTTAGTTAAATTTAGCAAAGTTAATTAATCCAATTGAATGTGCTGTTTATTAATTAGAATGATTTATGCAAGAAAATAAATCATAAAGCAAAAATGTTAATTTTTGTTCTATGCACTGGAATATTTCAATAAATCTTTTCATTTATAGAATATTTTCAATTTTTTAAATTTTCATTTTCTATCTTTTAAGCATTACAAGGTATAATATGGAAGAGAAGTGATGCTAATTTGAATGCATGCAAACATACAAAGTTCGAAAAACAAAGTTCATTATTTGTGTTAAAAGCCAACAAAAAAGCATGACACAGTTCAAAATGAGATACTCGAATTATTGATTTTGTTTTCGACTTGAAATATCCTTGTCATTTAACATATAAACAAGATCCTTAACTTTTCTTGCCTTATAAAGTTGTTTCCTCGACTTAATGGACAATAGCGCTTTTCACTTGTGTATGTAATGGCAATTAACTAATACTACTATATGTTGTCAGATTTGCTTATGTTTAGAAAAAGTGGGAGGACTATTAAAAACTATTTCATCGATAATTTTTATACATCAATCATTTACAGAAGCCTTTTCAATTCGTTGCAGACATTAATTAAATTAAACGAGTATTAGAATTTTTTATCTTAACAAAAATATCTCATTATTTATTATTTCATGTACAAAAATAACTCTGAATTGATAATCCAAATCAAAGAAAAAGAAATTAATTTATTAGCAAGAATCAAAAAAAAAAAAATTTGTTTATCTTCTTTTTAATTTTGCACAACCGTTAGTGGAAACCAGAATTGTGGAGAGGATTCTGGAGTAATTTCAAAACTGCAGTCACATTTACAGAACGTATCAGATATACAAAGACTGAATTATTTAATTGCTTGTTGGCTATTAGTTATAATCTCACAAAAGTTATAATAAAACTCCAGAAAATTATGATGTCATACGAAAAGTTTATTGAAAAGTTTGGACAGTCTCACATTATCAAAGTGAGTTACATTCCATCAAGATGACAAGAATGGAAAGTTAAAAGAATATTTCAACAGCTCGAGAAAGAATGAAAATCTTGAACAATACAGTATGGAAATTATTATTAAAAATAAACTGCTAGCTTGGATTCCGGAAAAAAATATACCAACAAAAAGAAGAACAAGAGGTATGATGAGTAGCCAAGCTAAGACAATTCCAATTCCCAGTGAATTCCTGATTTTAGGAAATGAAGTCGCAAGGAGCCAATCTTTCAAAATTGTGATAAAAAACAAAGAATAATTTAAGATTAATCCACAATATTACAGAAGAAACCTCAACTTTAGTCATAACGATACTAGCAGTACATAATGTGAACGCAAAACCAAAAAAGATTAACAAAACTAAATTTTGCGCCTTTTGTAATAATAAGGACCATTGGTACACTAAGTAACTAAGTGTATATACAGCAATTCAATGAAATTGATGCTTGTATGAAATGTTTACAAGCAGAACAAACAACAACCATTTGAAATGGGAGAAAACGGATGTACTTCCACTGCAAAATATAGCTGAGCTCTATGTCAAATATAAAAAAATTTCGGAAACAATCAAAGAAAGGATAAATTCGACAAAGACAATCATCAAGCACAATAACAAAACAATGAACACGAAATGATAGGGAAGCTTTGTTCCTTTGTAAAGAGGTCGGAATGATCCATTTGGATATTGTATGGAGTAAGTAAGATCAATCTTTTTTGTCCGATAGTGGTGCCCAAGAAAACTGTATATCAAAGAAATCAACAAGTCGATTAAATATACAAGAGATTGCACAAGAGAAAGTGAAATTTGCTGGACCTGGTAATAGGAACTTTTTACTAAAAAAATTTTTGCCAAAGTACATTTCGTAAAAATCTCCAACAGTCCAGTATTGAAATTATCATAAAAAATAAAGAGTATATTCTAGACGGATTATATCCACAAAAGGAGAAATAGAAAATATTGTAAGTAGTTAGGCCAAGACAATTCTTAGCGAAGTTGATCTGAAGAAACAAAGAATTTATAAAAAGTCAATCCTTTGACATCATGAAAGACCCCTGAATAAATCCTATCTATTAATTCACCATAAAAGTTTCGATTGTGCCTAACCAAATAACTCTGTCCACAAAAAAAAAAATACAGTGTACAACATATTTGGTGCCACGAGCCGGGATGTTTGCAACTATATTAGCACTCTCGAAACTGCTAATGCAAAATGGATCGAGCATATTCAATAAGTTTATCATCAAAGAAACAAGAAAAAAAGAAACAGACCAAAATAATCGATGATGAAAAAGGTATTTTAAACCTAATAAACGAAGGTAAGGAAACTGTTATAACTCTAATTATTTATAAAAATGATTCAGAGTTAATCCTTAAATGCCTAAAACAAGGTGAAATAAAGGAGGAACCAATTCAAAACACCCTCACGCCAACAATTAATTTATAACAAATACCACTACTTGTAGTTAGTGGTTGTGAATTGTGAAGGAGTTGTTGTTATTTCTGGGGAGAGTTATTCAGTTAGACACAAGTCGAAATTTTTATTGATAATAAGAATACAATATAGTAATAATAATGAATACAGAAATTATTTTGGTCGCCTAAGATCTTTAATTAAACGACTTCAGAACGATGAATGTTTACTTCTCAAATGTGACGAAACGATTCGCAATCAGTTACAATCTAACATCGAGAAGGTATGTCTAGAGATGAACCAGAGATTGGTATTATTCACCATGAAGTTATAATTGTTTCAAACTATGTTAAATTGTTATCGCCTTAAAATTTTCTCCTCATTTTTAGCATATTTAATCTTCAATTTCAGTCTCATTAATTACTATTCAATTTTATATGTTCCTCTCCCTATCTTCAGTAGAATTCTGAAAATTTTTTATCAGGTAGTGAAGCACGCACAAATAATACAGTACAAACTTTTCGAAATGATAAACAAAAATTAAGCAATATTTTATGAACAAAAATTTCAATTTAATAATTAACAAAATTGGAAATTATGTCAAAAGAAGGTACAAATTCACAAATACATGAATGAACGAATAAACAATAATGTACAATATATAGCAACAACGTATTGTCGCTGAATTATTAGCAGAAGCAAAATTTGATTTTGAGGAATGGCTCGCATAGAAAAGGATGGTCATCAGTCGATTGATTTGATCAACTGATTAGTTGCAATCAAATGACCTATACTATTCTCAATAATATTAGCAATAGTTCCATGAAAAATTTGACTGAGTCATCCCCTCTATGCGGTGATTCATTCAAAGATGATTCTTAAGAAGAGAGGTATGAGATTTACCAATAATGGAAAGCAATGATTATTTTAGCTCTATGAAAAGAATTGGGAACTGAAAAAAATGTTGTGTTCAGTTTCTTTTAGAATTTCACTACCGATGTCAATCAGCAATAGTGTCACAAAAAAGCTTCATTTGTACGATAATTTCAATTATTATCCATTCACCCAACAAAGCATATGCTGAATCAATTGAAAAGAGTTTGATCAGGAGGGACTTGATATCATAGAGTTAAGTGAAAGCCGAGCTTTGTTAAAGATAAAACCCTTCCTTTTGTCTCAAGTAATATATAAAAAAGTGATTTCTCTAACATTTCAAGAAAAATGAAGAAAAACTAACTGCCTGAACTCAAATCACGTCCGCTTCCATCACAAATAATCGGCACTACTAATAAGTTCTCAATAGCCCGTATGTAGGAAATGAATTTTTGATTATAAGCAAAAGTGAAGTCTCTCAAATTGCATTGCCATTTTGCGCAATAAAGGGTAATTTCACGAAAATTATTTTTTAAGGAAATGCAGCAGAAACACGGGTATCTGCTACAAAAATTCTGGGAATGAAGAGATGATGAATTTCTAAGAATAAAAATTTGAACTTCATTCCCAGAAATAGAAGTACAAACTTTACCCGGATGTACGTTTTATAAAAAAGAATGGGAACCAACGGAAAAGCACAAGTAAGAATCGCATCGCTTACATTAATTTCGTGTTCCGTCTAACTTCATTCTACTATCGTTTAAGTTGTATCCTTCTGTAAAGATATACGATATGAACCACTAACACAAGTATCACCGATGCGCAAAATGAAACACCTAGGACTGCTGATGTCATACTGATACAGTCACCTTGCGGCCTTTGCAGTCGACGAATCTGTGCGGCTATTCGAGGGTTATTGGGTGAAACGCCGAAATCTGAATTATATATTATTATGAGAGGAAAGGCGGAAGAATTTAACTTTAAACTTTAAAAATGAGAGGAGGACATCTACCTAGCTGAGTGTCCAGTACGTCGAGCTGTTGGGAACGGACGTCTACTTCAGCCATACGGTCAGTTAAGTTCAAGGCTAGCGGTAGATCCGGCAATGCTCGTCGTCTTACTGCTTTTTTTTGATTGCTCAAGTCTCGACATCGTGGCTTCTGAACATCATAAAACATATATTCATTTCCCTAACAAACAAGAGAACACAAAATAGTTAAGAGGTGGGAATAGAATTTAAGAAAAAGGATTAAGTGAACAATGTTGTCCATTTAATTGATTTTTTAAACAAAGTTTGAGAAGTTTAGAGATGGTAGGAATCCTACAATATAAGATGGGTATGAGCATATAAACTTATGATTCTAAGAGCTTTGCAAAAAACCAAATTTGTTGCTTACACTCTGTAAAACAAATAATTTTTTCGTACTATTCGAATATAACTTACTGGACACTCGCCATCCCGAATATCCAATCTGACTGAGCACTGGAAGTTCACTACCACTTTATCTGCAAATTTGAAAGCATGTGCTTCTTTTTGCGCTTCTAATTCATTCGGGCCATATTCTAGATTATCCAACAGGTATCGATCGATTGCGCATCTAAAACGAAATTTGATTATGGCAAATATCGCAGATGCAGTCTAGCAAAATGAAATTATTTCTTTAATTTCTCTACTCCTATTAAATTACCATAATATTTATAGAGCTATTTTCAAAATAACTATAACTCCTATCTGTACATCTGTTATTTTAATTCCGACGTCATAGACTTATGAAATGCTTTTTACACAAAAATTTTAAAGCAAAATGTTGAAGTGGAGGACGCAAAACTTACCCATCTTCATTGAGAATAACAAATTGCGTGCCAGATCCATCTTCAACAAAGCATGAATGAACTGTCATACACCATAGGTCTGAGATTTGAATTTGTGGTAGCAATAGAAATTTAACTTTGATTGAAATGAATATAATAAGAAAGCTAGATTTAAATTAAAAGGCGAGACGCGGATTGTTCTATTAGTAATTTCGGAAGCAAAAAAAAAAATGACGAATTTGAAGTTTGAGAGTGTTGAAAATATTGCCAATCGTATGAAATATGCGAACGAGTTGATCCGTAGAATCATTTCTTTTTATCTATTTCTTTGTTTTCTCTGTTTAGCTTAATTGGATAATTAATTATCGTGTATTGTTAGCATATCAGTTAGGTATTGATTGTTTTTGAACAAAAACAATCAATACCTAACCTTTACCGTGGATTCCTTATTGAAGTTGAATCTTCCCGAAATAATATCATTCTTATCCTATCAGCACATAAGCTGTTGCTAATTAATTTACGTGCTCAGAAAATATCTTACTCGTAGAAGTGGAATCACATTTCCATTTATGAAGCAATTTGCTGCCAACAGAAACTACCGACAATGGTTCCATGGAAATCGGATCCACTACTTCGTAATGACATCGTGGCATTTCTGCCAGTTCTGTGAACGGTTCCAACGATTTCATTGATACTGTCAATGGATATGTTACCGTTTTATCTGCTTCCATGTAGAAACAGCTAATTTCATAGCCCTAAAAGTGAAATGCTTGATGATATTTATGTCGAGCAGTCTATTCCACTAATAGACAATATTTTTGTTTCATAATTTGCCAGAACACAAAGTAATTTCGAACAATAAATGGTGAAACTGAATTTAAAACAAATTTTGTTCCTCAGAAAAATAAAATAGTGAGGTCTTCGATTAACCAAGAAATTTATAGTACCAGTCTATTTTATTCCATTTGCAAATTTTTAAAATCAAATGAATAATGAACTAACCCTATCAACTTTCGTGATAAATTCTTCATGAAATGAGATCATCACTTTCACATTTGCAAACATACCTGGTGGATTGGTCTGCAATCGGTGAAATTTACCTTAGAAAAGAAATAAGAATTTAGACTAAAACATTATTTTGTTTTTGAAGACAGTTAATTGTTTGCGCAAAATGTTCTCACTTTTTGGATCTTTGCATTTTATTTTTTTCATTTGCCGTTTTAAAAGGAACGAAGTAGTGGTTAGCACTGAAAAATTATTCTCTTATGAAAGATCATTCTCTTTCTTTGACATTGGTATTACTCAACTTGTATATATCTACAAAAATCATCGGACATTTACTATTCTCATACAGTTCGTGCAAATGAATTTATTATTAATTAACTCGACTAAAGCAGTTGTTAAAAAGAAATCTTTTTTTTGTTAGATGACGAAAAATGTGTTCTCATTACCGCTTCTGTTTTATTATGATATCATAGCGATAAATGAGTACAATAACACCTATGGCTGCTCAATTAAAAAAATCAAAAAAAAAAAAAAACTGGCTTTCTGAACAATCAATGGAAAACGTTAATTATGTCTTCGCCTTTGTTAAAGATAATTTAACAAAATTTATAAGATCCTTGCTCCTAATGCTTTTAATAATTACATACTGGTTTTTCTGGTATCTGTCAACCTAAAAAATATCAGCATCGATAGAGTTATTCATATAGATAGAGAATAAGTGATTAATAAAACAACTCAAGTAACTACTTCCAGATCATCCAGCTCAATTTCAGTTATGCATCACATAAAACTCAATGAAATAATTGTTATTTCATTGACAACTAAATAAGAATTGTATTGAAGGTTATATAGTTAGCTCTGATTGTTTGTCTAATTTTCCGTTTGTCTCAGAAATTTAGTTTTTATGAGATTTTTTGAATAGATAAATTATGTATTCGCTCTTGTTAAAAATAATTTCCTATTTTTCCTGCTTTAACCGTTTCTTTGTTCATCAATCTTTCATTTTCTTTGGCCAAAAACTTCGGTCATGATTTGACAGTGTTATACAATTATTAGCTTTTCAATATTCTTCAATCACTTTCTATAATTTCTCTTTTGATTATTTTTTATCATTTATCAACGCTCAGTACACATTCATGTTTCAAATTTCGAAGTTTTCCTTTTTTTTTTTTTGAATTACCCTACATGCAATCGAAACTGCAGTTTAAGTAAGCCCATCAATAAGAAAACACTGCGATAACTTCAAACCATTATTTAGTAAAATAGGCGTAAACAAACGCTGAAATTTTCATTCAATAGCTGTCATACACTATCGAATTTCTGGGCAAATTTTGGCAAATCTGAATATAAAAGCAAACAGGAAAACTTGTCTATCTCTTATTTGAAAGTTAAAATTATAAAACACGAAAAGTAGAAGCAATTAGTTATTGTATTGAATAGAAGCTGACATGCCAGTTTATTCAATTCCAATTGCCTTAAAATTAAAACTTTTTCAATCTGGCATAAATTCTCAATCAATTTTAGTTTTCGTGATTACAAGACATTTTGTTTGTTTCGCTGTTTTTTACAGAAACTAACAAAATTCATTCGTCAGCGGTATGTCAGCAAGTTCATCTTTATCCATGTCACATGCCATGAAAATGTCTTCGTAAATGAGGTCTTCGAAATAAAATTTCATGAAAAATAAACAAGTTGTATCAACGAAGGCTGTTGTTTGCCATATCGTGTCAATGCTGCCTCTACAGACTTCGTTTCTGCTTACATAGTTCAACAAAAAAAAAAAAATATTAGCAAGAGTGATTCTAACTTCCAAAAATTAGATGACTGTGCTTACTTAGTAAAAAAAAGTTTTTTAAAAAAAACTTTCTCATTTATTTGAATTCATCGAATTGTTAATGTATGGATTCTTCGAATCACTCATGCCAACTATGTTTTTTGGATATACACAGATCTCAGAATATGGTATTATGGTGCGGTGAAGAGTCATTAAGTTGAATAGTAAGACTGAAAGAAATCAAATGAATGTAATACAATTCATAATAATAAATGATAGTATTTTAGAACTGACATTCACTGATTCTAATATTTGTATATGGGACACTGTGATTATTCATACGTAAGACTAATTCAAAGACACTTGATAGTATTTTTTGAAATTACTGCAGAAAATAACATTTTATTGTGCTAAAGTAAGGTTTTTTAATTCAAAGTGTAACAAATCTGAATAGAAAAATTTGAGATTAAAAAAATCCAAAATGCCAAATAAACAATTAATTTTGGCAGTTTGCTCTAGTTGGCTTAATTTCTAATTCAGTTCAATTGCATAAATTTTATCTACAATTTCAATCAATTGAAGTGAAACAATAAAGCCAAAACACTTCGAAATTTAAAAAGTGAAACGCATAAAGTAGTCATAAAACTCGAAGTGTAGGCCATAATTTAATTACTTTCCAAGCAGTCAGTTAATGAAAATTTGGTTCTCTCAATTTCAAAAAAAATTTGAAATTAGGTATTTCCCAACTCTACGCGAATTAATTAAGTGAACAATGCAAGATGCACTCCATAATTGCCTACCAAGTGTGTGCTATTTTCACTTCTTAAACAGCGATTAGTAACAGTAGAATGATAAAAAGATAAAGGTAAATATGTAATTGTCTTAATATGTTAATTGAATTGAAAAGGCTATAAACATTACTTACTTTTATTAGTCCCATTATGGGCTATTTTTATCTATGGATTTGATCAGTGAAGAAATTATGATTGTTTTTCCTACGCCATATACCTGTTTCTAATTGTGAGAGGTAAGGCGATCGCAGATATTGCACTGACCATTTATTATTTTTTATCGTTTGTTCAAAACAACCTGTCTCTCCTCGTCCCCTTTTTCATAAAAAGAAAAAAAAATACAAAATCCAACACTTTCTAATAACCAATCTATAATCATAAGTTTGTAACAACCAATCTTGATTTCCTGTAATAAAAAATACTATAATGGTGACTTGAAGTTTGATGGCTCTTTGAAAACTTTTAACTTCCATAAAAAATTTTTATCCTCCAACAGTTGAATAATCCCTCTCACCTTATTTCTATCTCCGTTATGGGAACAAAAAGATGACTGATGGAAAGGTAAAATAAAACACAAATTAACCCAGTCACTACATTTTCAAAAGTGCTATAAATGATTCATCAAACTCGATCAACGCTTTTAATTGCTGTAGGGTTACAGTTTCGAAAAACTTTCACCTACATTTAGAAAATAGAAGGTTTGGGTCACTGATAGTACAACCCGACAGTGATACATGTTTTGACTTGAAAAAATGAGACAAAGAAAAATGAGTTAAACATACTAGATTTGTCCCGAACCTGGAACTTTTTTTTGCTTGACTAGAGAGTGGTAGCTTCCTAGACTACATTACATCATTATCGAGGTTAAAGTTCGACCTCTACGTATAGATGCACCTAATCACTTCATCTTACTTCGATTCATTAACAATGAGTGGTAAAAGCCGATTACAAATTTCTTCATAATATCAGTACTACGCCTTTAATTTAGAAAAGTGAAAGAACAGAAATCAATTGCAAAAGAAGGTGCAAAGGTCACTGATAGTATAAATTAGACATGTTTAAAATAGTTGTGACCATTGTGTCTTTTCATGCTAATGTCGTTGAATACAGAGCAAGTCTGAAAGGTATGTGTAAATGTGATCACGCAATGATAAATGAACTAACGGATCTCGTAATAGAGACACCACACTGATCCTTCCGCACCGTGATTGATGTTGTCTGGCGTCCAGTATCGCGTGATACACAGCGCTCGTCGTTTGAATGTCCTACTACGTAAATTCGACCCTGGAACACGCTTTCCGTCAGAAACACCACTTCAATCGTATCTTCGCCACATTCCACCTCCGCCTTCCCTAAAAATTATTGCTTGCCTTGTTGAATTTTTGAAAAAAAAGATGTGATAAAAAAAAAAAAATCGACACTTTTCAAATTAGATAAATTCTAACGCAAGCAAAATTTCAGTTCAGTTTTCACAAAAAGAATAATTAGAAAATTGACTATCAAAAAAATAAAGTTGGATACGAGATCATAGCACATTCAATTAGTGCATTGACACATCAAATGAAAAAGGACGGTAATGTTCATCGTTACAATCAACCCAATTTTGACTCAGATTTATTTTCAGGACTGAAGACTATAATTTCTTAATAAATTTTGATTTGGCTAGATTTGAACAAACTGCGCTCATAAAAGTGCTCATAAAAGATATTGTCATTACAATTCCAACTATCAAAACCTGTTCTCTTTCCAATGTTCAAAACAACTCAATATGAAACGGAGTTTTTCTTAAAAAGGAAAAAGATTTTAACTTTATGGTAGAGTGAGCGATCCAACGATCTGAAAATTACCTAAATCATAACCGTTCAGATATTCAAAAGTGGCATAATCGATTAACCTTAAATCAAACAATTCACCACTTCAATTTTTTATGCTACTCTGAATTTCCTTTGGACTATGTTATCTTTTTTAGAATCACACATACAGTATTGCAGAAACATAATACAGAGATTCAGTTTCACAGCATAAAACATTTTACTTTCAAATTTATAATTTTAAAACTTCGTTGTTCTTAAAATATCTTGATAAATCAAGATAAATCAAGATATTTAAGTCAAGATATATTTAAGATAAAGAAAGTTCATTGTGTTGATTCCATTCTATACCTCGCGTTTTTTGTTTAATAATCTTTTCATTAGTTAATTGATTTTCTTAAACTTAATTTGGACACGCGAAAATTTTGATGCATTGAGATAGTAGGGTGCTAATAATATGTCGAGTGAGCTGTTGCTTGGTTAGCAAGGTCAAGACTCTTAACCCTTTTTGACTGCTAAATTAATGAACTCTTTCACTACAGGTAATATGTCCTTCATTTTAATGTGTAGAATGATTGGTCATTGCTATATTGGCGAAAGGGGATGCACTGAATTACAAGCGCATTCATGCTTAAAAATAATTGATTACTTGCCAATCAAAACACTGATTGTTTGTCACTAAAAGTAAGGTCTAAATGATATAATAGGAAATCTTTCACGATTAAGCCAATCAGTATTCTATTCTTATCGAAATAAAATCATTGCACTGTTTTTTGTGCTGTTCATGATAAGGTGTCAAATAAGTGAAACAGTTTTGTGATTAAATTTCGATTATAGAAGTAGTAAGCAGCTTTAAGACCAATTCTCCATGACATATTATCTGTTTAACTTTTAGACTCTAAATTTTTTTAAAAAAAAACCAAGTATAACGGTGGAAAAGTTTTGCTCATAAAGCACTTCCGAAGCCAGAAGTTTATTTTCAGCTATAAGAATGTGGAAAAGCTGATTGTTTAATTGCAAACATTGCAGTGGACACAACTGAAAGTGAAACTTCTTATAGGACAGTTTTTAAAATGGATATAACATGTTTCGATAAGTGTGGTGACAGTGGAGAATGTCTTGGACTATTAGATGCTATAGAATTTAATGCGACACGAAAGTAACAACTGCTGAAGAATGCGCTTCTGTGCCAATTTAGAACCTTTTAACAAGTTAACAAAGCAATTTTCGTTTGTTCGAAAAGATAAATAGCATTGGTGACACATGGATGTGGACAACATTCCTCGCGGATAGAAATTTGCAGGATGGCTGCTCAAATTTTGATATGATAAAAGTGAGAGTAAGAATTACCGATTTGTGAATTTGGTATAGGAATGGAATGGACCAGTTGGCTGTGCATGATAGCTTGGATCAGAAGCAGTAACGGTATCGATAGAGTGGCCACAGTGGAAGCAACACGTTGGGTCATCATTTGAGCACCTTACTGACGCATATTCGTTTTGTTGCCAGCCTCTTGTAGTGCGACGATGTTCCGTTTCTGATCTCTTTCAGCCCCTTCCATGTCCACATTCGACCAGTGTCCTGGTCAGTCGCGATGCTGATGGTCATCCATCAAGCAAGCAGCAATACTCTCTTCTCTCACAACACATTCATTCCCTTAGGCGTCCGCAAGTTAAGAAGCTATCAGTAAAATCACCGTCTTACAATTTCATCTTTCCACCTCTTCTTTTCAACCTTTTCTCTTTATCCTCCCGAATCTTTTCTCATTCTTTTTTCAACCCGCTATATGATTATCCCGGATCTTAGTAGCATCTGCATCTGCATCTACAGCAACACAGCAGCACAGCAGCAGCAGCAATAACAACAACAGCAACAGCGATGGCACAGGAACTTCGCTTTTTTAAATCAATTCGATGTAAGGATGCTGAGAGAATGCTACCATCGACAATGTCACCTTTCCCTTTCACCTCTGTCACTAATCAGGTATCGCAGTATCGTCCCTTTGCTTCCTTCATTTCATTCCCGATAAATGATCACCACTGCTTGCCGATAAGTGCTCCCTCTGTTCCGCGATAACAGTAGTAGTAGCAGTGGAATGAAGGTGGACAACTGCTGAAAAGAAAACAATACTAATAGTTATTGTGGAGTTACCCCGGATCTTCTTGTCATGTAAGAGCAATGAATGCCGAACATACGATGATATAATCTACTGATCGAACAGCTCAATAACTGGTTCCTTCCGCATACTTCATTAAGCTAACTATAATGCCATCAGAAGCAATTGTAGTCACTTCCTAAGCCGAAGCCAAATTTTCATACGTCAATCTGCTTCCGAACTACTTTCAACTTTTACTAAAACCCTCCTTTACAACACATAACTGGAAATCTGTTCGATCAAATCGTCGTCTTTGATGCTATGCATAAAGAAAGAATGAGCTATTGTCAAGAAAAGGTAACATCTCACTAAAACTATGGATTATATCTTTTCTGGTCGAACAACCAGAAAAATCAAAACTGATCATTGCGCAGCAATGCAAAAACGATCATTGTGATTGCATCATTCAAAATTTTTTCTTTTCTCTATAGAAAGAGATTTTTGTTAAATTTTCACTTCGATATTTCAGTTAAAATAAATGTCGAAAAATTAAGGGAAATATGTATACAATTTAAAGTATGTAAATATAATATTATAAATATATTATTGTCTTATTCTCCGAAATTTCACTTGAAATTCCTAAAATGCAGTGAAAATATTTCATTTCTACTTAATAAGAAGAATGAGATGCGAGCATCTTTTTTCACTCTCACATAAATTCGAACTCTGATGCTATTGTAAGTTTGTGATTGAGCTTTTTTAAATGCTTTTTTTGATGTGCAACAATTATGCAGTGATAAATACAAAAATGAACAATTTCAATGATTTCAGCAAAGTTTAGTGTACATTTCGGACTATTCATTTCTGTGAAACGAAATAAACTTCGCTCAACAATTTGATTCATGCAGGAAGGTTATTATGCAAGAAATGCATTTTATCTCATTACAAGATCAGAGTGATAGGGAGATTATTCATAATTGTTGCACACTTCAAAGAAAAATTTATTTTATCTACTTAAGACTCACCCATTGAAAAGGAAGAAATTCCAAGCTTTTTCTCTCTGTAAATCTGAAATTTCTCTTGACAACAGTTCTGTTTTCCCCAGAAACAATAATGATAACTTCTGCTATGAACAAATTCATTGACTCTCTCTCTACATCTTCCCCTCTCTTTTTTTTAAAAGATTAAAAAAAAGTAAAAAAAAATATTCGTCAAATTTATGATTACGGTTTCTTAAAAAAGATTTTTAACTTAAACTTACTCATTTAAAATTTATTTGCATCAATCACTTGTATGTTTCCGACAGTTGTAGCAATAACCAGGCAATGAACAAATTGAAATTTCAGATTTTAACAGTCTCGTATAACTAGACTGGCAGGAAATCTTAGAAAGTAATCTTCCGGGATAGTTTTCGGCTTTTCCACTACTTTTTATTCTTACAACTAAATATTTTCAGTTCAACATTGATTGTTTGTCGAAGTGCTGTCATATACTTTTAGGAAGAAATTGGGTAAAATCTTGAGAAAGCAAAAGAATGTTATAATTAGATAATCTTTCATCAATACCAGGGAAAAATATATAGCTGAATGATAGCACTATGAAATACTGTGATAAGCTATTTGCGTTTTCTAACTTCTGTTTGCTTACATTTAAACCTTCTATAATTTGGATCATTAGATTAGTGGAAGACAAAGTATTGCATTCACCGAGAAGTATCAGTGTTACATTCCACAAGTACTAGCCGAAGTTGTCTGTAAAAAAATGCCTAAATTTTGGAAGAAACATCCATCAGCTGACCTTCTTTTTTGCAATGGTTGAAATTTTAAAATTAAATTGCAATAAAATTAATAGTTAGTTGCACAAGACGAAGTAGTAAATGTTCTACGCACTAATAGTTCTTTTCAATTCATAGAATAAAAAATAAAGATTTCTGATCTAACAAAATAAATATCTTGCGAATTCCTGTCTGCATAATCTTTATCACATCTTATCAAAATCTTCGACTGGAATTAATGTTATAACCATTCAGAAAAATTGATTACATGAGTTTGTTTACCAATTTTAGATTTCTTTAAGATTAATTGCATTCGATCAGAATCAGGCATCTATCTTTCTAGCTATTATCATAAGAAGCATTTCGTATTGAAAGTAATAAACAAAATTATTTCAGCCACGAATGAAATGCTCCATTTTGATTTCAACTTTTTATTGTAAGATATGTGATGTGATAATTGAGCAATAATTTTTTCAAAACTCAAAAAAAAAAAAAAACAAAACAAAACAAATAAATTCAAATAAAATTGAAATGGCTTCATTATTGAATTATTTCATGAGTGCATTTATAACTTTACAGAGATCGATGTTCGGTTTGTCCACTTGATGCTAATCTTCACGCTCATTCCACAAAAACCTATATTTCACCGCTTCACTGGTTTTAACTATTTTAAAAAAAAAACAGAAATTTGTTAATTGATTTCAAGCAACCCACTTTTTAATTTGATTTTATTCGAATTTCGTTTGAAGAAATAATGCCAGTTAGAAAACCAAACTTTGAATAAGTGGATGATTCCATGAAGAACAAACATTCTCAATGTAATCTTTCACAAGCAACCATCCATGTTTGTCATTTATCAGGTCGCTACTACTTCAACTGTGTGTGAAATCTCATTGTTTCTGGAATCCATCAATATCGATGAAAGGAAAAGTGTACTGCTGCTAAAAGAAATGCTCAGCAATGCTGTTGCGGTAGTAAACAAATTAGGACATACATATGATAAAAGTGCATAAATGTTGCATTGGAGAAATATGAAAAGTTGTGAAAAGCGCAATGAATGGTGTAACTATGAGAATCATCTCGAATATGACCGATGAATGACGACAAAGAGAGATGACAGATGATAGATATGTTAAACATAAATTGGTTTCATTTGGCCCCAGAAGTATTTTACCTTTTGATCGCAAAAGCGTCTCTATGCGTATTTTAATGCTGCGAATTTATAATTTTGTATTTTTTTTACATTTTCATGTCTTTGTCTAACTTTTCCATTTTCCATAATACTAAATGTAATTTGCCACGTTTCAAATCAATATTTGTATAGCAATTTCTTAACTTTAACTTTTTTGACCTTCTACTTTAAATATTTCATATCAGAAATTCAGGTAATCTCTAAAAGAATACTTATTATTATAGGTATATGGGTTTGCGTTTAAAGAAAGATTATAAATGAAGTTCAGTTTGATTAGTAGCTTTTGTATTATCATGAAAAAAAAAATTATGACGAATCAATTTTGATGAAAAGTCATTTGCAGTCGGTCGTCATAGGTGCGCTAAAATTCAGTGAAAGTTGACTGGCATAAACGACAGTTTTTTTCTACAAAAGATTCACAATCAAGATATGTAGTTCTACTTTATTGAATAGCGCAGTTGACTGATTTAGAAACAATTCTTTAAGCTCTAATCTTTACCAAAAGTCACGAATATTTACCATTTTATAAAATACATGAATGAATGCAGAATGTATAAATAAGCTAATTCATCTTCTATTCATGTCGTGACGACTGGTCATGCTGAACTCAGTTTATTGATGACCTTAGCTCATTTCTTGAATGCTTTTCTCATCTCGAAAGTAATAAGACTGCAACTGATACCGCTGATATGCTTAGGCCAACAATAGTGAAATACATTCAACTCACCAATAAACCACTATTTAAAATCTAAATTATAGACACTATGGAAAATATTAACAACTGCATCAGAAAAAATAAGGATGCATGTCAAAACAATATGAAGAGTGGTGAAACAGAGGTAAATATCGTTGTAGTATATGGAACTTTTCAGATGGCGCGGGAATAAGCTCAAAAATAAACAAGTGCATTAAATTGGAAAAACAAGATAAGGGCATAAATCGTAAAGTAAATACAGGGTAAGAAATCAAAACAAAACTAATGTCTATTTACATGAAATTTAGAAAAACTTCGACAGGGAAAGTTTTAGCTAATTGTTAATCATTCGTGGCTAATTTTCGATTATAATTAACTTGTAAAGGAACATAAGAGCTAGCACCATTATAACAATAAAAGATTAAAAGCTAATGTCATTTATATAAAATAATCATGAGGTGCGACACGACTGATCTCGGGTTATCTTCGATTTTGGTGATTCTACAGAAGATTTACTCTTGACTAAAGCCTTTGCAGCTTCTGCTAACACATTTTCTTTTTCCATTAATTTCTGTATCTCCTTTCTTTCTTCTACTGCTTCTTCCATTACTACGTTATCAACATTAATATCCAGTTTTGCTGTAAATCGATTATTTTAATATTTCATAGACTTGCAAAACTTTAAAATAGAAGTTTAAATAAAAGTGCATAAAATTCAAATTTACACGATATGAAGTCCATAATATTGATTTACAAAAAGAAAAAAGAATTTAATAATGTTCGTAACACCATTATTAAATTATATTCATAAAGTAACACCTAATAAAAAAAAAAATCATATAACCAACATTTGAAACGACTTTCTGTTACATCCTCTATTTTTGCATTTGGCAAATTCACTCCTGATGAAGTTTCGTGAGCTGAAAGATGAATTCCAGGAAGAATTGCTGGTGGTTCAATATAGCCCATTCTCCGGTTTACAGCTTCTTCATCTTCGCCATGCTAGATAATTAGACATTACAGTGACAAAACAAAGAAAATACCGAAGGTGAGAACAGTTTGAAAAGAAATAGGAATGATTACAGAAACAGTTCGGACAAAAGTGAGATTTACTGTTCACTATGCATTTAGATTTGAATAATATCCATATTCACAAAATATTTTCAAATAGCATAATGCTAGCTCACGAAGCGTTTATTGCCATCTAAATTTCGAAATGATAGTCTTTAAAGTTTAAACTACCAGCATTCTGAGTAATGCTGAAGATTATAAAAGTCAAGTGAAACTATTTCTCAGTGATACTTCCGGCGTAGAAAAGCAAAAAGAAATGAGCAAGGTAGAAGCTAAAAATAGAAGTTTCCATTTTCTTATTGATAAAACAAACCATTTTAGCTTGAAGCTTGGCATTTACACGCAACAGTTCAAATATCTGCTCTTTAAGGTCGCCGACTTCTTCATCCGCATCATCGCACGCTTTTCCTAATCGTTCATTTTCTTTTTGCAAAAGGTTTAATCTGTGTTCTAGCTCTTGAACTTCTTTCTCTTGTACAGTTATTTTTCTCATCTACAAAAAATTTTCAAAGAAATCCGGTATTTCTAGTGTTGTCTGACAGTGTGACAGAAAACATGGTACAGTTGTGATATATTGCTTTACCTCTGTCCTAATTGTTGTGGAGCAACCTAATAGCGTAAGACAGATAAAAATGAAACTACCAAATTCCATATCCCGACCGAATAGTCAAAGTGGATTGGAGTGAGTGCTTGAAATTACCATTGTAATACCTACAATTTTTTTCTGAATAACTTTTATATTCCTTGTACGGATTTATATCCCAAGGTATTACCTCTTTTAAATCTATGTTTTCTTTTTCCAATATCAAAATCGTACTCCTGAGTGCTGCATTTTCATTTTCCAGTTTATCTTTTTCCCTTGTCAAATTTTCAGTAACATCAATTACTGGAGCAAAATTTTCACTTCCGAAATCCAAATTTTTATACAAAGCTGTGTTTTGAGACCTTATATCTTCCTCAACTTTCTGCAAATGCTGGACCGACCTTTGTAGACCCTAAAATCGACAAAGCTTGACTTCAAAGAAACAAAAAGGAGCACTCGTATCAAAATTAACAGGGATAATATTTTAACATTATTTGAGAGTTTTGAAATTATATGAAACAATCAAAAAATCCTGAAAGAAACAAACCTGCATTATTTCTTCACCATGTTCGCATATTTGCTTGAAAGTATCTGCTTCTTTTTCACTATGTCCCAACTGTTTAGCTTCTCGACCTTGAAAGCTATCCAGCAATACATTTAAGTTTTTAAAGTCTTTCTCTACAGACTCATGTAGTATTTTTATTTTATTACTCATTTCTTGCATTTCTGCTTGAAATGAAGTTACAATAAAATATTGTTTTTTCAGACAAGAGTGCATCTCATCCGAATCCTTCGACCACTTATCATTCAATTTCTGAAATTCGATATATAAACAATATCATGATGAATGTACTAATACAATAAAACTATATTTGATATCCAAATTTACTTCCTGAAGGTCTTCTATATGACGTAGCATTTTTAACATAGCACCATTTCGATTTTCTTCAGATTTTGTTTTAGTAAACTCTGTCACAGAATACAGCGTATCTGCCCATTTGTTTTGGAAACCCTAAAATATCAAAACTATACAAGGCTTTAAAGGCCTATAAAGAACAAAAATTCTAAGATTAGAAAAGCGGCAGCAAACAAGACCAACCTGCAATAAACTTGAGAAACAATTCTTGTTTTCAGAAAACTGAGTTAGCATCAATTCTTGCAAACTATCAAGCTTTGATTTCTCATTTGTAAATAACATCTCCCATTTGTTTTTTTCTTCTACCACTTTTTCCATCATCACCTCTAACTAAAAATTTTGGATTCAAATAAAAATTGGAGTGATTTTTCTTTCTTTGCTTCTATATATATTATAACGTACCTGCTTGAACTCATTTCTAGCCAATTTTCCATGTTGAGCTACTGTTTCGACCAATGTCTCAAACTGAGGAATATCTTGACAAATAATGTTTACAGTTTTTTCAAAATAGGTAACAGAAATTTCTACATCGTCTGCATCCCATTTATTAGCGAATATGTTGCTTTTCACATCACTCTTAATTTTCTCCAGTAGTGATGTCACCTTTTCCAACAAAAATGATTTCTGCCTTATGGTTTCATCATTTTTTGTACGAACAGCCTCATCAATTTTATTCCCAAGTTCTGCAACTTTAGCTTCCAACAGAGATATAATTGAGACGTGCTTGTTTTCATCTGATATCATCCCATCGTTGTTCTCATTTTCCAAATCTTGAAGTTTTAAGGAGAGCTGACTTTTTTCCTCTACAATCTTTTGCAGTTTGCTTTCAAGTTCCTCTATCCTTTGTTGAGCTTCCCGATGCAAAGAATGTGCTGTATCGAGCTGCTGTTGCATAATTTCAATCTGAACTTCCATTTGATTTTCCTTAACACACGATGTGAAATCTTTATAAAATTAAGACTACAGAGAAAATTCTACGGTGTGAGGCATCTTCAAAAGTTTGAAAATTGGGACAAATCAAAAAAAAAAAAATCACTATAATAATTACCTCAACTAAAGATGTATTAAATTCAACGTCAGCTTGCGAAGTGTTTTTCTTGGTCGACTGCTTTGGCTTCCCTTGCTTCAACTCATCTATCAAATGTTCTGCTTCGTACAACTATAAAAATATTTAATAGTTCGTTAGTTCGCAATTTTATGCTCTATAATGAAACATGCGTTTTTTCGAAATATAAAATCCTACACAATAATTGCTTTAAATCACTTCTGTGAAATTAAAAAAAAATATGCCACAAAGTTTCTACCTTTCTCCGCAGTATATCTATTTCTCCTAACTTCTTTTTTATTTCATCCTTGAAAAAAAATCTATAATCTTCAGAATCCTTTTCAGCAATTTCCTTTTGTCTGCTTAACTGATCCTGTAAAAAAGGAAAAAAAAAATCGTGATTTCGACAATTTCAATTCGCAGTAATTCTGAAAAACAAATATTTAAAGGAACTGATTCTTACATTTGAGTGAGTTAAATCCTTTAACTTCGATGACAGTGTTATAATTTCTGCCTCTTTCCCTCTCAGTAAATTTTCCAGCTCGGCAACAAAAGTCATATTCCCTTCTGCAGCCAAACCCCCAATAGTAGCTGTTAATGCTGCAAACTTATCCGAAAGAAGTCCTAGTTCGATGCGCATAGCATAACAATTCTCGCAGAACATCGATGTTTCACAATAGGCTTCATTAATAAGAAACGAATAATTTTGTGCTCGTTCTTCAGCATAGCTCGCCAACTCTCGCGGTGAAGATAGGTTATCCAAATTCAAATTTCTAGTTGCAAAAACTCTATTTTTGCGTGCCGACAGTGTAAGATTTTCTAGCTTATCTGGATATGCCATTCTTTCATCTACTTGTGTTGTGAGACACTTCGGTATCACTGAAGAAATAATCTCCGCATTTTCAACTTGCAAAACTGGAGAACGTGTTGCTTCAGTAAATTGGGCTTCGATAACATTGTTCATATCTATGGTCTCACATAAAATTGCAGAGCAAGAATTGGTTTCAGTCGTTCTGGCAGAAGGTTTTGAACCTGGTACAGATAGATCAGTTTTGACAGAATATATAGAATTGTTCCCTACAACTTTTTCTTGAGAAGCACGTGTAGAAACACTGATGTTCAGCTCTTCGGTATCATCATTCTTCCCAACTCCAGCAACATCCTAAATATGACAGCTATCAAAATATTATAAAACTCTTGAAGACTGAAACTACAGAAGAAAATTAACGAAAATTCATGTGAAGTTTTATAATTAATCCTACAGAAAGTAATTTAAACTTACTTCAACAACATTCAACAGTTCAGCTTTTGATTCCAGTAAACTAGTAGAATACATCGAAGTGGATTTCAAATATGTTTTTATTGCTGACTTCATTTCGTTAGACATTCCAGGGCTCTTGAACACATTTACAACAAAAATATTATTGCATGAAAAGCTACATAACGATAAATCAAAATGAATACTTTAAATATTGCTTTCCCTTCTAAAATGGTGATCGAATTTTTATGCAGATGAAATTTAGAAATGATGCTTAACAAAAAAAAAAAAATGTGAAAAACGAAAAAAATAAGAAAAATTAAAAATTGAAGAAAGAAAAATGGAATTTGGGCTGCAAATAACTGGGTAGGTGACAAAACTTCTAAATCTAAAACATAAAATGTAACGACATCTCTGACCAATGCAGCAGCCACCGACGATGATGTCACATCGGTAATGTTTACGACGTCATCGCATTCTGATGCAATGCTTCGTTCACCCATTGCTTCTTTCTAAATGCTCATTTCTAGTTATGATATGAAAATCTCGAAATAAAGTAATTTACTACATGATCTAAGCATATTTTTGGATCGCAATAAATCGCTGCGATGGAAAATGAAAACAGAGAGAAAGCATCAATAAGAAACCAAGCAATGAAACTGACTTTTGACAACGCTCGAAAGAGCAAGGAAAAAAGTGAAAAAAAACTGAACCGTAGTTTCCTCGAACTGCAAGGTGTCTTCTACCAATGATTGTTCAATATTCGGATCTGGATTTATTACTGTTGGAACTCTGTCTTTCTATAATATATACTTAAATTAGCATCAAATTTCAATGTAAATAAAAAAACTGAAGCATGATCTCATTAATTTGTGGCAAACCTCGACAGAATACAGTTCGAGAAGAGTGGCATCAATATTGGGGTCAATTTGATTGATATATGCAAGCTTTCGTTCCAAGGGAGTTCCCGACAAACGAGACTGTAAGAGTGGCAAGTAAATAGCAACAAAATAAAAAAATTTACCGAATGAAGAGATTGTCTTCCAATAAAAGTGTAGTTTATCCTCAAAGAATAGTAGAATTTAAGGTACTAATATACGTGCTAAACGTACAATTTTTCTTTTCTGATTATATGTTATTCCATATCTTAACAAAAATGAAATGAACAAACTAATTTTGTGGTCTGCGGGCGAACAGATGGAGACAACACTGCTAGCGGACTATTAGCGCTCTGCCTCTTCTAAAACAATGGCAAAAACCAAGTTATATTCTTTTGTTGCATTTGTTTATTCAGATTTATTGATACTAATTCATTAGCCGTGTTGGCTATTATTCGATAAAGAATAAATCAATGGAAGTAATAAACTTTGTTCCATATCCTTTTTAAATTTTCCTAAATTATATTACGTAGAGATCGATAAAGAAAAAATGAGCAGAAATTCAAAATTCAAACTGTTCAAGCAAACAAGCTTAGAAAAACTCGGTTTTTTATAATCGAATTAACCAACAACAGATATTTTACTATACTCTTCACTGATCAGACTGTATAAAGATAATAACTTTCTATCCATAACTTAAAAGTTAACTTACAGTATGCTTTTTCCTGTTATCCTCCAGATCACTAGATAACGACATTTTGCTGTAAACCAACTGAAATTAAATTACTGATGGAAGAATATTCCAAGTATCAGGAAAAACAGAATCATGTATCAGATTAATTCAAACTAGTTTTTTTTTATTTGAATTCATTGATTAAATTTACAGATATGTTATCAATTGAGAAATAATGATTTTGAATGTAAGCAACTTATTATAACCGTCTTAAAAATAGGTAATCTTAATAAAAACCATCTAGATCGCTCGACAGTAAATTACAGAAGAGTTCAGCAAACCCGATTGCTCAATCTCAGAGTTAAGCAATTCGTGTCTTTCGACTTCTCCCGGGATTCAGGAGGACTATGAGAATGGGAAGGTATGAAAATCTCCCAGGATTGAGAATGAGAATGTTCTAATTCATCTAAAATCTTTCAGCAGCAAGCTAAAATACTGCTGAGAGATAAGGACACTAATAAAGGTGTTAAGAATGTATTCTGAACGACCAGACGACAGCTGTAAAGCTCATCAGATTCCATCTGCATTTCCCTATCGAGAGTTTCGCCTCTAGGAAGAAATGAAGTCCCAGACTTTCCAAGAGACTTGTGTCACAATGTCACCCTATCCGAGAGGTCATGATGAAATCCTCACCTACTTCAGATACCAAATGACCGCCCATTCTTTAAACATGTTTAAAATCAAACTTGTCCCGCTAAAAAGTGCTTTTCAAGTTGTCTGCCCGCTTTCACCCTCTTCTTTCTTCGTGCTCATTCAGAGCAATTACTCTCTCTTCCTGTTTCTCCAAAAGCAAACCATCTTTTCTGGCAACTTTTCTCAAAGTCGCTCACTTAATGCCAAGCGCTAACGGCATTAGCCAGTTGACAGCAATTGATGGAGGATGTGTTGTCCACGTGATGGCGTCATGCCGTACTGCTCATTTAATGTTGTACTAATTAATTGTATCGTATCATCTGTAAACGAGGTTGTCTCGTAATGTTAGCGTATTTAGATATATACTTTGCTTTCAAGAATACTATTGCAATGAAGTTGTTGGAAAACGTAGAGCTTGAACAGCTGTCATACACATTTGGAGAGCATGCAAAAGATTGTTGTATTGATGTGAGGTTTGTTATTAAGATATTTATGAGAGGCTGACAAAGGAGGTCAGTCTTTCCATTTTCAAAAGCAGTCCCCTTCGTAGTGTGCTTAATAGTTCGTTTTAGCATATAATTGTTGTCAAATAATAATAGCAACAAAGATATTAACGATTAATACTGATAATAGCAGTAATTGTAGTAATGTTAATAATAATAATGATAATAATGACAATAATAATAATAGTAATAGCAAATAACAATAGTGGTGACAGTTATTAGGGTAATGATAGTAGTAATAATAAGTAACTGTAATACAGCAGTTATGCTTTATTTTTATTTTTACTTGATTTTGATAAGTCTTGTGTTGATGTAATTGTATATGCATCGTTACTGAATAATAGAATACCGACAAACAGAATTAATACCTCATCATTGCTTTGACATTCGAAGGAAAACTTGAATTTTAAAGCATGTACTTTTTACGATCGTAATAGTTTATTTTGGTAGACTGGAAGCGTATTCCTGCAAAATGATAACATCTGACAAGAAACAGTGGAAGAAAAGTCAGCAAAATAGCAGTAATGCACCTCAACCACTCTCACCACCAGAGAAATTACCGTGGTTTCCATCGAATTCATCATGGACGCAAAATCCACGGTTACGCCATTTTTCAGAACCCGGTTGTTCCAGTTTGAATATTAGTATTGAAGAAGTAAGTTATTATGATTTATAGTTCTCCGCATCAGTTATTACGTTCTAATTTCTTCTGACTTCACAAAGAGGCTACCACTTTATTCGTCTTCATTTTATTAGTAGAACTTCAGAATGGCTTGGTATATGCAGATGCAATTTCCTCTCGAACTCTTTTTGAATTGAGATCGGTTATGAACGCATCATTTCAAGATTATGATTTCTCTTCTACAAAGAGCGAAGCATTTTCTCTCATTCCTAATTTTGAAGTTAGTTTTCATGCAGTTGCTTCTGAAATCATGGTTTGCCTAGGAAATTACGGAAATGAAGTTCTAAAAGAGGTGGTATGTAATATGTTACCATTTTGTGTCGTCATTTCTTTTGCAGAGTAATTCATAATATCAGTTCTGTATGGAAGGAAGCCATTAGAGATTGTATATGCTAGAGATTATATACATTTTTTGATTAGCAGTTAGTAATTTTTTTCTCACTAATCTTGGTTAAAATTGTAAGTCCTTACCCTGAAAAGGCATAATCGTATATGGAGTCGTATTTACAGACGTTAGCCGGTTTGGTAGATTCAAAACTTTCTGCTACAGTGGCAAATTATTATGAGATTAAAAGAGTACTGTGGGAACGAGTCGATCAAATCATCAAAATTAGTGATTGTAAATTATACAGGTATTTCTTATGAAATATACGGTATAAAGTCATTGACGCCTTCTGGACGGTTTAAATGGAGTAGCTGGTATGGTAGACTTTTTCAGGTAACCATGAACAACTGCATCTAGATAGAGTAGTGTTAGAAGAAAACGTTAACTGTTTTGATAGCGAAAAATTTTTCTTTGTTTCCTAAATGTAGGGTTTTAATAAATTTCACAAATCTCTTTATGAAGAATGATCATTTTACTTTCCATCTTTCTATTATATTACCGAATATTAGAACCAATAAAAATCTAATAACGTTCTTACAGTTACCGAACAGGATATACCGGCGATCCGTACTGTGAAGACTTGGTAATGTGGTCATTTGCATACTTCTTCCATAATAAATCTCTAAAGCGCATTCTCTTCATGTCATGTCGTGCATTTCGAGCTGATACTGCTCAAAATCGGTCAGCCGAAGAGTTATGGGGTGTAGATGTATAATTTTGCGTCTGAATAATAGTCAGTAGGTGTCATATTTTGTAGCTTCCTAAATACTATTGTTACTTCTTTCGTTTTATGACTTCAATAATTTTGTGCTTCAAAAGCCTAATACTCGTATGAGGCGACATTATTTCTATTTTGTCAAACATAATTTTAGAAATAGTTCCTGTTTTATATACCTCTTATACTCTTGCTTTTCTCAACGCATTTAATTATTTTAGCTTATCAATTTTCATTGTGTGTATTTTTCTTTAGAAGTGGCGAATTCATTTTTTTAGTACTTTTTTCCACAAGGAGTAGGTGTTGTACATTGTTTTATTCTATGTCAGTTTTTCAGTTCACCTTTACTTGATATCTGTAAAGTACTGTAAATATTAACGATTACCATCTTATTCTGCAGTTATTGACGATGTATTTTTTATCTATTTTGCATAGCCACGTTTGATATACAGATTATTTTCTATTCTTATTATTATGGATGCTTATTCGTTTCTTTTTGCATATAAATATTTCTTGCTAGAGATCAGTTTGGATTTTGAGGTTGGACCTTTTATTTTGATTTGAAACTATTTTAAAGAGAATTGAAGTGATTTAGCTTAAATTGATCACTATTTTTAGAGTTATCAGGCCATGTGACATGATAGATAATATTTCAAAGCACTTAAGATTTCATGTATAATCGCAAGTAGTGCAAATAAGTAGATTTTCATTTTCCGATTTGTCAAATGGCGGATGCACCAATAACAGCAGCAGTTAAATATGAATATCTTGACCATACGGCAGACGTTCAGTTGCATGGTTGGGGTGACACTTTGGAAGAAGCGATGGAGCAGACATTGATCTCTATGTATGGCTATATGACTGAGATTTCAATGGTGTCTGCGGAGTACTCCTTTGATTTGTTTGCCAGTGGTATCGATATGGTCTCATTAATGGCTCGATTATTGGATGAAGCACTATTTGCTTTCTCAACAGAGCCGTTCTTCATTGGTAGAGTTGCAAAGGTGATTAAACTCGATCGTGAAAAGTTCGAAGTGCAGATGCGGTGCTGGGGTGAATCGTTCGATCTCAGTAGGCATCCACAGGGAACTGAAATTAAAGCAGTCACTTATTCTAATATGCAGGTTAACGAATCTTTGGATAAGACTGATATTTATGTTATTGTAGACATATGATTCCTGGAGTACTCTTTGATTTTTAATGAAATTGTACAAGGCCCACACCCGGAAGGCGAGTGGTATTACCTCATTCATTATGTTTTTCATTAATTGAATTATTATTTCACGGTTTGGGAGCTAAAGGATGCAAATTATTTGCACACTGATTTTATCTTATTATATCCAAATGTTAACATCATTCGTGACTTATCAAATTTTCTAACCATTAGTTTTAGTTTTAATTTGATGATTGCTCCATTTTTTCATTAATCTTGAATTAGGTGGAGCGTTTACATCTTAATTTGCTTAGTTGCTGATACTCGCGATAATCATTTGGGAATCTATTTTATTGTTTTGTGTGGGTGCGCTTATCGTGTTAATGCGTCTTCACGTCATCTCCTGTTGCGCTATCCATTTATTTCACACATATAACTTTAATAAAGTTTCAGGGAAGATGAATATTGAGAAACGTGTTTTCAAGCGTAAGATTAAGAAACTTCAGAATGCAGTAAAGCCAAAAATGTCAAAAATTGGTGAAAGTGAAATAGCGACAGAGGAAGGAATGGTTAATTTTTCTTTTTCAACTTCAGCAACTGTCTTATTTCACTTGTTTACAATTTTGTAAATTACTTATTTTTGTTATGTTTTCCGTTAGCAGTTAATTTTGCGCTTAAACCGGAAAGACAAATCTTGTAAAGGTTGGCTAGGTTTCTCTTAAGTTTAGTACCATATAGCTTTTAGCTGTGTTCATATGGATGAAATAGAAACCCATTTTATTCACATGAATTTGTTCTTCCTCACCCTTCACTCACTTTTCAATTCGTAGTCAAGCTGGTACCGTTATGATTTGTATCTTAGTTTGTGCTATTTTTTCTGCTTTAATTTTCGATTTGTTATTCCATTCCATTTACGTTTGTGTACGATAAAAAATTCTAATTATTAAAGTGTAAAATATTTTCCTCAGTCTCAGTTCATGTATATAGTTCTGAAAATTTACCAAGTGCAAATATTGTTATTTCCAGGAAAAATTACAACCTGTTGGATATTCGGAAGCTGAGCTTAGTTCACCTTCTGACGTTGTTTCACATCTATCATCGACCACATTTGCATCACTTGAAAACATTTTATCGGAATCCACTTTACTCGCAATTACTGAAATGGGTTTTACTAAAATGACTGAAATACAAGCAAAATGTATTGAACCTTTACTACAGGTAATGTCACAAATCTAAGATGTCATTTGGTTCACTGCACTGTTTCAGTTGGCAAATAGTTGTGTTTCTGCTGATTTACATCACATTTTTTTCACAGAAAATCATAAATTTCTATGCTCCTCGTTATTTCTATGTGGAGGACGCATTAGTGACCACTTAGTATCATAATAGAACAGTAATTAAGATCATTTGGGTGTAAAGAACTACCTTAGTTTCAATATGTTTTCTAGATCTAATTTACTGGAAAGGTATTTTCAGGGCCGTGATGTGATAGCATCAGCCAAAACTGGAAGTGGTAAAACATTGGCATTTCTTATTCCAGCTGTTGAGTTGCTTATAAAACTTGAGTGGAAAGCACGTAATGGCACAGGAGTAATTGTTATCTCTCCAACACGGTTGTTTTAATTTACTATAAACAGATATTTGTAAAGTGTACTTCAGTCATAATGAATTTATGTAACTGATGGTTATTAGTATTCATTGGTAACCCGAAATTTATGTATAACATCAAAGTTTCTTTCTGCAGTTAAGTGATGGTTTTATTTTTTAAGTAATGAACTTGTACATTCAAGGGAACTGTCCATGCAAACGTATGGAGTTTTGAGTGAAATTCTGGCGAAGCATCCGACTTTAACCCATGGTTTGATCATGGGTGGTGCCAATCGGCAGGCAGAAGCACAAAAATTGGCCAGAGGTGTTAGTTTCCTTGTTGCTACACCTGGTCGTTTGCTCGATCATTTACAGGTAATATAATTACCCGACGATACTTATAAGAAGATTTTGTTATTTTGATATTGCCTTGGGGTTTAATTTAATTGGGTATAAAGTTTTTTAGTGTCGTTCAGCTGTCTAATTTTCTTATTATATATTTTATCATTATATAATTTTTTCATATGATGTAGAAATATTATTTCATATGCAGAATACAGATGGCTTCATGGTAAAGAACTTGAAATGTTTGATTATTGATGAAGCAGATCGCATATTGGATATTGGTTTTGAAATCGAGATGCAGCAGATACTACGAGTGTTACCAAAAAAACGTCAAACTATGTTTTTCTCAGCTACACAAACACCGAAAGTCAGCATTACTTTATTGTTCCGTAAACGTTTATTTTATGTCTGTCCCTGTAGAATTTTTTTCAGGCAATCTTCAACTTTCCAGCTTTTGACCAGATTCGAACTATTTCAAGTTCAATAATTGTTCTCATTAATTACTATAAGTAAATTTAGGTTGACGAGCTCGTCAAAGCCGCACTTCATACAGATCCTGTAAAAGTAGGTATCAATAAAATAAATCCAAAAAATGGAAGTGAATTAGCAACAGTTTCTGGTCTACAACAGGTTTTTTTTAATACATTTTAGAAAATAGAATATTTCTGATGCATAACAGGCTATCATATTAAGGTTTTAAAATATTTTGTTTTTATAATACCAAGATTAAGTACAAAGAGTGTTGTTTGAAATGACGCCTTTATGCTACAAGAGATATGAAGTTTTTTGCAGGGTTATGTTGTTTGCCCATCAGAAAAGCGATTTTTACTCCTTTTTACATTTTTGAAAAAGAATCGAGATAAGAAAGTAATGGTATTTTTTTCGTCGTGTAATTCAGTGAAGTACCATCACGAATTGCTAAATTATATCGACATCTCTGTGCAGTGTATACATGTAATTCATTTTGGTATTTACTTATTACTTTGGATAAAACAAAAAGGCTTTCTCTACAAAAGAAAAAATCTTCAAAGATCACTAATTATTATTTTGATCATATTTATAAATTAAGAATTTGTAGCATTCACAAATAACGCTTTTCTTATAGGGTAAGCAGAAACAGCAGAAACGAACATGCACATTCTTTTCATTTTGCCAAGCGAAATCAGGCATTTTGCTTTGCACAGATGTTGCTGCGCGTGGTCTCGACATACCGCAGGTTGATTGGATTGTACAGTATGATCCACCAGATGAACCACGAGAATACATACATCGGTTCATCCTTTAAATTCCATGCATATTTCTACATGAAGAATTAAAAATACCAGAAAAGTTGTACATCTTATCATTCTTCCTCGATTTCTTCGAATTTAAATGATTCAACCTGAAAGAAAGCAAATCGATTATTTGGTATTTCCGTATTTAGTCAGCTATCTAATTCCACGTCTAATTTCTAAGTATTCAATAACGACGTATTTTTCGATAACGAGTTCAAAATTTTCGGTAGTACCAGTCATACTTGCTTTTCAGTGTTGGGCGCACAGCACGTGGTATTACTGGTACCGGTCATGCATTATTAATATTGCGTCCTGAAGAGCTTGGCTTTCTTCGTTATTTGAAACATGCTAAAGTTCTGCTTAATGAGTATGAATTTTCATGGAGTAAAATTGCGAATATACAAATGCAGCTAGAAAAACTTATTGAACACAATTATTATTTGAATAAATCGGCCAAGGTTAACATATGGCATATTGTCTTGTTAATTCGATAAACAGAAACTTCAGTTCAAATTATTTTTAACTGCATTATTCATCACATAATTTTTACAGGACAAAGACAATAGCTTTTGCAAGTATTTTAGCTCAAGTTCACATTTTCAGGAAGCTTATAAATGCTACATAAGAGCATACGATTCACACTCCTTAAAAAATATATTTGACGTTAACACATTGGATCTTATTGCCGTCTCAAAATCATTTGGTTTTTCCACTCCTCCCTTCGTCGATCTGCCAATATCAAATAAACCAAAGGTATTCCCACTTATCACATTTTTTGTTGAATTAGATCGTTACCATCAGTGATCTTTTTGATCATTATCTGCGAGAGAAACTTTGCAGCGTGCATCTAAAAAACGTTGAGCAGTTGTGGCTGTTTGTTTTAAAACAGATGATTTTGCTTTGTGCAAATCACTTCCAAACTCAGTCATAACTGAGTTTAGGTCTAAGTCATAACTGTAAAGTGCTATGAATGTATGCAATTCAGCGCTAAAGAGGGAAATGTATTTTTCGTTATTGAATATTTCTGAAGAACGAATCCTCTTTTCTTTAAATATTAGTGATTTTAATGTAACTTAAAATTATTAAAAAAATTTAGGTACTTGTAAGATCGAAGTTAAGCGGAGCAGGTTACAGAAAAAAGCCGAAGGCATTTAAGCAGTTGCGTAAGCGATGAGCTTTGATCGAAGAAATCTAACTAAAAATCGTGAAATTGTTATTTCTGACTTACTGATTTGTTTATATGTTGTCATTGAAAGGAAATGCTTGTTGGTCGATTTTCATTAAAGCATACTAACCGAAATTTTTTGAGACTCTTTTCTAGTTTCAATGGACTAATGAAATTTTTAGATCCATTATTGAATAACCACATGTAAATTTTTGATTTTCATCTACAATTTCACTGCAAAAAAACCTTAAATCTAGTACTATGTAAAGCAACAAATAGCCTATAGAAGGATCCTGGAGTTAAGGTAGGATTCCCCAAGCAAAATCAACAACTGGCATAATGATCTGCTTGCAAGACTGTTGCAGAACATTTTCCGGTGTAAAATAACGCTATTATCCGATATACGATCAAATGGTCATAATAACTGTTCATGCCAATGAAATGAAGCTATTCATCAGACTTATTCCTTTTGCTTACGGATAAAATTTCTCACTAGCCTGACTTGAATTTCGATTCTTATCGAGAATACATTGGCTTCATTTTAAAACTTCTATGTTTGTTTAAATAAATATAAGCAAGTCCAGGATACTCTTAACACTTTAAGAAAATTTTCGGAAATAATTTTCAACAAAAGAAATAACATCAATGGCGAAGGAATATTAAAGATAGATACTGAAAAACAGTCAACGAAAGGTGATACGTGTATTGATTGCTTAATTGCATATTCTTCTGTTAGAAACAGTTTCTTTCTTTTTTTACATTTTGGCAAATTCTTAAGATTTTCTACCACATTTAAGTCATTTTCATAACTGTCAAGACAGTATTAAAGTTCTCTCGACAGAGGGGAAGAAAGAACTCCACTTATTCTTGAGTTCAGCAATGATAATGATGATAGTAAGAAAAGACAATTGATATGCGAATAAAGTGAAGCAGCACAGACAAAACATTCAGGAATCCTCAAAATTTTTTACAAATTCAGTTCTTCAATGGAATGTTTCCAAATGAATTATTGTATAAAAGAAAAAAGACTGTACAAATCTGGCAAAAGAACCAATGGTACTACAGTTATGCAGTAGCTTCGACACATTCCAGCACAGGTTCTAACACTGGCTGAAATTTCAATCTGCCGCCTGAATTCCGCCGATTTCGGCTCTCACAGTTACATCCATTTTCATATTCATCGGCATTTCTCTGCAATAGTTGAATATTTCCATCAATGAAAAACTTAAAAATTAAAATAAAGTATTATGAGCCGCTTATAAATGGATGATTTTTATTAATTGATTTTAGGTTATGAAAAATACTGTCTTTAAAATTTTACCGCAATGTAACAGGTAAGAATTGCAACATTTCCCAAATTTTCCCAAACATTGTCTTCAGCCAAGTCGATATTGTATAAATTGGGACAGTCCAAAACTGGCTTAAATTTTATTTCTTTTTTAAGTCTAAAACTTACTATAAATGATAGTTTTTGGAATCCAGTTTCCTTATCCAAATAAACATCTGGAATAACTTGATCAAGATGTGTTTTGTCTCTGATTAACTGAATTGTTCCTACACTTTGTTTGATATCCTGGAAAATATATTGTAGTTTAGCTGTAGAATCGTTGCAAAAGTTTATAAGTTTGAAAGTGATATCTAGGATAACCTTATGATATAAAAAATGTTATCAGATTATTGCGATAAGTAATTTTTGGGACATTGTCTAGCTCATTTGACTACCTGTTCGTATGCAATAAGTTGCCGCCAAAATCCAATGTTTGGCTTAACAACTGGTCGTTTCTGAGCCATCAACTGATAAGCCTGCCTAAGTGATTTGCAACGGAATTTAGTAAGAAATGCTAGACAAATAGCAGCAGATCGCGATATCCCAGCCACACAGTGCACCAATACATTGCCACCACTTGCTATTACCGCCTCAATCTGCAAATCATTCATGAAATCCGTCCTTTTCAATCCAAATTGATTAGTTTCAAAAAGCCAGTTTTCCTACACTCAAATCTTTTCAATTTTCAATCAATACAAACGTTTTGTGATGGAACAGGAATTCAACGTTTTTCGCATTGTTGAAATTTATCTCTAGTACATAGCGCCTTCATATTTGTCACTTTTTATTTCATTTTTACATATCTAACATTTCTTATGTAGCAGAATGATCTTGTGTTAAAAAAGATACTTTATTTTTACTTAGCACTCATATATACATATAACATTACAAGAAATCCCAGTCTTTCATTTATTTCCAAATTTCAGATCGCGGTACGCAGCATACAAAAAAAATAATCTTCCCACATATTCTGCAAATATGGGAATACTAGTAGGGTCAATTGATGAATTTCGGAATTAGTTATAAGAGAAAATGAGAAGCTAAGAAGAAAAGAGAAGGTTATCGATTTGTGTAATAATAAGAAAGATTAAAATATGATCAAATATGATCTGTTAAATAATATTCGATGAAATGCTTTACCTGGTCAGTTTGTTGGTCTAGCAAAGGATAAATAGAAGCCTGTGGGGTATCTTCAAGCCACAGTTTTACTCGTGGAATATTGCCTAATGACTGCACATTTGGTACCTAAAACTGAATTTCTTTGAATAGGTTTGCTCATCTAAATTTGTCGCTTTAATCTAAAATTATAGTATCATTAACAGAAGCAAAAAAAAAAAATAACTGACCTCGTTAGTAGCATTGACAATGAATGAAATATCATATTTTTTCATGTTTTCAGCCGTTAAAGAGCTAACACCGCAGATGAATAAGCCACGTACAATTTCCGTAATTTGCGCGTATTCAGGATTCACATTAAATGACACCGGTGACATTTTTCGGAGAGTTCTGCTGGAAGTTGGAATTTTTACATTGCTTATTTTATTGAAGATATTCATTCTCATTTCGTGGTTAAAGAATGAAAATGTTTCATAAATGCAAAAAACTCCTGCCCTAAAAAGCAGTAATTAATTATAGATAGAGTGTCACGTCACACCACAGATCCGTCCTCATCCGTAAAGTCGGAAGTTCACCTCAGGTACTGCCACTCAATATCTGACGTGACGTGATCATGTAGGATATACGACTGCAACTCCTATATATATATTACTCTCCTCGCAATATCCACACATATCAGAGGCGCTGAAAAACTAGCGCTGGTCACGCATCAGCCCGTGTTATTTATTATTATTATTTCCAGGCAACTTTTATTGCGACTGTGTTTCACGTGCATCGCATGTGCTGCAGGTGCATGCGAGTGCGGCAGGCATGCCACTCACGTGAATGCCAATCAGCCTCTGTAGAGGAAGGGTGCCACAGCACCGATGGCGAATATTTAGGATTGACAACCTCTCCGATTCATCTTGCTGACTCTTTCGCCATCCTTTGCCATATGCTCGCTACGCTTTGTGAGGTGTGATATCTTTGCTTGATCACTAAAATGCCCTATCCTCTCCATCCGGTACTTCCGGATTTCCTTCCAGATAATTTTAAAAAAAGCAAAACGGGAACGGTCAAAATTTTGCACATATATCCACTCATTTCAGTTTTAAAAATACGAAATATTTAAATCTGACAATGAATAATGCAATCTTTGTGCTTCATTCAAGAACAAATTCAGTGGAAAAAATCGATCAATTAATCGTTCAGAAAAGAAATGTTGACATTTTGCCATAAGCAAGCTAGTAATGGCCTTCCATTGCTTACTAAGTACCTTGCAAACTGCAACTAATTGAATACCTAGTAAACTGTATTCAATTCTTACCTTTTAGATTGTTAATTTGGTACTTAGGTTAATTAATTCACTAATTTATAACTAGTTTCCTGATCAAGTTACAAATTACTGTAATAATCGGTGTAGCAGTAAGTTATGTCAGTTGCTTGAAACGATATGTATCAAAAATGTTAAAGAATGCAGCTGGTTTTTGTGTTACTTTCTGAATTTCTGATGATTATCCTTAACGAGTGTTGCCTGAAATAATGCAATTATTACTTAATTTTAAGTGACAAAGCATTTGCTGCAGAGGTTGACATTTTCAGAAAAATGTTATTCCGAATCTTTATTCATTTTATCCCTTATTATGAACGGCAGAGGCCCGATTTCGAGAACACAGTAACTTACAACCAAAAGATTGATTTTCCATGACATCAGGAATTTAACTTTCCTAGAACTTTCGGCGATAATATTAGATATTAATCCAAGTATTTATAGCTTATTTCGATCTTCTGTACTTTGAAATGTTCTTTACACTTCGTAGTTTATTCACTACCAGAAAGATGACCTAATAAATTAAAAAAAGATCCGATTAATCATCCACCATAATTTTTTCTCTAAGCCAGTGAATAATTATTATCTCTGAAGTGGAAAAAAAAGCTTTCAGCACCTTAGTTCTCAACCAACTTTGGATGAGCAGAAACTGTTCAGAATTTCTATTTCGTTACCAACTATTTTGACAACTTTCTCTTTCAGTCTATGAAAGTTAAATTTCTATGGAATTGTTACACAAATAACAGAAATGTTTTCTCTAATTGACTAAAGTCTATTGCATTGTTATGCTACTATGATTTATTACATAAATTAGCATTCATATATACAAATCATCATATTACCTGGGCAAGTTGAAATACATAATCCTCTGATTACGTGATACCTTTCAGCACTACAACATTACAAATAAACAAATAACTTGCATAACAAATTCAATTTCATTAAAAGCTTCTAATAACTTATTTTAGGAAATGTTTTTGTGTATAATCATTTTTTGTATTTAATGAAACAAAAGGCATATCATTAAAAACAAACAAATATTTTGCTGTATCCAGTTGTACTCCCAAATGCGTCATATCATCATCTTTCGTAGATATTTTAATCATATCTACACAGAATGCAATGCACACACTTTCTACAGTTGAAAAGAAAAACTATTTTATCAATTAGAGTTAACCTTTTCTCGATAATTCTACTACTTTCAGTGGACTAATTCTATTTCCAACGATAGGAAAGAAGTGCCTAAAAGTGTTTCTTAATGACATTACTTGAAAAAATAAAAATTGTCATTTCAGATGCTAAAAAATCTCTTCCAAATTCGTGAAGTCCTTTTGACTCTTATTGTGAAAAAACTTTATTTTTTGCATTTCTTTTTTCTTCCTTTCCACTTTTTTCTCTTCTTGTTCCTCTTTCTACTTCTTTATGCTATTGTTTTGTTGTTTGCAGAAAAGACAATGCAAAGCTGGAATAGCATTATTTGTAAAGTAGGACATTTCTGAGAATAAATTAAAAAAATTGTTGTTTTGCTGAAGTGGTGGAAGAAGATGAAGCAGACGGCTGTGATATGGACTCAATTGATTAATATCAATAAGCAACTATTTATTGAAATTAACCCTCTCCCTTCGTTTTTCGATAATTCTACTTCCAATGGGTAAGCACTGGAAAAAGAAGAATATTAGCAATCATAGCAATAAATCAACTTACCGCTTTTTCAATTATGTGACTCCAAAATTTCCGGGAAAATTCACGTGATGTTCAGCGGAAAATATTTTCAACCTTGTGAATCATTTGCATAGGAAACTGATGTGAACAAAGTGAAATGTTTCTTTTTTTCCACTATTCATATACATACATTAAATCATTCTCTCCGGCACTATTGGACTAAAAGTAACAAACATTTTATAGCTATAAACAGTGGCATCTAGACTTTTCTCCTTTTTACATTTCAGTTTTAATTCCAGATTGAGGGGCTATATTTTGAAGACAACCGGTTTTTTGCTATGAACAGAACTAAATAAAAACAGAATATATCACAAATCAAAGTGTATATAAGTGTTGTGTTCCAAAAAGTAGTGAAGCCTTCTTTTCTTTCTCGTTTTTCAAAGTTCGTAAAACTTTTATAAATTTATAATAGAGTTCGTGAACAAAAATAACTGCATGAGTCAACTAAATTTTCCAATAAATCTTCAAACTACGATTTACTATGTTAGGCAATCTAGCCATAATTTTTTTATTTGGATTCTATTAGCAAACGTTTTTTGAAAGACTAGCATTAGATTGCAGATCAATAATTCTTTAGTTCATCTAAATGTTTCACAAAATGTTAGCTCACTAGATATATGACATTTAAATGAGAATGGACACAATCTTGTATGCTATAAAAAGGTGCGACATAGAAATGACCATTCCGTTAAGTTTTTTGATCTCATTCTCTTAGTTTGTAAGCGATTTGATATGAGTTAAGCTCCAATTAATTATAACTTTATCTGTCGGAAAAGACATTCAGCGTGCTTTTTACAAGTGAACTGATGAATAAAGTAACAATAAAGGTTTATGAAAATGAATGAGAGAATTAAGTTGTCTGTTTGAATTTAAATTAACTGTTCTTGTTTCCTTTATCTTTTTTGTCTTAATTTTTGGTATTCCACTTTTTCGCTTATTCTTTTTTATCTCTCCCATACATCTCAGTTTATTTTCTATGACTCATTTTCCTTTTTTTTCCACTTCTTTCCACTACAGTAATAGTACTATCAAAAAGCTGAAGTCTGCATTTTCTCATCAGTTTTAACTCTACAGTACACTTTCCAAATTCATTTTAAATTTATCAAAAAAAAAACATTCCATGTCCTTTTTATTTGACCAATAAATACAACTTATTATAATTTCCAGTATTAAATCCGTATTTATTGTTAAATTATTCATAGATTATCAAAAAATCTGAAAATAACTTATGTCAACTTACCGTACGTAAAATGGATAAACTTTTGGCGGACAGTAATTATTAACTTACAAATGCGCCATGATTTTTTGTCAGCCAAGTGGAGCCAATATTAACGAATTTGATGACATTCAACACTGCATCAAAATTCACTAGTACTAGATGCTTAATTATGAGTAAATTTAATGGAATATGATTTTTCATAGATATAATTGCTTCAAGTTCATTAATTCTAATCGTGCGCATGAAACTTTTTGATGTAAAATTGAGTTCGAGTTGATTTTTAATAATTTTTTTTTTTTTTGTGAAAAAATTGCTTATAAATCTCAAATAGTTCACTATGCAATTTTATTCAACTGGTAAAGCCTTAGAATTGATGGTCACACCTATGCCACAATGTTCGCACAAATTTATAAAACTAAAAACAGACAAGCAAAAGAATTAACGGATTTGTCATACATTGTATCGACTAAAATTAGAACTGAAAATATTTGAATTTCCGATATATGCGGAAATTGATGTCCCAAGTGCATAAGTTTATCAGAAAAAGACTGTGGCGATTTAAGCTCGTACTTCAGTGCTTTCCGACACCGTTTCCAATATCGGTTGAAATTTCTGTTTATCACTGGAAAACCGCCACCCTCTGCATGATTCAACAAACGTCTGTAATGAAAAATAGACAACTGAATATACTTGGATTTTTTTAAATTTTCGAAAAGAATTTAACTAAATCTGAACAAAATGCTATTTTTAAAGCTGGCCACTCACTTGTAGATAGACATCCGGCAAAACATTTTCTGGATCTTCTCTACTTCGAACAAAATTCACCGATGTAACACCATTCTTCACTTCCTACAAGTGTTAAAGATGAATAAGAAACCTTTATTCAATAGCTTTTTTAAAAACTTCGTGTTAAAAATGTTCATGAGGAAACAACTAAGAGTTGCGCTAAGTAAAATTCAGCACATATGGATTGGATATAAATTTTTTAGTAATAATTTCGAAATGACAGCTTTACAATAATACATCTTCGTAAATGATGAGTTGACGCCAAAATCCGATATTAGGCCTGACAAATGGCCGTTTTTGAGCCATTAGTTGATAGGCCTGCCTTAGTGATTTGCAGCAGAATTTAGTGAGAAAGGCAAGGCAAATAGTAGCAGATCGCGATACCCCGGCCATACAGTGCACCAATACATTACCACCACTTGATATCACTGTTTCAATCTGTAATCTAGACTTTTGAAAACTTCATTGATATTTGTAACTAATAATAATAGTTTACTCAGTTCTAAAATTTCATTGCCATAGTTGGAGGAAAGTTCACCTGGTCGCTAATAAAATCGAAATGTTGATAAATGTTAGTTGATGGTGTATCATCTAGCCATAATTTTATTCGTGGTATTGATCCAAGAGATCGTACACTAGGTACCTATAATGAAAGTTTCATTCATACTCCTTCAAAATTTCCTAGATTTGCAAAGAAAAATACAAATTGTTGTCTGTAATCTTTTGAGGAATCCAAGAATTTGGAAGAAAAATTGCATTTTTGAAAATTTAAAAAAAAATTGATGTATTATTAAAAAATTTCGCCCTAATAATTTTTAGGCAAATTACTGATTTCAAAACAAACCTCAGTAGTGGCATTTATAATTAATGAAATATTATATTTGTTCATATTATTCAAAGTCAATGAGCTTGCACCACAAATATACAGTTGAGGGATCAGTTCAGTAATTTCATCATATTCTGGAACCGGATTAATTTGGAATGATGCAAAGGGCACAGCATGACAGTTTTTTTTATCTATGACCACCATACTATGGATGATAAGTCCTGAAATTAATCTGGCGAAGAAATGTGAATATATGGCATTTTTAGAGAGCTAATTAACATACTTTTGTTCGCGAAAAAATATTTAAAAACTACGCAATTGAGGAATGAATTTGAGAGATTTCACCATTGCAGCAGAACGAAATAAACTCTGCACTAACCGTCATTCGGTATTTTATAGAAAGGCTTAGGAATGGAGCATACCCACCTCTTATTGGTTCTAATTAGTCAATGAGTGAACCAGCCGTCAGTTATCAATTATCAGTTATCAGTAAGTACATTACATCATAAATTCATGTGAACAACTGATGAAAGTTTGATGCATCTCTTGTCTCTATCTCTTTCAATCTATTTTACAATTTTTTCTCGGCGGATTTTATTGAGACAAAGAGAGAAGAAGAAATAGCTATGTATATGCTATGAGAAAATGTATAATACTTGTTAAATTGCTCAAATGTAGTGTAAAAAGAAATCATTGTTAAATATAGAAATGGCCAATAATAAAACAATAACAAAAGATTCATTGTAATCATTAGACTCAAAAGGTCAATTATACTTGTTATTCAGGCAGTGAAATCAGAGAAAGAAAAGTGGAGAAAAATTGAAAGATTCGAAGTCAAAGAGAAGCGAAGTTTTGTTTTTTTTTTTTTTCAAAAATGTCCTTAACAGCAGTACTGCAAGTGAACTGATAAATATTCCTCTCAGCAAGAACTGCTAAGAAATGTATGCTTTTCTTTAGGTGTTCTATGTAAATGATGTTCTTCAAATTATAACAGATAAATTATGTATAAGGAGAGTTCCTGGGTTCTGAATGTTTCTTCTAAACAATTTTTTACCTTCAACAAGAATGCAATAAAAATAACTGACGCAGGCCTAGTCCCTAGTCTCTATTTTTAGTCCTCCTCGCTGTGAGTCTCACAAAAAATGATAATCAATGAAATTATACAGCTTTTCCACTAATATCAAAATTTTGTAACAAAAGCATCAAAAAATTTTTGGTATTCGAAAATATTATCTTATGCAATCTATGATAAATGAATTAATTATTCCTTGACTTACAATAGTTGTTGACAATAATAAGTTAAAGTTTAAAAGCTTTCTTCATTTTAGCAAGAAAATATTTATATATTCAGGCTTATCAGTACTGGAATTGGAATCAAAGGATTTCTTTTTAATCTTAATAATAGTGATTGCATTTTTTTTTTTTGTTAATGTAATGTATCCTCTTTGTTTAATTGAACTTCTTGTTTCAATTTTATTGCATTTAACAGATAACTGCCATGAATGTATTCTAAACTTCAAAAAATCCTGAACTGCATTTCAAATGTTGAAAAATGATTTAGAAAGTAAAATTTTATTTTTATTAAATCGCTTTTGCAGTTTTTAATGTCAAACAGATTGGAATGGCATTTTTTCAATATTTTAAACAATATTAGAGGGAGGGGGGAAAAATCTGAAACCTAATAGAAAAGCTGCATTTCATATGACAAAAGACAGAAGATGATGGTCTCATACACAATTGATAATTTAATGCAAAGTAAGAATATCTTTTGCTTGATTTTCTTAATTAAGGGAAGAAAGAATTTTCATTATTATTCTCACTCCAAAAAAAAAAAAAGCTTGACAAAAATGATTGTCTAAAAATATTTCTTGACACCATTCTTTACGTAATTATGATAAAGACAATGATACCTGTTAAATAAGTCCATAAAAGAAATGATTATGAGTAAATATCACCAAATTGAAAAAGCAGCAATTAGTAAAAGAATTGCGAAAAAAAAATTAGAAACGAAGAGAATTTGAATTGAAAAGACAAAGAGAAATAGAAATGATATTGATTAAGTGAGGAGAATTACAAGAAATCTAAGAAAACAAACTTTTTCCATCTGAATGTCAAGAAAAGTATCAATAATATAAAATGAAAGAATACATATGGAAACAAAGATTAAAGAATAAAGTAGCAAAAATGAACGATAATTCATTTGAAGAAAATTTGAACAATTCTTTGGAAAAATGACAACGTCTTCATTTTAATCGATAATTTCATTTGCAAATAATGCAAACTTAAATAAGCAACTGATTCTTCTGCATACGATTGTTAGATAACACAAAAGCACATTTGAATTAAACCGTAAAAAAAACGTTGTTGCATACTTCTTACTCTTGTACGGAAATTTTATGATGTGACGAAAGTGTCAGTCGGAAAGTTTTGCTGAGTTTATCTTTGCTTGAATATCAAAGTCATATTTAGAATGAAACATCAGAGAACAATATGGAATTCGCAGTTTAATTAATTAGGAATCTCTTGAAATTTTCCAAGAGAGGAAGGTGGTTCATTTTTGATAAAATGCTCGTAGGAATATTTCATAAACAATTATCAGGACTGGTCGAATTTTTATCACTTAAAAATATATTCTACAATCAAAAAAAGAACAGATTTCATTAAAATGGAATTCTCCTGAAATTTAGATTATGACTTAATATTAACTCACTGACAGTTTTCTTATTATTTTAAGAGTAAAAACATCCTTAATGTATCATTATTTGAGTTAAATTTTTTTTTGAAAAACCTTTCGCAACTAATAAATAAATGAATATTGTTGAAAAGAAAGTATGTTGAATCTATTTGTTAATCTGTCGATATTGTGAATAGATGACAAATTGTGGTTCATTATGAATCAAGAAAAGAATGAGAAATTTCAAGATCTAAAAACTGTTGCTAACTGTAGCTCTAATTTGATATATGTAAGCATCATCTGCACGAATTAAGCTTCAAGAAAGAAATTTCACTTCGATTTAAGAAATTAAAAAGTTGAAAGTAAATGAGCTAGCATACTAAGGAAGAGCGACAAAACACCAGCTATTGAAAGTGTTATCCACAAAGGTTTCACAGGTCGGACTGTCTGCTCCAAATAGACATCAGGTAACAAATGATCGGCCTGAGCTTCGTCATATATCATTCTTACTGAAGCTGGAGCATGTTTGATTTCCTGAAAAATTTCATAAAATTTGGTGTGTTGTAAATTTCTTCTTTTGATTGTACTCTACAAATGTCGACTTCGAATTGTTTACCTGTTCAAACTGGATCAGTTGTCTCCAAAAGCCGATATTAGGTCTGACCAAAGGTCTTTTAGAAACCATCAGGAAGTAAGCATCACGAAGTGATCGACATCGATATTTGGTAAGAAAAGCGAGACAAATCGTGGCTGATCGTGAGACACCCGCGACGCAGTGAACTAGCACTGCTCCACCATCGACTATAACTGTTTCTATCTGCAACTGTTTTACTTCTCAAAGATTTTTTGAAACAAATGAAGTCATTCAAAACTGTCAACACTGATGAACGATCATCACTAAGATAAATCATTATGGGACAGTATTATTACTGAGGTACTATCTTATACAAGTTGAATCACGAGAGCAAAATTTTTAGGTTATGCTATCACTGTGATTACTTTCTGATATATCCTAATCGATATCAAAATAGATTTCGGGTAAAAACAAGAAGATCACGTCGAACTTTGAATACAGGTTTTCAAAAAAGAACAATGAATTAATTAAAATATTTCCCTCAAACCATAACTCTTTTATTTGTTCACTGTAGTCTTAATCAGCTTTATTTGAAGCAATTTTTTTTATTAATAGATGAATATGTTAGCAAGCTGTGGTTATATAGTCAATCTACTCAATTCATACTCAGAGACAATTGCGAAAATGACATTACTGCTGTAAGGAACGACGGAGTTATATAGTTGTACGATTTTTTTTTTTCCATTTTAGAAATTTTTATTTCGTTTTTTTTTTTTTTTTTTTTTTTTTTTTAATTATTAAAGATTAGACTTTTTAAAAAAAAAATACTACTTTTTTTTATTTTTTGTCACTAAAAATTAAGTACTTCAATTACTAAAGATTAAGCTAATGCATTTTCCACACGAATTAAAGCTAGGAATTTTTGAATTAGGATAAAATTGTTATTTTATTCTTTTTTTTTAAAGGACGTTCACAAGAAAAAAAGTGGAAAACTACTCAACCTGATCACTAACAGCTTCAAGATGAAGGTAAATATCAGTTTCTGGTGTGTCATTGATCCATAATTTTATACGGAGAATGTTTCCCAACGTTTTCAAATTAGGAACCTGAAGAGTATAAAAATTGCACATTGCAAGGAATTTCATAAATTTCATCGATCCATAAAAATTTCAAAAATGAGTGCTCAAGTTAAATAACCAAATCATTCCGCCAATTATTGGTCACTGAAGTATGAGATTATTTAAAGGGAAAAAATCTTTTGTTTCTTATGTTTGAATAAACAGTTTAGTGATTACTGAAAGAGTGGTAAACAAGGGAATTAAGCGGAAAGTGTAAAATTTCTTCGTTAGTTTCAAACGAAAACAAAATTATTTTAGGTTAGTTTCATGCGAAAAGATCGGTAAGGCTTGATTATATTGCTGCTTTTAATACTTAAACACATTAAAATAAGGAAAATTTAAATACTATGATACTGCATGGCCTTCAGCAAATTTCAACATTCGGAACAATGGGCTTATTTATTCAAGAAAAAGTTTAAAGAGGTTATAAAATATTTTTTTAATTATTTAACATATGTACTAAGAATATCAGGTCGTCCAATATCAGACAGCAAATAAATACTAAGCATTTTTGCCACTCGATCATCCTTTTGATACATAATTGTTGATTCTTCACCGATCATCAACTGAGAAATTTAAAAAATAATTTGACAAGCCTCGAAGTATTTTACAATTTTCCGATTCATAAAAATTTTTCGAAGTACAACTAACTTCATCAGTTGCATTAATGATCATCGTTATTCCATTTCTTTCAATGTTATGTTGATTTAATTCGCTAATACCACATATGAAGAGACCGGGAACTATTTGCGATAATTTGGCATATTCCGGATTAACCTGATATGATACCGCTTGCATTATCTCCAATAAAATAAAAACGTTAATTTATGTTGGAATGGTCTAATGTATTCTAAGTGGTTCGTTAATATGTCTGTGGTACAGTTAAAAAAAATAAATTTTCAGTGGAAATGGAACATCCATGCTATGCAATTTTAGCTATTTCGTCGACTTGTCTAAACAATCTGAATGCATTATGATAATGAAGTGAAATGCCTCATTTTTTCTCTTTTATCAACAATATCCATCAGATGGAAATGAAAACAAAGTGCTGTCGCAAACCCACCACGTTTGACGTATTACGTATAACATGAACTCTGCCACTAGAGAAATTTATAAATGCAAAAAGTTGAAATAGTTTATAATCTTACTGCCATCTTGTGCATTATTTGTAAATATCAATGACATTTACGCTTGTCTTATCATTTCCCCTATGTTTTATATTTCTCAATACTGTCAAATCAAATCATTAATAATCATAAGTGATTATAAGAATGGAATTGAAAATGAAGTTTCTTTAAAATGTGATTTCTTGTTTATGAGAGCACAAGATTTCTCAATTATTTACTATAATAATAGCCAGGATCATTGATTTTGTCATTTTTGTATATTTGTCATTCCAGATAATTCGGTATATCTCGTTGCTCACTTTGTTTACTCTTTAAAAAAGACTATAGTCGCGCATGATGCTGTTATAAAATCAAAGTAACCTTACGATTTATTTGTCCAAATAACCTGATAGTAATTCAAAAAATTGTTGATGGATGATAACTAGTAAAATCAAAAAAGAACAATTAACTCAATCATTGTAAGTTTCTGAATTTTTGCATACATTTGAACATAAATTTAAGGAAGATTTTGAAATTTCACAAAGGATAGGACAAGAAATAATTTTTTTTTTTATTTCACTACTAAGATGATTGTTTAATTTTAAGGAAGATAAAACATTCAAAACAAGAAAAAAAGTTGACAAAATATCCATTTTTAATATCATATGTTAGTTTCAGATGACAAACACACATTGCTCTTTGGCCTACGTCTAACTGAAACGATTAGAATCTAATCAAAGGATATTGAAAATAAAGTAATGCTAGAAAACAAAATTCATTTTCAAATTTGTCCGTTCCAATGAATTTTTTACTTTTTGTGTTTTTGTAAAGAAAACAAGAAGTTGTCTCTTATCAGCAAATGTTATAACTTAACAAAAGAAAACTAAGTTCAAAAGAGAAAAATTGGATAAGGAAGGAAAAGGAATAGGTGCCAAATTTCTAAAAAATATCAAGAATTGAAGTCATCCAAAACTGATTATATGTCTATGATCAAAACTAACAATCAACAACGAATTCCCATGGACATATTTCCATCCGCATATTTCCGGAATGTTCTCAGTATGATAAAATTATTGAAGCGACGTTTATCAGCTGTTACTTTGTAAGTATTCACTAGCTTTTACACTTCTATACTTAGACGGCCGAGAATAACTTTCATCTAAATATGAAATGTCTGCACGGAAAGAAAGTTATTTGTTAACTCTAAATAAGAAAAAAGTATTGTAATGTTCAATCAGAACGATAAAATGCTAATTCCAAAATAAAAGTCTCAAATTCCAAATTACTTGCAACAGGGTTACTCCAAGTATGTTCTAAAGGCATTGTTTCTCTGAAAATCACTTACTTTGCGAAATTTTGGGTGGCATTGGGAATTTTTCTTATTAGCATCTCTTCTCAAGAGATTGAGAGAATATTTGAAATATGGCAAACAGATTGCTAAATCCGAAGTTATTCTTCTTAGACGCTGAATGCAGATCTGATAAAAAAAAAGTCTGATAAAAAAAAAGGTGTTATGTGTAGTTTCACTCTCATAAAAATACGTCAAATGAAATTTTACTTTTGATACATGAATGACATATGAAAAGAGCAAATTACTTTTAACACTTTGGTGATAAAACTGTATAAAACATAAATAATTCGAGATATCAGATGCAATGAAATGGATTAAAAAAGTTAAGCTGTGAGTTATTGAAGAAACATTAGGTGGGCACTCGATAATAGTTAAACTTAAAATTTAGACCATTCCAAGTATTAATTTATTTACGAGAGAAATTAATGAGGAAAATGATCATAATAATGATAACTTTGCCAAAGGTAATGATTTTATGCGAGATTTACCTTTATTAATGGGAAGTGAAAGACTATAATTACAGGTTTTTCCCACATTTTTAAATTTCGCTGCTATTTTATCATCGAATAACACGATGAATTCACGTGGACAGTTTGATCAATGGAAAGTATGAAGCATTAAAAGCACCAAAAAACAAATTCGAGAGGGAATGTTGAAAGTAGAATAAGCCAGAGATGTTGTTGTGTGTATGCTTTCATTGCTTTAGCCTTATAGATTTACTTGTTTGATAGGCTTCACTGGCTGCTAATGCTTAATGTGCCATAACTGCATTGACTGATGAGAATGCTTCACGAAATTATGTGATAGTGCAACACGACTGTGTCGTCACTTTCTTCAGTGAACTTATTAATAAGTAAACTTCTAAAAAAAGTCATTCAAGTGTGAAACAAACTAAAAAGGTTGCAATTAGATTGGGAAAAGCAAAAAACTGAGGTAGCCTAGGCTTTAGCGTAAAGGTTTCAGAGCATCAGACTACTCAGACATCGCTATGATATTTTCTGTGCAGCTTTATAGGCTTCATAGGTTTGGCTCGCCTACACCCTTTGCGCACAGCTGCACTGTTAATGAAGGACTTACGCAGTAACTCTATTATTTCACCTCATTTGGGGTACACATGTCTTTCGCCTCTGTCAACACTATATCACGTGAACATTGTCATCGTGCGACCACAAAATTGCATCATCGATCGCCGTGCACGCACCGATCATTGTGCAATGCACTTCCTTCCAGGCAAAGTTTCATCATTTCTATTCGACGAGAACCACAATAAATGAATCGTTGATAGATGCTACTTATCAATAACAACAATATTGCACAGCTTTAATAATTTTATTCTTATACTTAAGATTACTTACTTATATCCCTTCGTATAAGTTACTTTAGCAATAAACCAACTTCGCCATCATTAATTGGATGAATCGACAAACATTTATTTCGATAAATTTCAACTTTGATTTTTCACTCATACTGACTTGTTGCGCTAATTTATATTATGTGTTCGACAAAAACACTGCAGCACAACTTATAATAATTTGAATTCTTCTGTATTGCAATTGCTTACAAATCAAAATAGTCATTAGAAAATGAAAAGTACCACCACAAAGATGACACTTCTGTAAACTATTCAGTGCCCTCCCAAAATATTATTTGAAATGTTGAGATCAAAATGCAAATATCAATGTTGTGATTTTTATCATTTGGTGACGATTTCTTCGCTATTTTTCTTTCTCTCATCTTCTTCTGAAATAGAAATATTCCTATGTCGGTCTAATTATTATCATCTAGCATACTCATGTCAATTTCACAGTTTTAAGGAAAAACCTTTGGCAGCCTGTTTTTTCCATCGATCCTTGTTCTCATGCATGAATTCCATCCATGGAGTTGGTATTTCCAGTTTTCCGTCCTGATTTAATGGCAAGAAACGGAATGAACTGTTCGTTTCATTGTTGCTTACATTTTCACTGAAAGAGATCACTTATTGGCTTTCTACATAAAGCAGAAATGATAATGAAATCCAGATTTTGCAGAGATTTTAATAAAGGAAAGAAAAACGATTAGGCGAACTTGACACTCTGATCAATAAGCTCTGATCGGTGATAAAATTTAATTTTACTCAATTAACATTACTGCTAGCCAATATGTTCGATGCAAGTCTTACTTATACATCAATAAATTTATAATATATCATTTTGCATATTGCAAGCTTCGATTCAGTTTGTCTCAATACTTACTCACTCACTTACTCATTTACTTACTTAATTTACTTCCAACAAATGGCTTAGTACAACAGTAATAGTGGCGAGTGACAGTTATAAAGGGAAATTAGTGAACATCTATGCACTGTTTGTTGGTATAGTAATATTCACTGTTCATTTCTTATTGTATAAGCACGGTATTGTACAACAACAATAAAGCTATTTCCAAACTGTGGAGTGGGATGGTAATCTTAACTTTCATAGAAAGACAAACGTTTCATGTTCCTGAGGCACATCGGCACTTGTTAATAACGAATCGGAATTGTCGCACGGCAGGAAGGTATCTGATGACTGAAGCGGTACCAGTGGCTCAATTATTCTCGTTAACATTTCCCCACAAATAATCATTGTCGGTTCAACAATAAAATCAATAAATCCTGTCGATTAAGAAAGGTCGAAATTAAAAAATATTAATATCTTATAGAGAGTAAGGCTTGATTGTACTCCCGTCCCTTGTCAGAAACTGTTGAATAAAGCATTTCATGGTGATAAAATTTTTCAAAAAAAATAAGAATTATGAAATTGTTGTTTGATTACATCGAGAATAAGCATTATTATTTTTCGTTTCCTCAAATTATCAAAGCTTTGAAGCAACAAATACTCTTAAATGCTTTTCAATTCCATTTTTTTTTTCTTTTTTTGTTTATTCATAAGATTACAAAAGATGCAGAGATTTTAGAAATATTAACCAATTTGTGAATCCGCAACGTGCACAGTATTTCTGTCACAAAGAGGAGAATACGGTAGACCCATGCTGGCTTCTAAATCCCCTTGACGAAAGAATTCCTCGAGAACACCTTCAGTCCATCGGGAATGCAATTCCCATGGTTTTGAGGCATGTGATATATCGCAAGCATGTACAATGAGACAAACAGCTTTAGTTTTATCAATACTAAAAGGGAGATTTAATTTTAGATAAATCCTGCTGCACATTTTCTTCAGTTTTCTGAATCATTTCAGATAACAACATAATGATCTAGTCTAAATCTTGAATCTCATTAAGATTCTCATAAAGCGATTTGTTTGGTGTGAAGTTGGAATAGTATATAATCGTCTAGTTTGATATGTCAATGACTTTTCCTCACCCCTCAGGCGATGACAACATAGCCTTCATAGTTTTAATTTGTGCGAAATGACTTGACATATCTGTTGCGAGTACGATTTCGATCAATAAATTGCGTAGCTCTCTGAAAAAGTCCAAGCGGAGTGGAATTTTTCATAAGTATCAATCACTTATGGATTATATCTTTAAGACGAGATAAGTGTAGTGTGTGAAAGTGGACTAAGGTAAGAAAATTACCTGAATTCTTCCCTGGTTAATCTTTTCATGATATTTTTGTCGTCTTCCTTCAGCAAACGAAAAGATGCACTGATATGATGGTTTTCCAGAACATTTCGATCATTGTATAGTAGTGCATAATGAGATCTTGAAGATTATTTAACTGACTTTTATCATTTGAAGAACCATGATTAAAGTTTCAATGAGAGACATGAACAAATGGTTAATTGACCTCTGTATCCTAATGTACCTATAGACAACATGCAGATTTCTACTAATTAACTACAATGAATCTTCAGTCTTTATAAAAAAGTTCAGAAAGTGAAATGTTGACCGATTCCTTTATAATGAGAATGATTAAGATCGTTCTTTCGAAGACAGTACTGTTTTCATTATTATCTTGCTAATATTTCCTAATAAATACTCTTACCAATAAGAAGGAGAATTTTTAGCCTTTTAATTCTGATGAAGAATTGAAAGCTTTCAAAAAATTAATTTTTTGAAAGCTTATGCAACTTTTTTTTTAAAGTGTATTATTAAAAGCTTTGAGCACACAAACTATGCATGCCTAGATGAGCTGACATTTCGACATCGACGAGTTTATCAATGCAGCAAAACTCTAAAATGTTTCTAAATTAACAGATAAAAGTCGGATTACATTAGTAAAAATAAAGCAGGAATAAGCTACCCGGTTTGTATATGGAAGTTATTTGTATGACCGGTGTGCTGATAATCATGTATCATGGCACCAAATATAACAGCCAATATGTCTAGATCTGACAAGCTTGTCTGCAACTTATCATCTGTTTACATTTGGTACTTATTACCACAACTTTTTCTGCTGCTTTCAAGTGTCAATGAACCTAAGAATTTCAGAGCAGTATTTTATACGATTCAGAACTTTAAGATCCTGAATAAATAAAAAGCATACAGCAAAACCGGTCTGTGACAACATGAAATGTGAAGAGGCAGTCACATCAGCAGCATGGACAATGTTATGATATGGGTTGTTGTGTTTGCTGTATCCTACTTCCAAGGCCCCAATGTAATTCTCAAGTATTTGCACGGGAATCTGTAATGTGAGAAGTATTATCAGTACCTTTTCTAAATGGTAATAGTAAAACATTAAATGCATCATTCAAACTTTTTATTTCAAATTCATAGTCACAAAGTGTCAAAGTGTTAAAATTATAAAAAAAGTAGGAACCTTATAACGATCAAGGAAACGATAGCGATTGAAAAGCTCTAGGCCAACATACTTCAGCGCATGTCCTTCCGATACTTCGTTCAATCGGAAGCAATCAAATGACCAACTATTCAAATTCTGCAGTTTTCTTTCACTTTTCTTAATTCTACTTTAAAGCTTCATAATTTTTGAGGAATTTTGACAAAAACATAGTTTTCTCTTTTAACATATTACGAGAATATACCTGCTTAATTTTTTTTATAAATTTATTTAACTTTTGTTGTTCAGAAGTTTCAGTTCGAATTTATTACTACAGAAAGTGCTCCCTGCTTTTTTTATTAATTATATTATTTTAACTTATTCTTCATTAGCAAAAAAAAAAGAGGTATATTTAATGGCTGGAAGACTTTGCTAAGAGAATCTTCGTGTTCTTAGATTTCTGAAAATGGCAATAAATTCAAGAAACCTTCATCAATGCAGCAATTTCTGGTGGTGTTGAAATAAGCAGTACCTGCGATTTTCGGAACATTCTGGAAATAATGACAAATTCCCATTTTTCACCGAAATGCATTATCTCCAAACATATAAAAACGGAGGGAGAGAAATGCTTACTTGTCAAAAAAAATTCCTGTGAGTATAGCATTAGCTACCGACTTAAGTTTTGGTTTTTCACGTTTCGAAAGCATTGATTGTTTTGTAAATGTTGCTGCAAGCCATTTGCGCACTTCATCGGAGACTGCTTCTGGTTTCACATCCGCCAAATCGTCCTCTTCATCACAAATGCGTCTACAAATTATATGTATCCCAGCTTAACCAACTTTTATGTTTTAATTGCAAAGCGCAAAAATAAACACTACAAAGCGATTATGTGAGTTTCAGAGTTTTAAATTTTCAAAACTCAGGAAACACTTTGTAAACTTTAATACAAATGTTTCTATAAGCATAGCCATTTCATTGATGTTGACCTTTAACCTTTAACAATAATTCAAAATTTCTGTTTCTGGTTCATGGCACTTTTATTCTAACTTGCTTGAAACTTGCACTAATTTTTTTTGTTCGTTACCTAGTCATTACGGCTTCCAAACCCGAAAGGTCTGATTTTTCCAAGTTGATTAAGCATGTATAATGTAGCATTAAAAGCAATGAAATAGCTTTCTGAAATGAGTATGAGTTAGGTCATTTAAAATCTGAACATGTAGTGATAGCTATTCTATGTGACACAGCAATGATGCTAAAGGTGCTTCCTCCCACCGTTTCCCATCAATTTAAATAAGTCCACATCAAAAATTTAAGGTATCAGTAATTAGTCTACGGCTAGATCACCTGGTTTCATTCATACACTCAGTTTCTAAGAGCAAAGCCATATATTCGAGATTCTTTTTGAGATCATCCATTGAAAGTTGACCGCCATTAAGCTGATGTAGCACATATCGTAGCCTGCAATTTTATTTATTTCAACAACCTGAAATTAGTATTCTCGAATAATTAGTAATAATTGGTCAAAAATACCTCCAAAAGAAGAAATGCAAACAATTAGAAATCGATGATATTCAAGTAATACTGTCAATAAACATGCATTAAATTTTAAAGTGAGAAATTAAGAAGTTAGTTTTAGATGCTTTATTCACCTGCATGCGTGCTTCCGTATTGCCAGATTATGAAATCCGTAAGAATTACCAAGCATTCTGTTTTGTACCTATGGCGAAAAGTGCAAAAACGGTTCAAATTGAATATTTAATTGCTTCTGAATTTTTAAGCGAAAGTAACAATACTTCGAGACTGAAACACACTTGTTTAAATGCATTAATTTGAGATTTATTTATAGAAAATCAATACAAAAATTGTCTCAATTTTTTCAGAATGGTTGAGGAAAAGTTTCAATGTTTTTTACAAAACTTTTTTGGCTAAATATGGACAAAAACAGGATGCAAAACTGTGACTCATTTTAGTATTATTTGTTAAGTGTGAAGTCAATCTCCATGACTACAACCATTACTGGCATCTTCAGTTCATGCTTTTAGATAAATTAATTGACCGATGTAATCGACTATGACAACATATTTCTGCTGAAAGCACAAATCTCTTTAAGCCAAGAATTACTTAATTGATACTTCCCGAAAAGTACTAGATGGATGTTTTATGTTGTTTGCAAATGAATGTTTATCATTCGTCCAGCTAGCGTGAATGTATTTAATAACAATGCAATCATAATAATGTATTGAAAATTATGACAACATAGAAATAATAAAGAAAGCAGTTTGTCTCGCTTATTTGTCACTGATAAGTTAATAGAATAGAACGCAGAGCTTAAAAATTACAGTCGTTGTTACAATGAAAAACTTTAAGAAAATGGCTGAAAAAACAGACATTGCGTGAAAATTGTTTTAAAACAGAAGTTAAAAATGAATTGAAAACAAATTTCAGCTTGCGAATGTAGTAAAAGTATCAATTACTGCAACGAAGAAATATCACGAGAACTGATTTGAAGAAGTGAGTTAAGTAATAATCAATAAAGGCCACAAAAATTCTTCAATAGTGCTGGATTTAAGGATTGCACAAATATCTTCCAAAATTTCTAAATATTGCGTAAAAGTATTCTTTCGATCACCTCTGAAACTTAACAATTCCATTTTCTAAGTGGCATAGAAACTCCAAATATATATGAGGATCAGTTTGATAATCCAGTGACTTATCGCAAAAGTAGTATGTCCATGGTTCATGAACTCTTAAAAGGATTACTTGTTTTCTTGCTTCCTAAACAAACTGATAAGATGTGTGTAGGTATGTACGACCGTAATAGGCAAATTTATCTGACGACGGAACTCTGGAAATACATTTAGAGTAATCTCATTTTTGGATTGGTCAAACAATAATTCTCAGTTAGCGAATTTTACAAAAAGAGCGAATGTACTCTTTGTTACATCGACACAATATTTTTTTTTTTTTGAAACCAAACATTCAAGGCATTAATCTTATGATTTCATCAGCAATACAATCCATTCACACTGAATTAAAGTTTGTCGCTTCTTAATTACAAACTTGCTGAAGTGATAGTGATAACAATATGTCTTAATGGCTTCAGAAAACATCAATTTATTGTTACTATGGCGATTTGAAATTGTTAATGGATTTGCCACAATTATCATTTTATGCATTCAGTGATACACAATCTGAGCTTAGATCAATTATTATTTAATACAAGTTAATTTCAAGTAATTTAGTAACTCACCGTTATGTCACTTAATTATTTTAGCCTTATTTTTTCTGCTAATACATCAAGAAATAATAAAAATTTCCGGCTATTTGAAATTTTACTTTCTCGTTTTTAAATAGTTTCTTTCATTTTTTTGATGCTTATAAGAAAATCAACATTTCCAGCGGGAAATCTTGTCAGATATCGAGCACTCTGTCAGATAAAGTAAAATTGATTGCAATTTTCTCCATATACAATTTACTTAAAAGAATTTTTTCAATTTATTCATTTTATAATGCCCAATCAATAAAAACATTGTATTATTTTCGTACATAAATCGATTAGTGGTTATTTCATTCACTTTCTAAACATTAATTGTGATCGGAAAGGTTTTTTGTTATGATTACATTTGAATTTTATGGATTTTTTTTTGAAATTTTTTCGGAAATTAAGAATACTATACTGTTTATGCCTGATATTGATGACATATAGGAAAGAAAAAGGCTTACCAGAATTATATTCCTGAAGAAGACACTGATAGTGTCAAATCTAGCTGTCTCAAAAGCCCGGAATTAATTTTCGGTTTTCCAACAAACCAATAGCAATGTCTGAATTGAGAAAAGACAACTTCTGATTTGCTCATTTAGCAATAGTCCGGACAAATATTCGTAGCGATTAAGTTACGCACCGCCTTATTTGTTTATTGCATTTGTCTAATCTTCTAGTTCTTATCCTTAGCTCATCCCCTCTTCCTCATTATCGTTAGTATCATTCGTTTTTATTGAAATTCAAATCTATATATTAGGAAAATATTATCGGAATGAATGAAAAATGTTTTATTTAGCTTCTTTTTTTGTGTGACACACCTTTGGTGGAAATTATAGGGAAAATGACTGAAGCAAATGAAATTTGATATTCACTAACTGTCATATAATGAGTTTAATCAATCTTTCTTTTAGGTCTTTGCGGGGAAATTTTTCTTTAGACAGAAAGTTTGCAAGTATTTTTTTTTTAACACTTCTAACTTTGATTGTAGAAAAATAATATCAAGTAATCAATTGCTTATATTTCTTTACTAGTGCGATTAATAAAATTTGTTCGATGCTCAAATGTCGCAGTCAAAGAAAATTTTCTTTACTTTCCCTTTGTAATTTAGTGAATGCTGTATCAAAGTATACCGGAATCAGTGAAAACAACGAGAAAAGTATTAGAGATGTAAGATATGCAAGAAAAATAATTAAACAAAAGGACTGAATAGTGTAATCAGAGTTGATAACAGATAAATAAATAAATAAATGACAGATACAGAAAAAAAGTAGGAACAAGGAAGAATTCACAACTGATTACGATAGATGTGGCCATAAAAGCTATTTAGAAGTAAGACATAGGTGACCGAGTAATTCTCGTCTTCAACGCATAAGGCAAAATTTTGAAAGTAAATTATGATTACTTTCGAGTAATACCTACAACAAACATTCAGTTGATTTTTTCTGAGCATTTCTCCGGCCGAATCAATTTCGCAGATCCAAAAATACTTCAAATGAGGCGAAACATAGAAGACAAAGATCTTATCTTTCATGTAACTCTTATACGATAAGGATACAGCCAACAGTAACTTGCAATTTAACAAGACTCTTTCTGGCTTGAGATCTATGAAAAAGGTCATTTCTGTTGATAGCAATTGTGAATTGTTATGAATTAGGAAAAGATGCTTTTGAAGTTATTATGACAATGCAACGGTAATAATTCAAAAGTAACGACGAGTTTATTGTTTTGAGAATAACACCAATAAAGATGCTGAAAGAATGCATCGCGTGAGTTACTTTTTGCTCTCTTGTGGTAAAAATGTTAATGATGAATTTTTAATTCCAAAAATTAATCTTTTTGATTAAGAAATGCAAATTTTATGGTGTAGCATGTATACGTTTTGAATTTCAAATTCTAATTTCTTTAGATAAAACCTTTTCAAGAAATTAATGCTTTCTTTTCTAATCAAGAACGACTATGAAATATTTTTTTAGCAAATTTGCTTAGGAATGTAATACATTTGATATTTTTAAAAGAAGGGATTGTTGATTTCTGAAATATATTATTGATAGACTTTCGATGATTCAAAATTAATGTACTACATGCATGAATGCTGTAAACAATTCTTTGTATTGCAAACAAAGTTAGTTGAAAACAATGTTTATTATAAATAATGCAAACTATACAACACGTGAAGAAAACGTGAATGTGTGAACTATGACATAATAAGAAATAATTTAATAAAAATACCTGGCAGTGACTGAATGCAGGGATTGTGGTGGTATAAATTTGAAATGATTCGTCAGCTTTCGCCATTATCATTGGCCAAAGCTTTTAGACATGGGGCACACCAAATCTCTTAGACTTTTAGACATAACGCCAAACTCATTACTTTCTTTCTTACGTCTGTTGTCGTATGACTAGTCTGAGAATAAGGAAATGAGATTGTTCCCTGAAGTATGAATTCTGTTAGAAGACTATTTAAGTACAAAGAAGGCTTGTAGACTTGTATTTAGTATCTTTCATTTAGTACCTTTTGAGGTTTGTATTTAGTGTTTTTCGTCTTGCTTTGATATCTTCTCTTGTTTTTTTATTAAGTCGAAAATGATCTGAGCAAAACCTAATGTCATATGGAAAGATCTGATATATGTACACAAAACAAGAAAGTAGTTGACTAGACAATAGTCAAGTCATATAGATGAGCCATAAGTGATAACTTAATAACAATTTTAGTTATGGGTTGGAATAGTAAGGAAAAAAAGACGAATTCAATGAAATTTGTTCAAGTAATTTGATGGTTAATATAATTCAATTTTTGCTACTATACTGCAGTTGCTCAATTCGTAAAGTAATTTCCTCAAATCATTTTTTGTATATTTTGGCAAAATACACAAATATTTTGGCGCGCTGTTAGTTAAAAAAATTCATGCATAAGTTGGAAATCAAATTTCCAGATAAATTTTAGATAAGTAGTTATATTTTTTAAGTTATTTAATTTCAAATCTAATTTATATCGTTATCAAAGGCGATATCTGGGTCTCGATCATAATCTGATTTAATATCATAAGATCATTATAGTCGATCCTATTTAATTCTACATCCCTAAAACTTATACATTGATCTACACATCATAACTTCCTTGACTGTCTCAATGGTATAAAAATTGTATTTGCGAAAGTAATATAAATGTGAAAAGCAATTTGAAGGCATTCCCTGGGTGGCAAATATTCACGGTACAATCTGAATCAACCACAACATTTGTCCATCCGAAGACCAAATTTAGAAGACTTTGACAACGACACACCAATCACTCAAGTTGGAGAGTTCATAGTACAGATTGTTGCACAGGAAATCGCTGAAAACCATTAAATCGGTTCTATTTATTCATCTCCAGCTTTAAGGTTTGATTTGCGGTAAAAGTTGAGATCAATTGCGCTTGAGGACAATAAGTGGTTTGTGTGTCGTTTATTACAGATGCGTTCAAACGGCTAATCAAATCTCGAAATTTTTATTGCTTGAAATGAGAATTAAAGTTGAAAATAGTTTATTTGAATGGCTTGGATGGTATAAAATACGGGTAATATTCTAATAACCGTTCATTTCTTCCCTCTTCCAACACCACTGTCACTTGGTTACAGGTGGTGATAATGTCGAGAATATCTAATGTCGAATTTTTATCTGCCCTACATTTTGTACTAATTTAAATCAATAACAAGTAATGAAAACTTTTGAAAACATTAAAAGAAAATTGAGATTAGAATTTGTGATTTTGGTATGAAATATGAGTATAATGCTTTATAGCATTTATAATAGATATTGATGAATAATGAATATACCACTTTTCTTTAAAAAATTGGGGAAGATATAATCATTATTCGACCAATAAGTTTGGAAAGGTGGAGAGATAAGGCATTTTTTATCTCAGAATCTCAGAAAAACTCTTCTCATCTCAGAATCATCGTATGATCTTGAAAATTCCTGGATGAAGTAATGAAATGTCTGATACTGTCAGTAGAACAAACAGTTCCTCTCATCCAGGTGATCCAGCTCAAGTCGGTCATTTAATGTTCAACATGTATTATATTCCAGCCGCCAAAGTGGATGAGCAAAGAAGAGTAGATTCTGTCAAATTTATTTGTAGTCGCTTCATGGGGATAAATTACAACCGGTGGTTGGTTCAGAAAGTATTGCTGGCTATTTCGAGCGCAGTATCGATTTTTTAAATACGTTAGCTTAACCTCTTCCGTTTATCAATTTAGGAAAACAGGACCCTTTAATTGAACACTGCACAAGTCATTCAACTCCTGACAAAAGCAGCTATTGCAACCAATTGCTTCCAAATTTATATTAAAGTGGGATAAGCTAGGATACAATTGTGAACACTCGCATCAATTAGCAGCAAACAGTATTCAGTCTTTCCTTTTTCATGCCGAAATTTTAGAGTGTAACACCGTAAAACGCTGCTTTAAATTTAAAATCTTTTGAAATGATGCACATGCAAAAATCATATTCGTCAACCACTTCACAAAGCTCAAAAACCCTACCTCCTATATCGGCATATAATAGTAGTTAGGATTTTGCAGAATGCTGAGAAAAGATAAGTCAAGTTGCATGATAACATATACACCTACAATTTATATTTACACTCGATATTTGCTGAAAATCAGTGCTACACGCAAAGAACTCGATAGCAGTGATTCAAAAGTATCTTTCTGTTCGCTGGTTGTAATGGAAAAGGTAACAGTTTTGGAAAGCCACAACAGCATTTTCAGATAAACGGAAGAAACTTCTGTATTCAGGATCAAAAAGAAAACTGCCACACTTCGAAATACTACACATATGATTTGACACTTTCAGGATGCGGATGACAAGAGCTGGAAGCTTGGAAAACCTATCAAGATGATGAATTCCTTAAGCCAATCAACCAAAATAGATTACCAGTTTTTACTCAACAAACGTGGCTGGCAATCTTTGTCAAGCAACTGCGGTCACAAATATTTTTCCCTATACATATGTAATCCTGTAATATATGAAATTGAAGTTTCTGAAATACACTGATGTAATCTTACAGACCTTTGAAACAATTTTAAAAATTCTAGTCCAATATATCTCTAACAGAGCGGCGTAAATTGTTGAGGTTAAAATGTGCTCCTAATGTTAAGAATCCAAATGCAAGTCTAGTTAAAAAGACTAGGGTGAGATCCCATTACAAAATCAGCTATGAACCAGATGCAACTCTTCAGGTTATAAATATATTTTCTTCAGGTTACAAGCCTAAGTATAGCCAGAAGATTACGCAAACATCTTTTAGTTATATTTAGGCAATTAATTAATAGGACGAGGACGTCAAGCCTGAGTTTAAACAAATCGGAAATTGCCGAAAAGATCAAAGAGGCTTCTTGAAACTTTAATGAATTTCATTTCACCATTAATATTAATATAACTCAAGATCAATCAAAACTGATAATGGAATAAAATCACATTACACTTCATCGCACAGATGCTGCTGCCCCACCATGGTCTCTTGAACCATGTGAATCGACTACTGCTTCTGCCAAAAACAATTTTGCAATATTTTCACTAGTAACCTACAAAATTTTTAAATCTTGTAATTATGATTAAAAAGTAATAAATAACGAAACATGAAACAAACTGCTCTAAATAATACTACCACATAAAACAGAATACGAAATACGAAAACGAGGACATTATCTCTTGTATTGCTCTTTTTTCTTACCTACTTGAAAAAACACAAGCAAAATGAAGAAAAAGAAAAATGGCGTAAACAAGCCTCTGCAGCATAGTCGGAATGAGCTCTAGCATCCGATGAACACAAAAAACTTTCCAGCATTCCACACTTGGTTGTTAACTGGGGTGGCTTCATCTTTTTTATGTCATCAAATGATAGTGGAGGTTCACCACGAGCCTCTCGTTGCTCATTTTCCGCTTGCTGTAAAAAAAAAAAAAAAAAAAAAGACTGCAGATCAGAAGATTATGGCAAAAAAGCTACTTGGACAAGCAGTTAAACAAATCACACAGAAATATGAAGCCAGTAACCCTTTTCTGCATAGCATTGTAAACAGTTAAATCGTAGCGCTGCTTGTCCGCCACGTATTTCGTATACGCCATAACTGTTCTATTGAGATCATCAACATCGCTCATCAAAGAACGAAGACATTTTTCCAGAGACCTGTGAAAAAACTAACACGTGGAATAAGCATACAGTTGAAAGAATAGATTTAACAATGAAGAGAAGTTGAAATTCTAATATTTCATGACGAGAAATCATTTCTTAGGAAAAAAACCTTCGAGTTCCAAGTTCGAGATGAGAGGATGACCGCTGAATTGCGCAATCACCTTCTAGAGCTAACTCAGCTAACATCACATTCACCAGATGACTATTTTTAATGACTACAGGTAATTCTTCAAGCATATTCTCATATGTCAAACCAGCTGTTCTCGTACTGAAAAAATCACGAAAATGAACTCCGACGTTAAAAACAAGAAATTGATTTTTTTTATCCGTACTTTAATATCTATAGTACGAAGATAAAAATCGTTTATCCACAATATCGTATACAAATATTAATGCATAATAACTTTAGGCAACCATAAGCAGTTTACCTCTCTGGTGACCAATCACCATCTAAACTCATTTCTAAAGCTTTTGTTGATAAACGATAAGCTCGTATACTCAGCTGTCCTTGGCGAGTTTTCACAGGGTCTGCAATATTCTTCTAAAGAAATTAATCTACTTTTAACTCAAATCTTCTGTAGAAGTTTCAAATAATGAACTGCTAAATAAAGATGCTAATTTTTACCATAAATAAGCACAACTCCATCTGGCACGCTTGCTTGATAATCGATTAGAGAATCGATTGTTTCCTGAGCAAAACAAGCACCGAACGGATGAGCTTGATAAAATCCAACAAGCTCGTAGTCGATATTCATATCTCTGCAAATGAATTACACAATATTTAAGTTACTGCAACAAAAAATGGTGTCGTTAAAGTGAATGAGTTCATGGGGATTCAAAAAATCTGAATAGAAAGATGGGACCTGAATTTTCGAAGCATATCCAACATCTCCGCCTGCTTTTGCTCCTCATAGAAAGCATTGTTTTGCGCTATTTCATCACCATCAAGCATCGGCTCAGCTCTGGCTGTCGGAAAACAATTTGTGATTTCCAAGCGACGGTCGTCAATTGACACCAAACCTTAATTTACATTTTATATCAAACAAGAGAATATTTAATGTATTAAGAATGCAAGATTAGAGAAATTATTTACAAGTAACAGATAACAAATATATAAGAAAGGATTACCAGTTAGCAAGCCTTGGCATGCTTCACCTGCTACTTCGTTTAGGCCTGCATACATTTCTGAGTCAACATGCTTCACGATTTTCATGACAACCTGAAATACCTATGAACTTGTTAATTACAATTCATTGTATGCGTAAAATATCAATAAAGTAGCGCTTGTGAGTATTTTTTAAATTCTGAAAACAGCAAAGAAATCCTGAGTAAAAAATGAGACTTACCTAATACATTTTAACAGACATATCAAACTAAACAAAAATAGATACTAAAAATAAATACTAGAAAATATACCAAGCTATCTATCTGCACGAATTGTACAATACTTGGACCAGCAACTGTTGCACTAATAGTTGACATCGTTCTGGAATTTCTAAAAAATTAATCCAATAAGCGAAGTTAATGGAGTTAAATACGATTTCTATAATTAATAGTAGGTGTAATTAATAGTAACGGAGACAAGTAGATTTTGTATGTCAAAGCAAAACCCTATACTTCCAAATACAGCATTTATAGAAAGTTTATTTACACATCGTAACAAAAACACTCATATTACATTTTACAACAAAAATCAGTGATAACAATTAGCTATTATAACGATCTCTCAAATTTCTCATTATGCCTGGATTCTACAAGTTCCTAATCCAAGTTAATTTATAAATAATGTAAACTGCTCAAAACGTTTCAATTCCTTATACAAATAAACAAATAAAAGAGTTCAGATATTAGCAACACTGACACAAGAGAACAGTTTGGATACATCTCATTGCTTATATCGCGTAAATTCATGAAAACAACGTGATAAAAACTAACCTTGTGTTCTATAGAAAAATTAATTAATAAGAAATATAGATAATGAATCGTTTCATATACAGAATGTTCTACATTCTATAAAAGATTTACTTGGTGGCTTAAACAGGGATGATTAAAACTAATCATGCATTGGAATATGTAGGACTTTCCTCATGTAGGAATTATTTCTCATGCCAAATAAAATTAAATTAGCTGATAAGTGAAAACTTATTAGCTAATTTTATTTGGATAATATGAAACGAATTACATAAAACTTGCATGAGCACACCGTCAACAACCCACCGCCTAACAGGTCAAAGTAAGTAATGCAATATGGACAATCTTTAACCTAAGAAAAAAATGGAAAAACTAAAAGAAATACCACAAATCCTCTAGCAATAACATTTCAGTTTGTGGCTAATAACAATTTTCCCAAAAATTTTCAAATACTGAAAAAATCTTTGCACATTATAAAATTATTAAAATGTGTAATAATTATAAACAATTTCTAAAAAAACACAACCCACAACAAAATTTCGAATAGCTGCTGCAACATTTTTAAATAAATTATATAAATTATCGGAATATTTGTAAATGATTATCTTACAAAAATTCGTGTGTGTCAAGCTAATTTTCTCGATGTTATAAAATTTGTTATTAAAAAATATTTTAAAATTGCTGTGGGTAGGTGAAATAACAAGAAAAAGTGATAAAAATTAATACACAGACGTTAGAAATTTGGTAAATCCCACTATATAATACGCATCTCCAAAAAAATCAGTTAAATCATGTAAAAGAATACTGTTTTTTTTTTTTGTCTTTTTAAAATGTCAAAATTATAAATTGTCAAATTTCGTCAGTGAGGCCTAACATACTACCTACACACATAAAAGGCAACAAGTCTAGCTCATCACTGTTAAAAGTTTTTTAAAAAAATAAATAATGCAAAACATGAGCATTAGACTCCCCGATATAATGGTACACAATTACTTTAAATAAACTACGCGTACGTCGTTGGTAATCACATCATTGACAATGAAATTTAAGTCTTCCATATATTTAATCGACGCAAAAACTTCAATTGCGTCCCATCATGGAATGTTTGAACCTACCATAAAAATACCTTCAGCCGTTTTCCATAAAGCCGCATTTTTTGTCGTAGAAATGGCTACTACCTCATACTGCCCATTTATAGGTCTCCCATACTGTTTACCACTTATTGCCAAAAACTTGCCTGAAACAATAATCCATAAGAAATAAGCAAATATACTAAACAGCGAATAAATTCAAAATATGTTATAAAGATTCCATAAAATTACACATATTCCATAAAAACGTATGAGGCCATGTGAATATTCACTTTGTTTGTTTCAAGGACCGAACATTTACATAAAAGTGAGAATGTTCAAAACGAACCAGTATCTTCATGCTTCAGCTTTACAGCATCCTTCGTAAGCCATGCATTATTACTACACACGACAATCCAGTGATCACCAGAATCACTTTCATTGTTCCCAAAACAAGACACTTCCTTCAAAAAAATTACTTTACTTCTAAAATCATTTCATTTAAATATTTTCACAGTGAAATCAGTTCGAAAACAAAGAGAAATGAAGACCTTTAAGAGAACAAAAAATAAATTACTATACCCTCTTTTACGGAATTCCTCTATACATAATGAGTTAATAAGATAGCTCGCAAATATAATAAGCACCTGGTCCTCTTTTGTTATTGGTGCAGAGAATAAGTGGCTGTGAAGATAGCAGCCAGTCGTCAGATGTTTTAAACGTATTTTACTGCCACATTTCACTGGTTCTCCTCGTTTGCAAGTTCCTTTGATTGCTAAACCAGAACAATGAAGAAAAAAAATTATGTTGTGTAGATGTTATTAAATCCAAATTACGGGACGCATATACAGAATATAATAAATCTCACCGGAAAGGATTTGCCAGTGAGAATTCACGTCATCGCCATCTTGTACAGCAGTTACAGATTGTTGACCACTACCAGATCCATATTTTATATCATGTGAATGCAGACGAACACCTGAATAATGAATATTGGAAACTGTTACAGTCAAATAGTAACGATAACATTTTTGCGGTATTTAATCGAATCTTTCTTCTTACCTTCTTCGTTATTCTTTAGCTTAACAACTGATCCACACGTTATAAATCCATCATTACTTTGAAATGCACTTGCAGCTACAAAACACAATTCCAAAAATATCAAGAAATGCGAAAACATCTAAAATAGCCTTTATGTTTTTATGAAAGTCAACAACATAAATGCTGTTATTCACTTAGAAAGTCCTGTAGTATAAACCTTTAACATAAACCGGAGAAGTGAGCTAGACTAGTACGACACTTAAGTTAACATAACGGATGTACTATTTTTTAGAAATCGAAGATTTGCTGAGAAAAAAAACACAACTGAGGGATGGGATTTGTCATTATTCCAATTGCGCAGAATCCGTACCGCTTCATTTTATTAAAATTAAGATTTCACTTGAAAAGTGCTACTAAAATATCAAACTGTTATGAGAAAAAATGAAAAACCTTGTCCTCAGTGACTACCGCAGCAAAACCTCTGCATTCACACTTCTCAACCCACACAAATCATTAAGCGACGTCACTAACCTCGAATTACTGTAAAAAATCTGATATGATTTTTGACGCGGCTTTGATGTGAAACTTATCGTCTCAAGTTTAAATTATATAAGAAAGTTCCCTTTTTTGGTCTGCTAAAATAGCAATTGCTGTGAAAAATAAAATATAGGAACTAGTTCGGTCATAAAACTATTTAATATATTAGTTCATTTATTGCTCAATTCAAATCTTGGATTCGTGGCATTTTCTTCAATCAGATATATGAATCTGAGTGGAGGATCAGAAGGATCAGAATGGACTGGATGAACTTTAAATTAGTAATTTTTCATGTGTAAAGGTTGCTTAACTGACATATAGATGATTGCAATACCTGCCGAGATTAAAACATTGATAGAAATAAAATTGAAATACTGATAAGGCGAAATTAATGAAGCAAAATTCTGTCAGAAGACTTTAGATAAAAGTTTCTGACTAAAACACTATTCTTTGAGAAAAAAAGGACTGGGCCATCTGTTTTGCAAAAAAAAGAGCCACCGTTAATAGATGTTTTAAACTCCAAATCAATCTTCTAAACAAGTATTTGTTTAAATAAGTAATACTATTTAAAGTAATTAAAAGTTGTGCTCAAAATTACTTTATCGTAACATTTTATCATAACATCACTCACTACCAAGTGACATTATATTGCTTGCCACCAATAGTCCTAGATGAAATCTCATCGCTTAGACCGTAAGAGTAAAGTGAAACTTGGAACCCTTCATCCCTGATCAAGTTTATTTATCCGTTCAGGATTACTTATTAGCATTGTTAAGCATAATTATTGTCTAATATCACAATGATTTAATTTTTTGGAATGAATGGAGAATTACTAAGACAATATTTGCTTATTCTGCTGTGATAAAATGCTATGCTAAAAAGTTATTGAAGAGAGAAAATTGAATTACATTAGAATTTAAACGGATGAATGATTGGGATGAGTCATCCATACCAATTCTCATACAATGAAAGGTGAAACCTCAACAGAAGTATAAAAGTGTGTGATATTGTCGCAAGTCGTAAGTTGTGCAGAGTTTTCTGCACTTGCGACTTGCGACACACATAACATTTTGACACAGATATGAAGAGAGATTAGAAAGTGACAAAAACATTCGTATTGTATATTTTGTTATAAACTGTGTATTATATCCATCGTATCCTTAATGAATGTGCATCAAAAAAGCTTGCTGAGAAATTCAAATATGAAATAAATTCAATATCCCAACTTTTCGCTTTTCGTTCACTTATATTTGATCAATTTTGCGACCCTGTTATCCATTATGTATTTATGTTTCTAATTTCTAGAAAAGTTTATGATTGGAAAGTTTTAATTAAATAATTGTTTATGACGCAAGTCTCTTCTTGGTCAAATCGGAGTGAGGGAATGGGAAAGTTAGAAAGGAAATCGCACATCTGCGACGAACTAAGTCCTGTCCACTGAATAATCTAATTTATCTAACAGGGATAGATAGCAAAATGAAGAATGCTGAATTAAACTTTGTAACTGATATCGTATTTATCTTCAGATATTTTACGATTACTTAGATTTAAGGTCAATTAATTTTGACTTCTTTAATAGACTTATTTATTTTATTTATGTATCCTTCAATTTATACGTATGCTGGTGATTAATTAATTCTGTTGGTTAAATCTAGTTTATTTATTTCACTTGAGCGTAATCCAATCTCATTTTTCCGGTATGTTAGGCAAGATGTAATAATGATTATCTGATTACATCTTATACAGACGTAAGGGAACTTCCGCTTTGTGCCAGTTAGAAGAATAGTAGCAGTGGAAGATGAGAACTTCAAAATGTTAATATGTGACAGTCACATTGTCTACTGAAATAGTGTATCTCAAGTTTCTTCCTTTAACATTGTCAAAAATGAATCCGTCAGTTACTCTACTTCCCAAATTCTGTTTGTACCTCTGAATTGACAGTGGACGGGTTTATTCAGGAATATCTGTACAGTACAACTTTTCGGATTCAATGGAAGAAAAGTCTTAATTAGAAGCTTTAATAGGATAATAACACCGAAATGTCCTTAACGTGGCCAGTAAGCTGAGATCTACCGGGAAAGTAGCGAGAGTTGGTACTGCGAGAGTATGAAGAGAAAGTTATGAGTAGAGAGCAGGCATTCAGCTACCGTTGCACACCCTCTAGCAAACAGGTTATCGAAGGAGTGCTGTGCTCGTATCACAAGGAAGAAGAAAGGAACGAGAAGTCTGATAAAGAAACAACTTTTCACGCGACAACGACAGCACTAAGATATTCTGAAGATGAAATACCTCTTGAATTTAGCACCTTTCCATCAATTCTATCCATCCCTTTTTACTCTCGTCATTCTTTAATTTGTCATAATTGCTTTGCGATAAATTATCTCAAATTTGCGGGCTTTCCTTTGCAAAGTGATGGTAAATATCCTAAGTACAGTCATTAAAGTTAGGCTATGGATATGTTTAAAATTTGCATAAATTTAAATTTTTCTTACTTTTCGTCTAATTTCCCACCCAACTAAATTCCTTTGTTTTCGACATGTGACGATCCAAATACCTTTCATCTTTGCGCTCTTACATTTGATGAAAGTCATTGAAACAGTATGAAATGTCATCATGAATAGCACCCATTCATTTATCTTCAATCAGTTACTGTCCACTAATTTAATTCCATTCCTAACGATATCAATGTTACTGATAGGAAACAGATTTCCGTAGCATTGTTCGATCGTGTTTACATTCTCATTTCAAGCTTAACATCAATCAATATGTTTCTAACCATAATTAATTGCACTAAGGAATTTAATCATTAATTTTACTATGGTCATATATATCTTCTACTTATAGATCTCACAAAATTGCTAATAGAAGAAAGCAATGGAAGAAACGAGTTCACTTCTCTTTGCGGTAAAAACCGCCGTTCGTTCTTATTCTCAAAATTAAAATTTCTTATTGAAGTGCTGCCTACTATGTTTGGATATTCTCTTACATACTTAATCTTGTTTCCACATCTATTAATGGTTTTGAATAATGAAATATTGATATCGGCCAGTATCTTTCATGCACTTCGATCACAAAGTTAATCATCTGGGCCAGTGTGAGAGGATCAAGTCCCTGCAATTACTATTTCCATGATGCACTTCTTAAGCATCATCACTACATTACTTCTTTTACATGTTAGTTTCATATATCATTTTAACATATTGCTTTCACTTATTCAATTCCAGGTTCCTACTTTATCGTATATATTTGTAAAAGTCAAAATTAAGCTCGTTTTAAAATAAATAATTTTTTACATTCCGGTTAGCATCCACAGTTAAACTTCGGAAAGGAAAACTTTTGCGTAAATACCCTAATTATTTTAATTAAAATTTGATTTTTTTTTAAAAGTTAAAACTAATTAAAAGAGAGTTTAAAAATACAATTTTCAATTACGTTTCCTTATGCTTTTCTGTAAAGCATGTTTTCATGGACTGAAAATTTCTTTACATTTTATTAAAAAAAGGGTGCCAGAGAGGCTATAATGTTTTCACGAGAGCGTACTGTATTAAATCTTTTTATTTTATCTTTTTGACTTATATATCCAATCATAACAGTAATAAACATTTTGAATTGTTTGTTGACTACTAAATATGATTTCTTTGCTTTTCCGAAAGTTATTACTAAAATAACAGAAAGGATCGTTTATTACTGCTATGATTGGATATATCTTTGAATTCGCTGCTGAATTTCGCCTAATTCAACCTTATATGGCTTATAATTGTGGACCGAAAGTATTTTTTCAGAGATTCTAGGTTTATTTTGATTCACCAATCTTGAAGCAAGAGCTTTTCTGGTATAGAAAAAGCTGTCAGAGAAAAAACTGAGCATTGCATTTGCTGTTATTCTCGGAATTCTGCAATATTTTAGTGAAGTAAGAAGAATACAAATTAAATATTTATTTAAAATTGCTGAATAAAGTGACATGCTGCAATGATTCTGTTTTTCTGTAATCATATCATCATCAACATTCCGTTAAATCTAAAATTTTGTTTCCTGAAAAATTGTTTTGGATCTATTGCGGAATGTTAGTGTTGTGAAAATTGTTGACTCGTCCAGGAGTTTTTATGCTGGAATTTGGTATGCCTACCCTTTTGAATGTCTGTTGAGTTTTTTCTCTTTTTATCGTATCTTCTGGCAGAAATTCACATTTACATCAAATTAAATTTCAATTAAAATAGGTTGCAGTTATGTTCGAATATGTGATAAAGCAATAATAATAGAATCACACTTTGATGCTTCCGTAACGTATGCTAAATCGAGCCGGAACAAGGCATTTTAACTGACTCTGAAAAAAGCTAAACTTAGTGGCATAACTTCAAAGTAATAGACATTTCAGTAGCAGATACTTTGAATGTTTTAACTAAATGGTGCCATTCAGTCATCTCTCTCAGAAATTAGTAGTGAGAATAATGTCTTTCAATTTTTTAGGAATATTTGCAGCATGAAATCAATTGTTATTTATAATTGAATATCACGTTACATGCACTACTTATCGTTTCTGCTCTTATATTTTTTAATATATAATTCGACTAATTTAAGATAGACAAGTGCTCGAGAAAGACATCTATGATCTTTAAAAATATTGCGCTAAGTAATTGTAGGAGATAGCGCTTTTTTGAAACATTTCTAACTTTTTGAATTAACTGAAACAGAAAAGTGAGATGTTTGATGAAACTGGAGCAGTTAAAGCTACCATAAACAACATATCATCACCACTTTTGGTTGATTGAGTATTGTCAATAATAATTTCTTTTCCCATGAAATAGAAATGCGTAAATGATGACTGTGAGAACTGATGTACGATTGCCGTTAGTGGCGTATATTTCTGGTTTTCATTATCGCACATAAATTTTAACAAAATAAACGGTAATCGAGGGGTGAAAAAATCTAAGTCAAATTAAACCTGGTGAAGTATTACAAATTCCAATTTGCAGTTAAAATTTGACATTACTGCGACCAATATTCTGGACGATTATACGATTTGTAAGGCCGACGGTTTCAGTCGTGCTTCACTGTTATGTGATGTTGACGATACGCTGGCTTTTCACACCCAGCAGAAGATTATCTCGTTGCTTAATGACCTTCAGCGAAAGGTTAAATGTAACTGCGAAAGTGGATGCGAGCGTCCAGATGGAAACAACAGGTTTCATTTGAATTTTTTTTTAATTTTTGAAAAGTTTATTTGCAAAAAATATTTTTTAAAATGAAAAAGTAGAAACGATTCATTTGTTAATCCCCTAATTTAATAAAATACTTGGAATCTATGAGCTGGAAGATTCTATGTCATAAATATATTAGCTCTATAAAAAAGAAATAACGAAAGGCGTCAAGTCATCTGTTTTAATAATTGGGATGAAAGTGTCTAAATTATTCGACTTCGATTGCATTCTCCTAACTACTTTTGGAATTTGTGTCTTGCACGCATGAAAACTTCCCGGCTTATAGGATTCTGTGACCTACATTGCAATAAAATTTCCAGATTTGAAGGCCATAATCAAATTGATTTAATCAATTCTGATCAGATTTATAATGACGTAATTTTAGTTACTCTCTAAAATCTCTTTAGAATTCAATGCTTTCTTTTTCAATTTTACTACCTTCAGTGCTATTAGAAGACAAAATAATAGAATTCTAAAAAACAAACTAAAATATGAAAAATTTCTTTTTCAGATAAAGTCATGTAATTGACCTTTATGTTATTTTGCAAGCAGTGAAATTTGAGCCTAGTTCTGGTCTGTTACATAGAAGAAATTTTTTTTTTAGTTTGGTTTTTCAAATCAAATGTCTAAATGAAACATTTTAAATCATTTAAAAACCGATTCCCACAAATTATATCAGTACGTTATATTGATATCGACCATGTATGTTGCAATGTATGCTGAAAAATCATTTGCAAAGTGTCAATGTTTTTTTTTCTTCTAACTTCATATATTGGTCCAGAAGATTCAAAATCTGAGCCAAAACTTATGAAAGTTAATTTCTGTGTTTCGAGTGGATATCTTAGGTATATCGGTGTTCTTCTCGTTACAAATTCAACGAAAGTTGCTGATAGCGATGAGCCATTAAATGAAATAGCCAAGAAGATTTTCTATGACGCACAGTTAGGCAATGCACATTGCGACAATGGATTTCTTATTATCTATATAAAGGACAAAAAGCAGGTCACAATTGTCCATCATTTCAAAATTAGTTTTTCAAGAGTAATTCAACATGTGCTCCTTATGCATCACATTTTCCTATTCTGTGTTAAGCAGTAACAAATATTCGAGTATGTTTTTTTTACAGCTTCAGTTATATGAAGCTATAAATTCAGTTATAAAGTTTCAGTTATATACAAAAAATTTAAATTTTGAAAACTACTGCCATTTATATTAAACTACGTTAGTAAAATAGCACAGGTGACTTTTTGAAAAAAAAAAGTTGCTTTGAAATTTTTAACTAACTAATGACCCATTTAACATTTAGAGCATATAATTTGAGCTATTAACATTTAAAATATTAACATTAACATTGTCACTTAATTCAGTCACATATTATATTATTAAATTACCACAATTACATGGATAATCACTATACTTTTTATCGGATCGCAGTTGCAAATCGTTTTTTGCATTTTCTCGATGTAATAATTTTTTAGTTCCGATCAAAAGATAAAGAATTCTTTTCAGTTAGTGACATATCACGGTGGCGATTCTTATATTTTTCTGGACACGAAAGATCTAGTAACACTGCACAGCCTGGCTATCAAAAGTAAGCTTTTCAAATATTTTTCTAAAACTTGGATCTAACGTAATTTCAGTAGTTTCAATAGTTATAATCTGTTTGATCAGGGCATCTTAAATTTTGCTTTAAATTAAGCGAATCAAGACTACAATTACGATAATAGTAAGAAAGAATTGATTTTGGAAGCAACTGATTAGATTCTATTATTTAATATGCCACTATTAATTAGTCCGACATGTTTATAACTATTCAAGCCTCCACATTCACATTTACGTCCACGCATATAATTTAGCATTCTTTCTCGGATACAAAATAATTGACGACAAGTGACAAGAAAGGAAAGAGGAAAAGGGTTGAGAAGAAAACGGAAAGCTCAGATGGTTTGCAGATAGTAATACTTTGTTGTTAGGTCAAAGGTAATTTCAGAAAGCAAAAGTACTATCTTTTCTGCAACTTTGCAGAAATATTTGCAAACACTTGTGGTTGCCTCAAGAGCTACTTTGCTATATATGTGATAAGACTTCACTATCATTTGATAATAGCTCTTTATATGATTGATTTCTATAGTTCATAATTTCAGACAAGCCGTCGGATGATGCTCTCGCATTGCAGTACTTTTTATCGAATTATAACGATGTACGGAAAGCGGAAAGAGCTGAAATCTGGACGGTAAGATTATCTTAAATTTTAATTAATCTTATCCGACATAGTGATTTTTCATTTCTTATAATCCTTTGAGCACTTTCTAAACTACTAATTTACTTATAAATTAGATCTTATTCTAATATTTTTTTTATTTATTATTCAAAAAGTCCTAGACCCGAGATAGATACCAAAATTGCTCCTTCATACTGGAAATACAATCATTAAACGTTATCTAATAGAACTAAGCACTCCATGAAACTGTCTTCATTAAAGGACAGACACCACTGATATCAACTTAATTATATAACTGTGTTATTTTATCTTAAAATAATATTGCTAGCTGTTTAATTACAATAGTGACAAAAAATATTCTAGTGAAATTAACTAGCAAACATTGGGATGCATCTTTCAAATTAAAAATTTCTTGATTTTTGCTATGTTTACTAAAATTGTTTTTCACATTCTATTATAGAATTTACTGCTTTAAAGCCAGTTTTTAATCAAATCTCTTTAAAACAAATAAAGAAGGGAATATCAACTCAGAATTGAGATGAAAACCTGTTCTTACGTATCTAAAGAATTAATGTGTAAACCAGTAGTAATAAGAAGAGGAGGAATTGAAAAGGTAACCCGTTCAACGAATTCGTTATTGAACCTGTCAGTCATCCCTTAAAGCTAATAATTTTCAACGTTTAATGTGAATTTTGAAAGCGGAAATAAATGACCAGAAAAGTGGTGAGTGAAGAATAGCCTGATCTTCATGATGGTATGTATTAAAAATAAGCTATTAAATTGGCATGACAAGATTTTCCTTTTGAAATTCATTATTTTTTTTGGATTTATATAAAAAAAAAATAAGATAAATTGTATTTTCCTATTCATAGTTTCGTGCTTTAGTTTTTACAGAGGGTATGTCATTTCTGTCAATTAAATGAGGTGTGTAAAATATGTTTTAAACACTTATTTATTTTTACATGCAAGTCATTATGGTATCATGAAAACAATCCAAAGATGTTAAAAACAGTTCATCCAATATGTGGTAATTTATAAGCGTTTTAATTTTTCAGCCTATTATTGGACTCTTTTTGGCTATTATCATTGTACTCGTAATCCTAGCAATATTGTTAACCTTGTTCTTGGCTCGATTTTGTTGTTGCTGTGCAAAACGTATAAAGGATGAAGATGAAATATACCAAACAGGTACGATGGGAGGATCTAGAAAAATATTGATTGCAACTCCTACGCTTGAACGAATTTATGGATCGCCAGGAGATGCTATTTACAGCACTCCATATTGTGGTAAATTTTCCATACAAATTTCCATACAACTAAATTATAAAACTTTTAGCTTACAATAGACATATTCTTATGGGGAAAAAAAACAACAACAACAACAGCTTTATTCTTACTGTGATATGCAAATTCAAAAACTATTAGAAAAGATGGCGTTGAGAAAAGTAATGAAATAATGATTTAAATAAATGTAATTACTCCCATGGATGGATAAAATAATGATAATAATGGGGAAATTTACAGGGACTCCACTCCCACCGCCCCATTTGCCTGTTTTTAAAGCAGAGATATACCCCGGGTCACTGCGAAGCTCATCTCAGACCGCTACACCAGCATCGGTCAAAAAACATCGGATACGACCACTGTATTCTCCTGCTTCACGCGGTATATCTCCCAGTGATACACTGACTATAAGTCGATTGCAGAACAGCAAGGTCGACGACTCAACTCAGGTAGCATCCAATTTTTTCGTACAAAATTTAATTTCTTAGTAATATAGCTTATAACTCATAGAGATCACGCTGGATTATGAATGAAATCCTAAAGAGATTAAATTCAGAAGAGATTAAATTGATATATGTATTTTAACTTAGACTTGCCTATGACATTAAGCAGGCTATGATTAACTTAAAGGATAGAAACAAACTTCCATGAAATATACTTATGCTTGAAGACAAATGGTAATTCGTCATTAGAAGATATATTAGAAGTGAAACGACTGGAACCTCCAATTCAAGGAAGTACTTCGGTGAAGTCAGGTTTGATGTAATTTCATAACTATGAATAAATCAATCCTACGCAACGTCAAACAAAAGAAAAGGAGTTGGATCAGCTTGTTTTATATCTTTCAAACAAAATGATCCATTTCACTTCTCTGCACATCTATTCTCATTTAGGGAAATATGTTGTTATAGGGTATTACGAATTAATATGCTTAAGCAAATTTAGGTGGTAACATATTGTTACCGCGAATAGCTGAAACTTCCAGTGGCCAACGCTCTACTGGTTGTACGGAATCAGATTTATCGTTCTTGGATCCAAAACGGCAACAAGAAGTACAAACACGTACTGATTTTATTTACTAATTTTCTTTGCATATCCTTGTTAGTACGTTAACAGAATGGATGTTTTTCTCAAATGCTTTTCCCAAACATATTCTTGTTAATACATTTTTCTCTATATGAAACACAGTTTCATTAGATTTCCTTAATTAAAATTTTCATATCGTTATAACTTTTCATTTTGAACAGTTGAACAATGGGGCTGTTTAATTTTCAGTTTTAATTATTCAGAAATTGAATACTACAAATTCTGAAGTAATTTATATTCATGAACTAAAAAACTGAATGTTTTCATAAGACCTTTTTTCATTCAGATTAGAGTTGATAATCTTCTGAGGGATGAAGTTTGAAATTGTTCAAAAGAGTTGAGAAAAAGAAACTTAACTGTTGAAGTGATTTTGCTTTACTTTTTAGTGTTATCTCTTTTGATTTCAAGATCTTCCGGCTGATTTTACTATTTCTTTGCAGAAAATTATTGCTCATATATGAAATACTTATCACTGAACTGAAATTTTATACGAATATACCACTCTGTTGTAAAAAAATATTAACAGTTCTATATTTTTTTACAACATATAGTTATAAAAATTTTTAATAGTCTAACCGCAAATAAATTAAAATTTCTGAAAAACACAATGTCTGTACATTCATTCCCGAGCGACCATGACGATTAAACATACCACAAGTCGGACCCAGTTATCCACAGATTCCGAAAGAGTAGCAGTGATGAGAAGGTCGAAATTCGCAATACTAAAATAGGAATGAACCGATGACTTCAACTGACTTCAAACTTCATCCTAATGCAGATTTGGTGTCATTGTCGAAGTCACAGTGCTGACTTTACAGTAAATTATATAAAAATCGCCTGTGTTTTTCGTACTAGAATCGACCAATATACAAGAATATTAAATGAAAACCGTTATGGCATTTATTTGAAATAACAAAAGAAAATCGTTCTGGAAGTAAGTATATTTAAGGATTCGATTACTTTCAAATTTCGTTCTACCTAGTTCACTGATGAGATCTGAATAGCCCTGAAGATTCGTGCACTAGGTGTTGTGAATTAAATCAAACATGTTGTAGGAGTAATATGGTTGAATAATTTATTGAGAAGTTAATGCAAAAAGAAGCACCATGATGAGATCCGTAGCAATTAACACAAACTGCACTAAAATTAAACTTATATTTAGTTTCAAAATTTTTGTTTCTTTTTTAGTATTAATAATGAATCCTATATATAAGTAAATCCTATATATAAGTATGTGCTTTCTATCAGGAAAAATCAAATCCTTTATCCGAGAAAAAAATGAGTGTTTCTAAGTTACTTCTTCTTATAGAAAGAAGTATCTCTTTGCTGTCCCAATTCTTATAATTGTCTTTCTCCAGCAACATACTGATTCGATTTAGGGCAAACGATTTTTCTAATGAAGTAGATTAGGATAAGTGTAAAAATGAGCACCGGCACCGCTAGGCAAACTGAAATGACCCATGTTCTTGTTGCATAGCAGCATCTATTTCTGTTATCACCGCAGCAATAATAGTAATAAGTTAATGAATTCTCTGCAAAAAAATAAAAAAAAAGTTACATGTTTTTTATGCAAAACTTTGACTAAGCGATAATCAAAATTACGTACGTTAAACAATATAGCACAGTTTGACATTAAACAACAGTGAAGTTGGAACTGCTTGGAAGACTTATGAGACATATTTTATCTAAGAATTTGTAGTATCTCCCACAACAAATTCTGATATGATGAAGAATTGATATTGTATTCGATAATAGTTTATGAATTAGCAAAAAAATCTATCTGCTTAAATGTAATTTGTGTATTTTGTTATTGAAACACAAACATATAGGAATCCTCATGGATATATCAGTAAGCGGTCATAATTCTACTATACTTATACTAATGCAAGTAAAGTGTGAAATGTTGAGTTCTTCTTCTTTATTTTAAAGAAAAAGCAAATTTTTAGATTATGAGTAGAAAAGTAGTAAAATCATTACCTGGACACATTGTCCCGAGAAGTTTCGGTGGACACCACAAAAAATGCAAATATTTGTGAACATCATCATCCTGAATTTATGAACTTATTCATTAAAATATACTGTATCAAAAGATTTTTAGGAGCTAAGCTATGGTATTAAGAACAAAAAGAAAAAAATACAGTTGACAATTCGATATAGATTCCTGATCAATTTATTTGCTTTTGAAAATCAAATTATCTTATGACCCTCTAAATAACTCCTTCCTGATAATTTAAGGAAATGAAATATGCAAAGGAAAAACTACAATTCCATATAAACCAACTTTGTGTTTCAATAATAATATTATGTAAACTAAGCAATTTTTGGGAAATAACTGTGTAACTTGAAAATTAGTATTATCTTTCGAATACCTTTGTAATAATTTCCTGCAGATCGTTTATTGCTTCAACCGAATTTGCATCTAAGCAAGTGAACAAAAACAATGATGCAAAGGTTAAAGTAATGTGACACATATTCTGTAAAGCATACTCGTTTAATTCATTCTGATGACTAGATATGAATACTAGCGCCTGGTTGCATACGACTTGTTATAAACTGAGAGCAATTTATCCAATTCTGAATAAGGAAACAGCGACCTAAATTAGGTAAAAAGGAGTGAAATTGGATTTTCGTAGCTTCTGACCAATCGATCGCTGAAGAGTAACAAGGCCATATCATATCATGAAAATGGAGGTGAACGATCGGCAATCGCTCTAACGTATTATTTGTTATACGCACTATCTGTCATTGCAAATGAGATATTCCGAAAAAAAGAAACCGGTTTACTTTCCCTCTCTCTTCCATCTCTAACAATTGCATTTTTCTCATAAAACCAAGCGAGGATTATTCGGCTCGTAAGTCATTCGCGTTTAATGGATGATTGCGTAAAATGAGGTGCTGGAGTGGAAATTTGACAGCAAAGTAAGCATGAAAATTCTTTTGAAATTGAGCAGTGGAAATGGAGAGAATGTATCACCTTCATTAGATGTTTCCTAAAATAGAAATAAGTGAAAATCCTGTGATTAATGCTATGTGAATGACAGAAATACCATGGTGATAATTAATTAATGAGTATTTATGATAGCGTAGAACTGTATTGAAAATTAATCAACTTTAAGACATATTAATCTGGGATTACTGAGTTTCTATGATTGGCAGTATGTCTCACCAACGTAACAATTCTTCTTTCATTCACATACCATTAACTGTTTCATTACTTCATCGATTTACTTTAGTCTTCTTAGATATGTATTCATAAATCTTATTCATAACTGAATGATAAGTTGTAGATACGATTAAAACTATTTACTTATTTTTCTTTCTTGTCTTTGTTACTGACAGACTAGAAGTCTGATGGTAAAGAAACGAAAATCATAAAACAATTTGAGCTCGTTGATAACCATCACTAATAATAAAATTTCCGAATCACAAATGTTTAAAATTAATTAATTTTGTTGTAAAAATTCCTTCCTATCTTACACATTTTATTTTGCATTCATTGTTTTTCTTTAATGAGTTTTATACAGCACTACTTGCAAATGCTGAAAATGAAATAAAACTTTGAAAGTTAATTGTTAAATGATCAAAGTTGACAGTAAAAATAATATTTTTTCTACATTATATTGACATTAAATTGGCATTTTTGTAACAAGAATTCTCGTGTTCTCTCGCCACTGTCAACACTATAATAAATTTCCAAAACTGACAGTTAAATTGTCATTTGTTTAACGATCCCTATATTTATCATTTAATTGTCGGTTTGACAAGATAAGTTATCAATTCTGTTAGTTCATAATGATTTCAGGAGTGAAATTGTTTACATTGTGGTATTTAAGTAGCAAAGAGAAAGAAAAGTGAAAACTGGAGAGCACTGATCCTTCAGCAGAGGTTTCGCTACAAACAAAAAATTTCATCATAATGAATAAATAATTTTGAAATGATGCTGACCAATCATCTTTATTATTACATGAGAGGAGACATTTTGTCTATATATTATAGAAGATTCAGTGATATGTAAATACTTTTTTGGTATTTATATTTCTTAATTGCATTTTATATATTTTCTCTTCACTTTCGGCTCTTTTTCCAACAACTAACACTGTTAATAGCAAACATTTGCCTTGTTATGGAATCAGCAAAACCCAATTTGTGGCGTTTATTTTTCATTGCTTCATTGAGCAGATTAATATTAAAAAGATAAAGCAAATCTTTTTAATGGAACTCCTTTAAACACCCGAAAAACAAATCGAGATTTCATGGACGGACTTTTTTAACTTTATCATTGTTATTCAATATTTACTTACACAACAATTTTTCATTGATAACACAAAACTGATGATGCTAATTTCCGATTAATGTAGAAGTAAATAGTAAAAATTAAAACTCCGCGACATATTACCTGCATTTGCTGTTTAAAGCCAAATGAAAGAGAGCTTAAAGACCAAGTAATTCTTTTCGGGCAACTGTGGATGAATATAGGCCGTGTAAATATAGCGTGTAAGGATAATACAGTTTAAATTGAAGTCTATTTAATCGACGATTTGTAATGCCAATTCATTCTCATGCAGTGCAATACATCACATCGATCCTGTTTGCCTCTTCTGACATTTTTTCTTTCCATCTTTTTTTTATATTCCTCTTTTCCATCTCCACTTTTTTAAATTTTACGGATCAGAATATGTTATCAGTTAGATTAACAACAATTACTCTTATGAATTCACTTGTATTTCTAATTCTTAAAATCAGTAAAGAAATTAATGCAGTGGTGAATAACAGTTCTGAGCGAGTGCTAATATCAATGCAAAAGATAAGCACACACACACACACATACACACACACACACACACACACACACACACACACACACACACACACACACACACACACACACACACACACACACACACACACACTCACACACACACACACACACACACACACACACACACACACACACACACACACACACACACACACACACACACACACACACACACTCACACACACACACACACACACACACACACACACACACACACACACACACACACACACACACATACATACATACATACATACATACATACATACATACATACATACATACACTTCTCTCTTTTGAAAACTTTTTGCGTTTATCGCTGTTTACTGATTGATTGCTGTTCATTCCATGAATCACATTCATTCGTTTCCTTTTTTTGTTCTGTAATGATAGAAAGGAGACTGATATATGTGGAAAGTGTATGGAGTAATTTTGCTTTGGAAATACGCCACCACTCTAATTGGAATTGTAAGTGCGCAAGGAGAATCCGACAAAGAGCTTATCTATGTGCAAGCGATTTGGAGACATGGTGACAGAGCACCAAAGCAGTTACCCTACCCTAATGATAAATACAATGAAACAGCATGGCCAAGAGGATGGGGACAAGTAACAAATGTTAGAATCTCTCAGAAATTTTATCAAATTTCATTACCGTCAATTTTTTTTTTTGAAACACATGTAATCTCATTTACTGAGAACTAAGGAGGATCTTTTAGCCTTCTGATTTCTCATTAAAATATACTCTTTCCGCCAGTTTCATATTTTGAAGAAAGACAAGATCACTGGATAAACCAAAATAGTGTATTTGAGATTGGCATAATGCAGATGTATGAACTTGGGCAATTTTTTCGACAGAGATACACTTCATTCATTAGAGACTTCAATGCAGAAGATGTAAGTCTTTTCACTTTCAATTTTTAAGATAAAGTATAAATAATCATAAGGTGTGAATAGCCATGTTTTCAAGTTTCAAGTGTCATGATAAGTCATGATTTTAGAATATTGCACTTTTTTCCCCAAAATTTAGAGGAAAGTATTAGTTTTTAAAATTTTATTATTCATACCCTATGAATGATATAATAGATATCAATAATAAAATTTTCTCCTTTTTTGGAGAAAAATTATCAAAATGTAAAATGTTATCAAAAAAAAATTTTTCTCCTTTTTTTGGAATTAAAATGATGTGGACATTGACATCTGCTCGTTGGGTTAAAAAGCTAAATGATTTTTCCTTTTGATGAATCGATGAATTGATGCTAATGTGGTACTTATAAAAAAGATAGGAATAGTTGGTTTTACACAACAAAATAAACAAAATTTTATTCTTCACTCAGAACAATTATTTATTTTTTCAGGTTGATTTGGTATCGTCGAAATCGGATCGAGCAATAGTTAGTGGATTAGCTATGCTTCGTGGCTTTTTTCCAGCGATTGGCCAAGAAGAATGGCTACAAAATGAACAATGGCAACCGCTACCACTTCAAGTGGCAACAACAGATGCTGTAGACTTTACATTATTTTTGAGCGTTTTATATTATTTATGCAGTTCCTAGACAAATGAACCGTCGTCTTTCTTTAGATTCAAAAAAATGTTTCTACAACTGTTCATTTAAATAGTATTTTGATTGTAGATGTTGAAACCGACTAGTTTCAATTGTCTAATGTACAATGTGAAGAGTGAAAAGGAGAATGAAGTATTATTTAAAAATATAAGTAAGCAATATGCTAGCTTCTTCGATTTCCTTGCTAACGTTACTGGATATAAGAAGATGAATTTCAAAAAGGCTGCTTCCTTATATAATATTCAAAGAGAGGTCTGTTCTTCATGAAAATAAAGTATCAATAAAATCTTTGAAGAAATATTTATTAAATGTTGAGAAGTTGAGTGAAATAATTGCATAAGCGAATAATTTCTAGACTATTACAATTAGTTGATACATGTAATGTGTGCATTAGCTAATATTATGCTAATATTAAGGAAGTTTGACATTTATGAAAACTTACTTTTAGATTGATCATAATATGACACAACCATCGTGGGTGTACAATGTCTGGCCTCAGTTTAATAATGAGACAACAATAAGTATAATAAGCAGTTTGAAGAGAATTCGTCGTATCTCCCAATTTAATTCTGCAGAAAAAGCTCGACTACGTGGCGGACTATTGATGAAAGATTGGATTGATCGAGCCAGAAATGTGTCATTAGGATTATCGGTTATTCCACATAAAATCAAACTTCATTCTGCCGTATGTTTGTTTTTATTCTACTCCTTTAATCTGATCACTGTCATTAAAATTCACTACTAATTTCTTTCAGTCATCAGATATCTTTCTTTTCGCTCAGTTATTTCACAAGAAAATTAATCGAAATCGAATAAATGATCAGCAATAGGTAATCAATTAATCATCATTCAACAGACTCTTGTTTGTTAAAATAAAATTCTAAACGACAAATGCTTCTGTTTTAGCATGACGGCACGTTGTTAGCCTTGATGTATGCTCTGGGCATTGGTAATAACCTGCTTGTTCCGTATGCTTCATGCGCTATAATGGAGATATACAAGACATTAAACAATCATACAATTATGGTTTGTAAAGGAATGATATTATAAATAAAAATAAGAAATAAAATAGCAAACAGAAGTAAAATAAGAACAGTCTTTTATTACTTTCACAATACCAAAATGCGATGATATATTAAGTTTTTTTTTGAATTTCCAAAACGTCAAGTACCTATGTTAGAGGCTGATAACCACCATAGCATCATTAGCTCATTTGTTTATTGTTTACTTTTCTCAAATGAGATGATGGGAATTCTCTTTCACTATCAAAGTTACCAACATTTTATAGTTTTTCTACAAAAATGGAACCATAGCACATCAGTTACTACTACCTGGTTGCCCTTCATATGATAATTGCACGATTGCACAAGTGGAAAAAGCGGTTTCAAGAAGAAGCGTTCGAAGTCTACAACAACTGAATAAGGCAAATTTCTTTTAATGATATTAAAAGCGAATTTGTTAGAAAAAGTTATTTACAAGCTCAGCGGAAAGCTTGAAGCTTTGTTTGATCGTCCGATTTAGATTTTTTCATTTCTTTAGATCAACATTTCAAACTCTTCAAGCCAAAAGATTGTCACTTAGCAGCAACAAAGAGTGATTCCACTAAGTCCCTCATTCTTAATAAAACACTTCCGGAAAGGGTGGAATACATCCATGTTGAAGAATCATTTTTGAAACCAAAAGTTTTGAATCCTTTTCTTGTATTACTTAAAATCGTAACTTCCTAAATTAAATTACACGTTACGCCATAATTTTCGTAAAAACATTTCCACTTTTTCGAACAGTGAACATAAAATGAAAAAACAGTAATGGTTTCATAATCTAAATAAAATCAAAAATTGCAGATGTGTAGATCGGTATCGCCGCAGGTTCTTCAACACTCGGTTGCTTAGGTATACCACCAGTTGCAGTAATGTTGTACCTCACTTATCGAATATTTATCAGCATGTTACGAATATTTCATCTTTTGTTTATTAGTAATAATTAGTAGTTACTAGTATTAGGAAAGTAATTATTGATAATCAGTATAAAGAAATTACTAATAAATGGTGACCAATGAAAAATGATTTAATGATTTTTCATTATGGCCTTCAATTGCAATATGCAGTAATGTTATACTCCGCTTATCAATATTTATAGCATGTGATTACTGTTAAGTTCATCGATAATTTTATGAAGCTTCAGCTAAAATAGAATCTCTGAATGTGCAATGGGATAAACAGTATAGTCCCGGGGTAAATATCATGAAATGGAAAAGTAGCATTGATGAGATGTTATTTGGATTGAAAAGAATGAGAAATTTTGAATTAATTAAAAGGATGACAGAAATTATCAAAAGATAGAACAGTTGCAGAAATGAGAACATTTTACCAATGATATAAACAATGATAAAAGTGCAGAAGAATGAGCAGGAACATTCGGGACTTAACTTATACTCATATTTTTAGCCTTGGGAGCAGATCAGTACCATGAAACATCATGTTGCTTAGGATGTTTCGAGGAAGTTTTGATATTAGAATTCAAGATGTAACTTGTTTCAGTCTTGAAAGATATAAATTAAATAGAAAGCCAATAGGCCTAAGAAAAATGATGTCTCAGAGTTCTCCCACTTCGGTCTTTCCTTGTAGGTGCCATAACAATTCTTGCTAGTGGTATAAATAGCAACGTTAGCCTGAAAAGCCACAGAGCATTAGAGAAGTAATTTCTTTTTAACTGGATTATATCATTCCGCAAGCGTAACACACTACCACTAACGAAAATATCCCTTGCTGAATCTCGTACCCTTCAATTCCTCTATATTGTTGATCCCACGAGTAGAAGGAAACCACACTATACCTTAGTGCCTTAATATCGTATTTCAAAAGTGACGAGATTACTGAGCATCTGAAACATTTTTCATTAACATTTGATCAGTATTGTTATAACTTATGAAGATAAAAAAGCAATGATGAGATTGTCCCTAACATCTACTATTCATTACAATAGAGAAATCCAATAAGAAGCAGCATCATGTCAACTACTAGCAAAAAGGATTTCTTTAAGATTGTCAGCCATATAAAAATAGACACTAAACAAAGCGTTAACAGCGTACATTCCTGATGGAAACAATGTCTATCCGATCTTCTCTACAGTTACAGTCACTGAAGCTTCTTTCATTTTTGCACAGCACACTTGCGTGTCGTTTGTCACTTACTTTCTCCACGGAGTACCACTGAAGTTCACGTGCAACCTCATGATCAACCTTCTTACAACAAGTAATAGATATTGTCTGCCCTGAAAATGTGAATTTAGACATGTGCGTGTCATGTTTCTCGAATTTTGTGGTTCGTCCAGTCGCGTAAGCCCCTACTCTAGTTGACACTAAGATGACAGATCTAACAACAGGCATGCCAGTTTTAAGCTGGTTGTGATGTTTGGTAGTTGTTAGAATTCTCATTAAATTTTATAGAAGCACGTAGTTAAATAGGACAGAAATTACTATCACGTGTCCAAACCATAATATTATTAGAGTTTCTGAATTTTGAGTAGATTACATAAAGCTGAATTACTGATTATTGTTTGTGTGGTCATTGATCACTTTATTCTTAGATGTTAGATTTATTGATGTCTTCATTCCAGATTTGGATTTTTCCCAGTTGGGAATCTGTCATTTTTAGCAGTGATAACATATGAAGTTTTGGACTTCTGAACACGTTTTCGAGTGAGTTTCAGTAGTTCCATTTTACTTACTTTTGTTTTAATGACTCATATTAGTGTAGTTTGATCCATTCATGCTACGATTATGTAAGTACTTTAGTTAATTTGTGTCATAAGTTATTGGAAATGTTTTCTGATAGTCATCCTTGGGACACTGTGGCACATGCAGCATGGCGCAAATACCCGAATCCAATGAACTGTGCTGTTAGTGGGATCGATGTTCTTAGACAACATTTACTTGTTGATGGTTCATTACAATCTGAACGTATTATCCAAAGCCATTTTCCGATACCTGCTTGGGTAACAAAGGTAAGGGTTTGTTTAACTAATTTTCACCTTCCTCTATTAAATTGTTCAACCTGTAAATTTCTGCCTTTAATTTTGATTCATCGATCTGCTGGTTGAATAAGGAATTAGATAAATTTTAATTTTCTCTTCATTCGTCAACCTATTATTCTTCATCATTTTTGCATTACATTCAGGATTAGTCAGTAGTTTCATGTTTACTAATTTATTGTTTTACCTCTGTAGTTGACGGGTTTTTCTGGAACTCAATATTCTTATGAAGTGACCGAAATTAATCCGGCGAAGAAGGAGATGACTTTAATTACAAGGAATGTAAGTTGCTTGTCCAGATTTCAAGTCAATTTTTACTAATCAATCTCCCATAACGAATTCAGTTAACATGTTCGAAATTCATTTTTCTTTGTATTTTATTTCCTTAGTTTAAATTTTGAAAGGTTGTAAGGAATTTCAAGTATTGGCTCTCGCGTATTGTGCTAGTCATTTTCTAACTGTAAATTATATTAAAGTTATATATTTCAATAATCAAAAGAAAATCCCAGATGAATGCAGGACGCTTTTTACGTGTTGATGAACGATTATTATATAAACCAGATCCTTACAATCAAGACAGGTATTTTTCCTTTTTTGTTGTCCAGTATTCATTTTCTTTCGTTTTCTGATTCAGGATTAGTCAGCAGTAACCGACATGAATAGTAAATTTGAGTCTTAAGATGATTATAGGACGATATTACAACAAGAAGCTGCTGTAAATGTTGATTTGCCAGCATTCGCAGATTACTGCGAAAAAATGTTCTTAAACATATATGAAACGAATGCCGAAAAGGTAATTCACTTTGCTATAAAGTTCATGCATTTTTCTTTCTTTTTTTGGCAATGCAAAATATATTTAATAGCTGCCATGAATTGCAAACCTTTTTCAGTGGATAATACCTAAACTCTGAGTGCTTTCAACTTTAAAGCTCTTCATCTTTTTGATCATACAGGAAGAGTTTTTTATTGAAGTTATCCAATTATTGATCTGCTGTTTGTAGGTAGGAAGCTTGTAAGCAAGGAAGAATAAATGTCTGGAATTCTTATGTATCTAAACTTGTTTTCACGTGTTTTATTTGTTGGTATCTTTCATTCTTGCTTCTTATTTTTCTAGTCTGAATACAAAACTGACCCATACCGAAATCCTTGCAATGAATCAACTTTGTCGGTAATAGTTCACAGAATGAATACGAAAAAATAATGACAAAAAAATATTTTGACGATGTTATCAGCGGTGTCGCTTAGACAATTTTTGATTTAATTTGGTGAATGCTTCAATATTTTGAAAACTTCATATATTAACTCTAAAATGATGATCTTTAAAAATAATGAAGAAAATCAAATCAAGTAATAACTGATCTTTTAAGGGTCGGAAAGGACTGGAATGGGTAATTGACCAGTTCAACAGCTCATCTAGATCGAGTCCAAGTGCTGAAAAGTCGTCATCACAGGGATTCTCAGATCCGACGCTTGTTCTCAGTTCACTGCATTCCGCAGCGCAACAACCAAGTTTTCTCTCTTAGCACAAATTTAATTATTGTTCCAGGTAGTTTTTAGTGATCTCAGAATAATGCTGCTTAATAACGTGTGCATCATTTTTGAGTTTTTTCCATCTTCTTTTGGTTAATCATTGATGTCGACTGTTGATTTGTTCTGATGTTTAAGTATTTTTTTTAAACAGTATTTAGACAGTAGCAATTAACAGCTATAGGATAGCTAAATGTTGTGTAGAATTTATTCGGGTCTTTACTGTCTTATATCTCCCAATGTTGCCACTTCAGTCAGTGAGTGCTGCTCGCAGTATCTTATCCAAAGTAATTATTCATTTTCACATATTTTTCCGTTGCCTTACTATTTTCATAATACGGCGTAACTTTTTATTGTGAATTCTTGTGACATTTTATTAATGCAGTTTGTCAGTTTGTGGTGAGTGTTATGACATTAATGTTTGAGAATATGCTGAAGAAATATCTCTAGTCTAATTGCAATACTTCTTTCATTAATAGATATGTGTTCCGCATGTTGTTGTATTAATGTTTATTAGTCACAATTTTTCATTAAGTAAAGTGGTCGGAATAAAATAAACGAAGTTATGCTAATTCTGTATATGTTTTATGTGTTGTAGCACGGCTGAATGTATTGTGATTGTGGAAAGTAAAAAGTTTTGGGGTGAAAAGAAATGACAATGGCTAGATCCACCGTTTCTTTCGTAAGTTTGTTAGAGATTGAAGAGGTGAACGATGGAAGAATTACTTGCATCAGCATACAAAAATTCTTTAAAATTCTTAATCATACATCCATATCACGATATTTTTTGAAGAATGGAATCTAATTTGAATCCTGAATTTGTAATTACAGCAGCTAAAAGCTTCATAACTTCTAATCAAGTGGGCATGTTTTCCTTGGGTAGACAAACATCAGATTGTTTGCTGTTTGTTACAACATATCGAAATTAAACTGTTAAGTGCATACACGTAATGGTAATTCAATTTCGATGTGTTTCAGCTACAACTGAATTTTGCATATACTTTTGCATATATCTGTTCTCCGGTATATTTTCTAACACTGTTTATGATAATTATTGTATGTAATTCGGTCTCATTCATTGTTTTTCTGTCTTAAGAAATCAAAAGACAAATCCCGAGATGTGAGATGTTCATATAGTAATTTGTTATGCGTATTGAGGCATCACTCCTCATACCATGTTTAACATATGACAGCAATAAACGTCGCTGTTAATCACTGAGTATGAGTACGATGATGTAAGAACTAGGCAAATGTATGAAAGTGATTTGAATTTGTAACTGTGTAGTTTTATGTTTTAAGCAAGAGACAAGCACTATTAATGGATAATGGAAAGATTGGGGCTCGTGGATGGCCTGGAAGAAACGTCATTTTTACGAATACAGTCTCACTGTGATACGCTATTCCTCTATATGCAGCACTTGCACAGTGTTTGTTTCACCAATTTAATTTTATGGAATTTTATCTTTCCTTTAAAAATTTTTTAAAATTGCTGTTACTGATGTGCAATTCTACTTTAGTTAGGAAATCTTTGATAGTATGAAGTGCGCAAATTTTAGGAACATTTTAGATCATTTTAATTGTCTTGTTGAAGAAGTTGTTTTTAATATATATTCATATATGTTTCACCACTGTATTGTTTTCAATTCTTTTTCTAGACAAATCGTTTTCTGGATGTCATTGTTCAGAACGACGGCGATTATGTGACATCGGCTCATCGCCTTGTTCTATCTGCTTATAGCAGACATTTAGATGCAGCTCTATCTAGTGTTCAAGATTCTACTGTTATAACCCTAAACATTGATCCAAAAATTACAGGTAGGTATTTTATCCGTATTATAATAATTATTGGAATAATAGTTCTTTTATAATAATTGTTTTTCAAAGCGACATACATGTTGTAAAATATGTTATAAAATAGCTCTCAAAAACTCTTTAGCCTGAGCACAATTTATTAGCTAATGATCACTGGTAAATTTACATTTAAGGTGTGGACATGGATGATCTTCGATTGCTAGTAAAATATATGTATACTGGACGTTGTAGCAATCGATCTCAAAGTAGGACACTTTCTGTTGCAAATGCGCTTGGTTGTGACTCCCTAATTAGAATGCTAGAAAGTAAAGAAGCTCAGATTTATGAGAATGTAGAATTAGAAAATCCAGATCATGCACAGGAATTGTTGCAAGCAGTCCATCGTTTCAAAACTCAAGGAAAATTCATCGATTGTTTCGTGAGTAGCCAGGTAAACATTTTTACACTAATGTCATATCTTACGACTTAAAAATTTTTCTCGATGTTTTTTTTATGAATACTGTCCTGTAGTGTTCCTCATTTTTTCCAGTTGAAATAATAAACAAGAGAGCAAACAAAAGAATTATCACTGGAATAATTTTATATAGTGTGGAGTGAAATTCTTTTCATCGGTAGTATTCTGGCACCCAAATTTTTTAGAAAATTGATGTTTTTTTTTTTTTTTTAATTTTTAGAATAGAGTGATTCTTCGATGTCATCGTTTGATGCTTTGTGCATTCAGTACTCATTTCGAAAATGCACTTGCATGTACTGAGAAAAGTGCCATTGTCACCGTTGATATTGATCCCCAAATTACGGGTGTGAGTAGGTATGGCAAACTTATTATCAATACAGGCTTATTTTTTGTTTTAAATATGGACAATATTTATATATACTGAAATTTTGAAAATGTGATTGCTATTAGCATTTCACTTTTATTAGATGACTTGAATCTCTTTCTACAACTGCACTTTTCAAAATATAATTTTTGTTTATTTTAGTATGGATTTGAGAAATATAGTCGATTTTTTGTATAGTGGATCAATTCGCACCACATCAAGGCGTCATAAGATATTACGGCAAGCTGCTGTTACTTTAGGTGTGGCCAGATTAGTTGATGCTATCGATGAAGAATTACTTGCTTCCGAAATCGATCATTCATACTGTCCTGGTAACATACTGTACATTTGTTAATCGTTTAACTTGGAATTTCAAATTGCTTCTAAATATTTAATTTTAATCACTTAGACGTATCTTAATATTTCTGCTGTACTCGAGATATCGAAGAAAAACGGATTTTAGATAGTGGTGATGAAATTATGCTAACAAACACAATTTATGGCCTTTTGGATGATAATAGAAATTTGATTGGAAATGGCGAACCTGGTATTTCTGCTTTAGACGGTTCAAACTTCGGTGATGATAATGATTGTAATGATGAAACTAATGCTGAAGATCTTATGGAAGAAGCTTCTAATTATATAGACAAAGGTATAAATGAATTATACTAATCTTTACAGCGCTAAATACCTAATGAGTTTTTGGAGAAGTGTTTGTTTTATGACTTTTGTGTATAGTTTTCTTATGATATTTTAGAGAATTTTGAGAAAATCCATCAATCGAAGTAATTGTGTGGTTGTCTGATCGAATCTCGGTATTTAGTGAGGATTCTATTTTATAATAATATTGGGTTTAAAATTTCTTATTTAAAAAAAAAAAAAAATTTAAAAAAAAAAAAAAGGGTTTAAAAAATTTGTATTAGGATTTCAGACCAAGGTTAGTAAACGGCTGTTTGAGGGCAGTAATGAAAATTATAAAAAAAAATTTTTAACTCAATATTATTATAAAAAATAAGTTAATCTTAATGATGTTGGGTAGATATAGAAAATTTGTTTAGATGAAATACATTTGGCAGAAGATGACATGAAGCAAAGCGGAATGGCGGTTGCGAAGGCAACAAGCGATTACATGTGTATTTATGAAAAATTTGTTGCTGGACCCAGTCGTGGTCGTAAGGGTGGTACATATGGACATAAACGATTGATGTTGCAGCTGAAAAAAGACATAAAGCTCTCGCGTAAGCCTATTTCTATCGTGAAATATGTTAATAAATGTGCCAGGATCTGTTGCTTAAGCTGTAATGAAGTATATTACCATACAACTGCACATTTAATGATTTATTATTGGTCAATTTGCTTATTTGGAGAAAATTTCTGTGAGCGAATTCATATTCATTTGGTTAAGTTTAATTTCTAATTAAATGCTTATCTTTATTATCGAAAGCGAACAGTAGCAAGCAATCTTGATTTTAGACGTGGAAGAAGCATCAACAAGTTACGGTGCTGTACAGAATAATAATTTTGAAACTGTCTCTGCAGTGACGGTATCATATATTCCGCCTTCCAAAAAACGTCATTTGCTGGACAGTTTTGGTTATGGTTTGCCTGAAATTATTGCACCTAAAGATGTCACCGTACCCTTACTGGTCGGTGATCAGGAGGTTTTTTTTTGAATGTTTTTTATCTTCCTTACAAATTATGGTGAATCAAAATGATTAAAACAGTTTTGTTGTTTGGTAATGTCATTATGCACTTTGTTTGAACATGGTAGATTATTTGCATTCATTTTTCATTCACAAATTTTGCTTTCTGAAGTCGTGACATGGTTTTGTTCGAGGCATATGTCATGAGATCAAATTTCTGAACTGCTTAAGTTTCAGATAATGATGGAAAAACCGTTTAAATGCCCATTCTGTGATCATCGAACAAAGGAAAAAAGTGCGGTTGAAAAACATGTGAGATGCATGCATACTTTGGAAACTCCTTACAAGTGTCAATATTGCAATCAGGCTTTTAAAGTGCAGAGCAATCTTGTCAGGCATATTCGAGCTCATACAGGTTTCTTTATTATTTTTCTAATCGTTTAATGGTTTCTACTACATTTGAAATACAATGTGATTTTTCTTCGATGGTAAAAGAGAATTTTTCAATTTTGTAACTGGATTGCAAGAGCTATTTAATTGAACAAAATTTCGTTTCAATTTTCAATAAATCCCACTTATACAAATGCACAGAAGTTATGCAGATGGATAAAATGTTTATTTTTGTGAGAGTCGATTGATTTATAGGTGAAAAGCCATACGCGTGTAAAAAGTGTGGGACGACATATGCAGATAAGAAAAATATGGATGCACATATATTTAGAG